TCTATCTGAAGCCGACCATGCTATTCGAAAGGTCATCGATGCCCAACTTGACAATGCTCTGCTCTGTGTACTCGACACTACCGCTTCTGATCTGTGGCACTGATGGTTGGAACGTGAAACTAATAAACATTCGTTGTTGTAGTGCCCCCTCTTGACACTTGAGCTTGAAAGCCCAATGAAAGCCTTCCTACTCATTTTGTCTTCTGGTTGTGCTGTGATTCGATGTCAGTATTTTCATCTTCCATGTTTTATTATCGCTCCCCGACCTCATTGACAGCTCTTGGACATGTCTGAAGGAACTTGTGATAAAGGTCACTGTTACTGGTGCTGAACATGACTCTCGCGAACATCTGCCCCATCCGCAATATTTGGAAGGGACCTGGGTGTACCTCTTCAAGTATATCTACAGATTCTCAGACAACAACAAAAAGTGCCGAATCATCTGGTTGTATGGCACGGCGGGCGTCGGAAAGTCTGCTGTTGCGTTCACTGTGGCTGAAAGGATGAGAGGTCTGAAAATGACAATGGAGACGAAAAAAGAAAAGCGGTTCGCAGGAACATTCTTTTTCTCTCGCAAACACACTAAACGCTGCCCTGTTCCCCTTGAAGCCCACCAGACCCCTTGAAGCACAAAGTTCCGACAACGCTCCTGTCACAAGTACAAAACAATCTACGGTGGAACCCTCCAGATACGCTATATGCCAACATCGTACTTAGCCCACCTCGCATCGCAGTCATCGGCCCTTCCTACCCTGTCCCGCAGTTGACTCTGGACGACTTACGCACAGGAAAAGATGACAAAGAGTCCAATAACAAACCTATATTTCCCTCTGCGCCACCCCGCCCTGTTTTTTCTGCAGACAACCCCGTTCTTATTGTGCCTCAGTAATCCTCGCGTCTACCAGATTTTGCGCGTCAGATCTTGCCTGTAAGTCAATGGACGCGGCAACGAACCTCCAACATTCACGTTACGCGACGCATAAATGTTCGCTACATGGGATTTTGAGGCAAAGAGAGCGCAAGAGGCGTACCTGCGTCTGGAGTGACGCTTTCCATAGGGAATCGTAAAGGGTAGTGGTTGTAAACTGATGGGTTTCATAGAGTTCATTATTGCATTGATGACGAAAGCCCGTGCTGGGTGGGCTGGTGATATATTGAAGGTATGCATTCAACCATGTTATTGGAATCACTTGATTCCTCCTTCACAAGATTTTCGTAGCTGCTCTAGACTAATAGGTGGGGATGGCGCTCCATCCAGAATGAACTACTTTCTTATGGATTCTGTTAGGGCGTTTTCTATCTTCTTTGGCGTGCACTGTACTTTCATTAAGAATTGTGTCATGCCTCCAATGAGTATTTGAACTATGAGTTGTTTAGTGGGTATCATAGCTGTGTTCGCGCGCGCACGGTAATATGAATATCACAGTCATTGGAACTCCATGATAACATCTTATCACCAACTGGGCGAAGACACAATAGAATGGGGTCCTTGAGACAGGAATTACGCCATGATAATACACAATTCAGGATCGGCTTAGTAGGCAAAATTAAGACATACTGCGAGTCTGGGAGGATTCATTAAGAACTTGTTCTTCTCCCTGACCCATCCAGGCATCAAAGCTTCTCAGATGACCTCAGGATAACGTTGCAACATGCTCCTGAGCTCCGTTTCCGGAATCCTCTTCTCAAACTCAAATGTGCATGGCAAAACCTCTGACATCGACCCACTCATGTATCCCATGTCCTCTAATGGCTTCGGTAGGTTCAATAGTGAGCTCGTAGGCCCAAAGAACAAGGAGCGTGGCTATGAACACCGATCTGCACCAACCGAAATGAGTTTGGAAGACCGCGTGCTTGCAAGACTTCTTTACCTGTTCGTGACATGTTGACCAGGGAATACACTGAAAGAAATGTCATTCAAAGCCTTGTGGCTTGAACGCATAAGGCTCCGGGTAGACATCTGAATCCCGAGAGATAGACCCAAGGCGGGGACTATTAGATCTGTGATTTCTTGAAGCACAATGCTTACCAATGGTCGCCGAATACCGTAGTCCCAGCTGGAATACAACAGTTTTCCTGATGGGACAAATCATCATAGGTGCTATCGTTCAGGTGAGGGACCGCACTGCTTGTCATGTATTCAGCAAATCGTGTGTGGCCCGCATATGTGACTTGAGCAATGTCTATGAGGGACTACACTTGATGTTCCGTCAGCCAAAGCTAACAGCAGAAGCCAGCGTCACTCACATCGGATGCGTTGTCCTGCTCGTCGCAAGCATGTACATCAGCGGCTTGCATTACGGAAGCGTGAACACCAGAAACGGCTGGGAAGGATATGCCTATGAGATGTTAGTAGATGTGCATGAACAAGAAGTATGTTGCTGACCGAATGGCTCATCTCAATGATCAAGCATCTCATCCCACAACATTTTAAGTTGCCCGATAACCTCCTAGGGCGTGACATGGGTAGGGTTTGCCCGGGTACCCGCCCGGGCAACACCTGCGGGTGAAACCCAGTGAAAACTGACTGTGATGGGAACGTGCAACGTCAGTGACCGGTTAGTCATCGATGACCCAATCCGCAGATTCAAATTAGGATGTACGGGCTGTGATTGGGTGGGGTAAATTATTGAGTACTTACGGAAGTTAGGTGAGTTAAATAAGGAGTGGCCATAGAGTGTGTGTGCCGCAGTTCGTTTGCTGAACAACAATCCACGTTAACGTGAAACTCTCAACTTGGAATTGGAAACCGGTGATTCGCAGAACCGGGGGACTTGGATAGAAGAGACGTGCTGTGGGAAGCTCAGCTAGCATCTTCGAGGACGACTAAGGGTGGATTTGTAATCTCGAGCTTGATAAACATAATTGTATTATCCCAAAAGTTCAAGTTCAACATACTAGGCCTACTCTATAGAGCAGCCGCTATCATCTTTCACGACCAAGACACGATAGACGAGTCGATCTGGACTTAACACTACTAATCCAAGGCCATAATTCACTCGGAATGTCAAACCGCCGGATGCCAGCTGATGTCGATCAAACTCATTCTGCAATCCCTTCATCCGGTTAGAAGTCCCCATCATACCAGTTGTCCACTATTCCAACTAATTATCCTTTATTCTATTTCCTTGCCTCAATAGCGAGCGAACAACTACAAGATAACCAGCCCCGCACTCAAGCACATTCCCTTTCTTCTTCTTCTGCTTCTTTCCACCAATCCACTTCCGCACCAGCAACTGCTACAGGCGACCAGCAGTGGTTTCCACAATCTCAGCAGATGATCGTCACCAGCTCTTCCTTCTATGATCCCACTCAAGCTTCGGCATCTACACCCCAGTAGCCTACTATAAACGTCTGGGATACCCAATTCACAGCTCCAGGTGGAGAATACTTTCCCCGACAACACACAACATACCAGCAGCCGTATCGCTTTGAAGGAGCAGGGACGAACCAATATTCATTTTCTCAAGATCAAGTTCAACAGCAGCAGTATTCACAAGCACGCCCCGTCGTACCCGCTGCACGGCGCTCGACACGTGGTAGCGCCAGGTCTTCTGGGTACTATAGGCAAGGGAGTGCACAAAGCCAGGTAAGTCTTTGAATCCCCCTATTACGTGATTTTATGCGACTCTCGAGTTTGGATTTCCTTTTTCCGTTTATTTTTTCCCCTTTATTTTCACTTTCTTCATTCCATTTTTTTGTCTTTCTCCTTCCCCTCTGATGTACCCTTTCCAGCAATACTCGCAAGTCACTCCTTCCGTTCCTCTCAATCCTCCTTCAGCCCAACCTCCTCCTCAGCCGTCTCAACAGCCAACAGGCTAATCCCACGCTGCACAGTGTACAACTCAATTAATCTCAGGTCAATTCTCACCAGTCCAGGCTGAACACCAGTACCCGGCTCAGCAGCCCCAGCCCCATTTCTCTCCTCCGCCTCAGCCTACCCAGTCCCAATTCCAGATCCAACAAACCCAATTTCCGCCTACCCCACAGTTTTCCCAGAGTCAGGCTCAGCCTAGGCCGCATAGTCAGTCTCGCAACCCCATCATCCTCATGTTCCAACGCAATCGCATGCACCCCCTCACGCTCAAACGCAATCCCACGTACACCCTCATGTCCCTACACACGCCCAATCTCAACCTCAGGTCCACACCCCTCCGAATCAGTCTCAACACTATTCAGGACCGTTAGATCCATATTATCTTCAGGGCAATATGTATTATGCGACGAATACGAAGGGAGTCAGAGTGCGCCTAGTCTGGTGAGTGTTTTTCTGCTTGTTTTAGATTTGCATTTTTGGATGATGGTGGCAAATACGTACTATGCCTTGTTCTTTTTTCGGGGCTCGCCGGTTTGGACGGGATGACGTTCATATACGCGCTCGTGCATGGGTGCTCTCCCTATACTTTGTGCCTCGTTGTCGTTCCATCTTTGATATTTGGAATAGTCTTTTTCCTTGTTCTTCGGATCTTGTTCACTTCCATTTTTGCCCGGCCAAGCCGGTTCAGATATGGCTGAATGGCTTAGGCGTATACGCCGGCGTATGAGTACTACACGTTCTCTTCTATTTTTTCTGGGGTTGAACGGCACAAGTGAATGTGCATATATGCGGCCATGTCCACTTCACACTTCTTATTTTTATCTTTCATCTTGAATTGCGCTGATGATCATTCGTGGGTCAATACCTGTGCCAGAACACGTGATGCCATGGATCGCTCAATGGCTATTGATGGAACTCTGTGAACGGAGCTTTTGGCACTTTGCTCAAGAGAAGCACCAGTTATTTCTGATCAGGGATGCTCAATTCTAAAACGTCGAGTTCAGTTCATTTCATTTGATGTTATTTATGTAGTAAACAATTTCATTTCGGCTCCGTACATTAGTACTGAGCATCCCTCCTGATGGCGCGAACAATGTGCATGACCTAAATATTGATAACCCTGCTGCACTGGCCAAGACTTTGTTGGAACCGAGTAGGCTGACTAAGGTCCATCCTATATAACACACGAAACTCCGGGTATTACTCTTCTTCATTGAAATCTCCCTGGGCCTCACCTCTTTCAAAATAGAATCAAAATGCAATCTACCACGACGGTGAGTTATTCAATAAGATAATAAGACATTTCAGTACTTACTCACGTTCAGAAAATGATCAAATTGGAATTCTCCATAACCATGGAACATCTTTCCGAGCTCTTGCACCACAATGTGGTGACAACAACCAGTCAAGACTTTTTAGCGAAGCTGGAGAAGCACGTCTCCACACACAATCGCTATGAGGAAGCCCTAATCCAGCTCGAGTTTGAGAAGCTCAGACGGGAAGAATTAGAGGAGATTTTAAGAAGGCAGGCGGCTGAATATGAAGAGATAGCCAGGTCTGCCCTCGCAAATGCCCAGAAACTTCATGCTTCCCGAGTAAGTTACTTGATAGTCATTTGCATATTGATGCTAACATTTTCTGGCTAACTTTGATAGAAGTTTGTGTAGGGAAGGTTTCACGGGTCCAAGTCACTGGTCATACTTACTTACTCTCCTTTTTGATTTAATGAGCAACCTAATCGTCACATTCCTTTTGAAATAACATTAATTTGGACAGTTGTGAGCGCTCTGGAGGGAAAATTGGTACATGGCAAGGGGGACCGTTTTACCCCTTGCCATGGCGAAGCTGCCGCAGACGGAACCGGCTCTCTCCGAAGCGTCACGTGCGCGTGTTAGACCGTTTTTCTCCTGCCTGCGGTTTGTACATTTGAATTTCGAAGGTTGCAAGGTGTATTTGAATTCGGTTTGTGCATGGGGGTGCCAGGGCGTACAAAGTTGCTTTGAACCCTGAGCCGCCCTGTAATTCATTCAGTATGGCACCTTGCTCTTCAACTGGATTCGCTGTTGGCATCATCAGTATTTTGATGTTCGTGATTGCCTTGCTACTACTTTTCATTCCGGGTATGCATGAATGACTTGTCTTTAGTCGCATGCGGTTTTGATGCCTTTACAGACCAGGTAGAAGGTGCAACGAACTGTGCCATTATCCATCTTGGAAGGCAGTTCTGATGGTGCTGTTTCCCATTGCCTACATTTTCGAGTGCTCTTTTGCTGATCGGATGTCTAGGAGTAGAAAAAAAACATGTATGGCCTTCTACAGAAGCCACCAACATCGTGCTCATCACGCTATTCATGCTCGTCATGTTTGAGTGCACCATTGTCTGACAGGCACTTTTTTCTTCTTCCTATCAGCAACTCTGAAGCTAACTTTCCTTGTAGCATTTGAAAACTACGATGGCTGTCGCTCCGTATCCCATTCAATGCTACCGGCATTCACAATGGATCGCTGTCCAGTCTGATGAACTTCTCCCGGAGATATTGTTTCCGTTGGTTAGTGTCATTTGTTTGCTGGCGATATTACTTCACTGACGTATCATCACAGCACGACAGCAGTTTTAAACAGTAGTTCCTGCCGATACTCTTCTTATCCAAGGCGCATACGTCGTCAACGAAGCTATGCTGTCAGGAGAATCTATGCCGCGGCTGCTCAAGGAATCCATCCAGCTTCTCAATAGCAGGGACACACTTGATGTCAACGGTGTGCACAATAACACGGTCCTGTTCAGTGGAACAAAGGTGCTCCAAGAAAATTCAACAGGTACGTTGAACACTTGTAGTTTCCTTCTTCGTGAATGTTGTTACTCGGCTCTCAGGTCAAGGAAAAGTCACCGCAGCGACTCCGGACGATGGATGTCCAGGGCTTGTTTCGAGAACTGATTTTGGTCACTTTTTACTGGTCAGTCTTGCACGTCCTCAATGACAAGTTCCCGAATGACATGATCTAGGATAATCAAATCTAGAGGCTATCAACGCTGAGAGTGTGTGCGGGGTGCGGCTCAAGGCGTTCTTGCAGGACCAAGTGAGCCATCATTCCAACGGGTGTAGCGTCAGCATTTTAAATTTGAACATCTCAGATTATTTGAAAGAGTTCCCATCTCCAAAACCCAACCCCTCGACAATCAGAAAGAATCACGTCTTTGGGTCATTATTCAATGTTGATTTACCTGTGTTGGTACATGGCTTCGAACTTGATCCGGAAGAGGCCGCTAATACGGCCAGCAGGAACATCTTCTGCTCAAGAGGCAAGTACTGCACTAGAAGGGGGGATCATAATTAAACATTCATCAGATACTCTCTCGGTTCTTGTACACCAAAGCACATGCGATGCAGCTTGGAGTAGTTGATCCTCTGGCTGACGGAGCTGAGAATTCAGCCAAATCCTCTTGTACGAAAAGGCTCGTGACAGAGGCGACAAGTACCTTCCGTCGTGGTTGAGCCCCTACCTAGGGTTATTTTTATCAGGGAATGCGTCTGTCAAGCTATGAAGCTTCTCAGAATCCAGACAGTGGAGGCTGGACGGGCATCGGGCATAGGTTGCTGGCTGCAGGAACTCGGTCCGTTTCTTTCAAATGACCTGGACGCATAATTGATGTATGACGGAGTAGCCTGGCGAGATTTTTGCCAATGTTCTCGCATACTACCTGCGAGTATCCATGGGTCGACCCTTTCAGGAGAAGTTTGCTGATGTCAAGTGGGAGATCGACGAGGAACATCTGAATGCTTGGCAAGGGGGAAAAACTGGCGTTCCCAACGTTGATGCCACGATAAGGCAGATAGACATCAAGGGTATGTTTTTTATCGATCTTTTGGAATATTTATTCATCAGACTGTCAGGCTAGACTCATATTCGTATGTGCATGATTGTCACCCTGTTCGTGTTGAAGGATCTTATGTTGGATTGGCGGCTGGGAGAGAGTGAGCTCATCTCTTTATTTGCATTTTATGCGCTTCTCTGACGAGCGCTCGCAGTATTTCATGGAAAAGCTCACAGATGGTGATCTTGCATGCAACAACGGCGGTTGGCAATGGAGTAGACCCGGTGTCTTACTTCAAATCGTCGATCGCGATGCGCTGATTCTGGATTTGCGACAGAACCCGGCACATGAAGCAGGTGAGTTCGTTATCATCGTAGCAACTACGCCCAGTAATGTCTGTCTTGGATTTGGTCTGGCGCACTGTAGATGAAACTAAGATCATTCCGGTGGATCCGTCTCAGCCTTTGGACCAAAGCCTTTTCGACGAGTACGATATCTGTATTACCGGTGCCGCCATGAAGCAGTTCGAATCTCGTCCTTCATGGAATGATTGGGTACAGAACACCTGGGTTTATACTCGTGTCTCGCCCACGCAGAAGGAATTCATCAATTATGACCGGCTCTGACGAGGTACGATTGTTTATGACTTGTGCTATACTGAACGAGCTAAAGTATCGACAGTGGTCCTTCTCAAGTCTGGCCCATCTACAGGCAAGATCGCTGTCATTGCTGAGATCATAAACCACAACCGGGTGTGTACAATGATATCATACGCAAGAATAATCAACTGATCTCATACCGTCCTGCCAATGTATAGGCAATCATTGACGGCCCAACCACCGGCATACCACGCCAATCCTTCCCCTACCGCCACCTCACCCTCACCCCTATTTCTTTAACAAAACTTCCTCGCGGCGCAGGATCCAGAAGCAAGCGGAAAAGGAGGGTATCGTTGCTAAGTGGGAATCCTCAACATGGGCCAAGAAGTGTGCTGCCATGGAGAAGAGACGATCGCTGAACGACTTTGAACGGTTCAGCGTGATTGTCGTAAAGAAGCAGCGGAGAGATGTCATCAGGAAGACCCTGGCCAAGGCTGCATAGGGGGTGTATGCATACAAAATATTGGACATCTTGGTAGGATGTCGTGTCGCCGCATGATCCACATTTCTCTTACATCTGTTATGCCTACCATGATATATGCATGCGCCATTCCCGCGTTATATTGCTAACCATTCGCCTCGAAGTAAGATATGTTATTCTCAACTAGTCGGCTTGTCCTGGGCTTGAGTGAAACCCCTTTTTGCTCTTTCGACCGTTGCTTCTGCCTCCCTGCTCAGTCTCACCAGTGGCCTTTCCTTTCCCGAGACGTCGACCGAAGAATTGTTTGCGTTGCCAAAACATCCCTTAGCCTCTGTTGACTCTAGAACAACTTGTGCGATTTGCACAGATTGCGGACACAGCGCTCTTCAAGTCTTAGTGACTCAGCCGGCCCTCCTCGGTGCACTTTGTCGATTTAGCCAATTGGTATGAAGTATTAGAGGTCGAGGAGGAGCCGGGCACGAGAGATGTGTCAAACTGCGCACTGCTCAAACGTAGCATTTCTCAGAAATTCGTGGAGCTGATATATTTCTACAGTAGCCAAGGTAAGCCCTCAGTCTCGAACTTGTGAGTCCGTCTTCATCATGTTAGCCCCTCTTCATCACAGTAACCATCCCAATACCTGGCAAGTCGATTTTGAAATTTGAAGTGTCCTTCACCCGCCCAAACTGTTATCATCTCTCCCGCTTCCGCTAGCGACGACATAAAACCTCCCATTTTTATACTTCCAATACTTATCACAGTTTACCCCTATATCCTCTATCAACACCCTCAAAGATGAGAAGCGAGCAATTGAAGAGAGGCGGAGAGAGGAAGAACCAGATCCTGCGATTTCTGCCGCCTTTAAGGTGATAAAATCTACTTGTGGGTTCCGAGAGTACATCAAGCTAGTCTCAGATGGCAGCGTGCATCCGGCACAAACCCTCGGTCTGTCGATCTGTCTGGTGTACAATTGACACCCACATCTGCTGCAATCCTCTGACGTGTTTATGATCAAGTGGGGTCTTCGAAAACTCACCCTTCGAGAATGTGATTTGGACGACTATGTAACTTGGTTTCCCCCTGCTTGCATCTGCTGTGCTCACCACAACACAGAAATTGAAACTTATGTTTCACGCACTGCTTGTACCTGACACCCTCGTTTTCCTGTCGTCGAACCGTCGCCTAAAAACACCCGCGTTTAAAGTGCTTGGTTCTTATGCCTCAAAAGTGCGTAATTTCTGCAGATAATAATGCATATGCTCATGTATTCCATTGCCAGGCAAAAAGTCTACAATTCCTCGACCTCTCACAAACAAATCTGGACAAGAAGACAGTCGACTATATCGTAGTCTCATTGACAACAGCACCTGAGCCTGGTTTAATCTCTCTCCGTCTAGACGACTGTTCTCTCAGGGTGCTAGCGCTGGACGTACTTGGTAAGCCATCAGCATTCACACTTTGGCCAATTTCCGCTAAGTGTGGCAGCCCGAGTTATTCGTCATTCATCTCTTCGCAACGTTTCTTTGCGCCAGAATCGCATCAATGCAACAGGAATTGTCGCACTTGCTCTCATGATCCGAGACTACCCAGACGTGGTCCCTACTACTTCCCAACTCGTCTACCTTTCCTTCGCAAGGAAGCATTATTTTTTCGCCACCTTCCTCCCCGATCCCCCCTTCTGTTCATCTACCTCCTCCATCACATGTTACCTGTACAGGGCCTGTACTGCCTCCACACCATCCATCGTCCATGCCTCCTCAAACAACTTACACACCATATGTACCTCGTGCTCGCCGAGGTGTTGCAGCAGCACAACCTCTCCCACTCTCGGCTTCTGGTCATCCCGTCCCCATCATCACATCATCTCCACAGGGTGGTGTCACCACCCGCCATCTTGCACCAAATACCGGGCCTCAATGGTCGGAAGGCGGACTCCATCCCAATGGTACGGCCCACAGGCACGATGACGGTCCAAGTGCTGCACTCCTGGACAAGGTGCGCGCTCTGGCACTGCCAAGGCTTGGAGCTCTCCACACATTAGATTTACGAGGCAACGACCTTCGCGTAAGTACTTTTCTTAAGTATGGTATCATCTGTTGATGACGTCGGCGTAGAATGGGGTTACTTATCTGGCACAAGTACTCAAACGAAACAGGACCCTTAAGGTCCTGAACTTGAGCGAGAACAAGCTGGATGTTCAGTGCTTAGTGGCAATTGCCGACTCGGAGGCGCTGGTAAGCGTTTTGAGTTTCTTTGGTCGTCAGTTCTAACAGGAGCTTTTAGAAATACAATCATTGCTTAGAGACGTTGGATCTCAGTCGGAATCTCTGCTCTGGCCCTGGTCTCGAAGGCGTATGTTGATTACTCGCTGTACATGATGCCTAGGTTGAACATTGTTTAGATCCAATCACTCCGGCGAACGGCCTTCACATTGAATAACGCTCTTAAACGCCTATTGATATCCTCCACCAATCTGACATCACCAGGCGCCATCGCACTCGCGGAATTTCTCCCTGAATCAAACTCGTTGCTCCACCTTGATCTCACGGACAATGACTTGGACATAGCTGCCATTATGGCGCTGAGCTCGGGACTCAAGGCTAATCACATGATGCAATGTCTTGACGTCAATATACCTCCAGATGACGAGGAATTTGCCAGGTGAGTGCCTAACATATATGCAGCCGGCTCTATGGGGCATAGAGCCGCCGGCCCCCCCCCTGGCCGCACCTTTTCTCGCCTCGAGCCGCTTTTTCCTCTCGCATTTCCCCTTTCCTTATCTCATTCTCGTAGCCTTCAAAATTCCCTACCCTCCTTACTACAAAAAAAAAAAAGCTTGGTCGACTCAAATCAAAAAGGTATCAATTATCAATACATTCTCACACCCACCCCACTTCAAACCCACCCCTTCCACAATCCCCAGGCATCCAGTTTTTTTTGTCACCGTACTCTACAGAACAGATCCACAGTGTACTCCCATGCTACTTTTTTTGAGACTTCACTCTGGATGGCTTAGAGGGAGGAGGAGGAGGCAATCCCCATATCTTTTGTCCATCGCACTTCCTGACCTTGAACTTTGGTCATCCTACTCTACAGACCCATAGCTCACTCCTGCTCTACATCTTTTATGTCCTGAGCCAAAAATGCTGAAGCTATAAAAAGTTCACTCTGGGTGACTTAGAATTTGCCTGCCACTTTTTTCCATTGCACCGGTGTGACGATATTTTCATGGCTGGACTTAAAACACCCTATTTTGCAGTATGTGACCTTTCCCCATCATTGCCAACACTATAGACCCATGGGAATCCGCTAAACCCGAAATTCCCGCGCTTTGGATATCTTTGCATATGCCCTCCCTATGTCGAGTCAAGTCGAGTCAAGTCGAGTCTAGCCTAACCCCACTAGTGAGTAGTCCCTTTATTCTGATGCATTGTGCAGTGTTATTACATGTATTCTGACAAGCCTCAGTACCTTATGGCTTTTTACATAGCAACCTCAGCCAATGCTATCTCACCTATTTTTGCCTATTCTACTCTGGACTTTCACGTTTCTATACTTAAGGACGTAGTAGATTAGTATTCCTTACCAATTCTTGTAGGAGGGGATCGCCCCAAATACTTGGTCCCTGTCTAGTAGCTATAGGCAAGTAATAACAATACCATTCATTATTTCTTGACTGTCATCGCACAGTACACTTCACCAACGATCACTACACTATTCTCTTGCCACCCATTCCTATACTTCCGACCTATGGACCTGATTTTCCCCTGCCTCACATATCACCTTATAGGGTCGAACACTCTTGCTTGCAAGTGTAGCAGCAACTCAACCACACTAGTATGTAACCTAATAAGGATGTCATAGGGGGGGGGGGGGGCTATGACATGCTAACTAGCATCTGTTCTCCTAATTCTCACACCCCAGCAGTACCACCGTGAATAAAGCCTTAATTCCCTTTGTGGATTTTCCCAGAACGGAAGCTTATGTGAGTAGACCGTCCTGACTATCGCACCCTCCTTCAGGAAGCTCCGTGTTATGCTATATTTGCCGCTCGCTGCATAATCATTGTTGCTCGCTGTTGTCCACAACAAGCAAAGCTAAGTCCTTCAAATTTTCACCGTTTTTCTTACTTCTTTTTTTATTCTAGGTATATTTATTAATGCGCACACACTAGTAACGATAGTTGGCACTGATATGTCCTTGTCCTTGTCTTGCATGGTAAGTCCAACCCGCACGTGACTTTGTTGATGTGACTCACACTTGTGAGAATATCCTCGGCAGACACCATTAACTCCACGCCCCTCACTGTTGCTGCCATCACTGGCAACAGCGAGCATGCCTTGCTCCTTCTCCCTACCACGTATGATGCCTGCCTCCAAAAACTCTCGTTCTGTGCATCTTGTCGTCGGTTCAACAAGATCTACTGCAAAGCTCAAGTCCAGGGTCCTGTCACAGACACAGCAGGTTGAGGATCGATGATGCAGGCAAGAACGGTACAATGACAATATCGCAGGTAAGTTCTATTATCTATGCTATGGTTTGCATTGAGAATGCTGGCTATAGGACTAAGTACCGAATCTCAAACACTGCTTGCAGACATGCAGCATGAAGCTGTAGACAGCACAAACACAGGCATCATTGATACTATGGATGCTATGAACAGTGTGAGATTCAGGTATGTCTTACATGTATCCTCAAAGAACTATTAGATGCTCATAAGTTCGTACTTATATAGTTTTGCATTTTGAGTACATCTCAGCAGGCACTCAAGCTCCAGCGCTAAGGGTCTCGCGCTCCTCCTATCTCACATTCTTGATGCAAGGATTGCAGGTTAAATGCAACATTGATTACATGTTATTGTTGACGTGTTCTTACTACTAGGAAATATAGTACCAGCATTTTTAACTTGAAGCTGCAGCCTCCATGGACCAATTAGCACGCTGTTTGGGCCCTCGCTTTTTCCCCTTATCAGAGCGCATCTTGCGCTGTTTCTTAGTAACAGATACCTCATTCCCTCCCATGCCCATAATACCTGAAATCACACCACTTTCTACTTGCTCGCAGCCTCATTTCCTTTGAATGGGTGCAGAGTCTTCTGTTGTAAGTATGGACTGCGACTCAGTGTCCACTGGCTGTGAGATAGACAAGAGTGACGGATCAATGTTTGCTAGAAAAGGTTGTTGTTAGCATCATCTGATATCACAATGTAAGGATATAACATGTACCATTAATCCTACTTTCATCTGCCAGTGCATTCCTGTCTTCATTTGCGTCATCATCTGAACTGCGCTCCAAGGCGTTATTGAATCTGGTGTTGTCCCAATCTTCCCACTCAGCAGCTGTCAACTTGCGAAATTTTGTCACGCCTGTCCTAAATGCATTGTACACAATCTTGACCTCCACCATCGAGCCTATGTCCCCAGGATTTGCGAATTTTTTCAGTGGCCAGTTGTCGAGAACCACGTCATGTTGCGCAGTAATATTCTCATCAAAGTTGACATAGTACATTCTGGAGACGGGTACCTGAGCTGCCTCACGAAGCTTTTGCAGGATAAGCGCAGACGTGTTGCTCTTGAGTTGGAGGAAACTCTGCTTGTAGTTAGAAACTACACCTATAGAAGCACAAATCACAACATGCGGCTAATAATAAATAGAAATTTGTACCAGTAACGCCAGATGTACAGTAGCCTTCAAGACGTGTTGCAAAGTTGGAGGGTGTCTCTTTGAGAGCAAGCTGGAAGAAGTCGCCAACACGATCATCTGAAAGGTTGACGTAAGGATGATTATAATGGTCGAGGTCACCCCGAACAGTGATGAGGGCAGTATGACACCCAGTCCTTGCAGAGAGAGTAGCGAGCTGTATACAATATAAGGACATGTCAAAAATCACTGCTTCTACATACTGTTTGTGTTACAGAATCCAATGTAGCACAAATATCATGGAAGGCATTGATGGGGACGTTGTGACTTGCCAAAGCCTTGTTGTTGCAATGGTCTTCTAAGTCTTCCATGAGGCCTTCAGTTGCATCAATCTTTTCTTGCTGTGACATAGCATTCCATTTCTCAGCGATATCATGCCTGACCTGCATAGCCTTCACACGTGGTTCATCAGGAGCTCGTACTGTATAAAATACATTAGAAAATTTGAGGGGTGTACTTTAATATGCAACTGACCTGCATTCATCGCCTTGACCTCGGAACGAAGAAACACATTCCAACGGGTTGCTTTTCAGCTCTTTTGCTTGGTGTGCGTTCGTTGTAAAATTGCTTCAAAATGATATTCAACTGTCCTGTGAGGAAACTGTTCGTGCAATTTGATGGCCTCCTGCATGACCATATCCTGACAATCTGCAAGGGCATCCTTATATGCACATTTATGAGCCCTGCATTTCTCAGTAAGTGCCTTCTTCTCAGCTTCTGTGCGGAGATGTGCTTTGTGTTTGATGCGGTGGTGCCACGGTGTCCTTGAACTAGACTTTGTGACCTTGATATAATGCTGGTGTCGAGTGACATCTGGCATTGTTGAAAATAACAACAGCACAAGCAGGAGGACAACATGAACGAACATGGGAATGCAAGCAAATAAAAATTGTTAGTGTACTATAGGCATTATAAATGACGTTAAAGGCACAGTAAAAGCCTGTTATCTAGATGAAGGCACTATCACAAAGATAGACGTCACGTCCTGAAATCAACTCGAAAAGATATTTGGCCTCCAACAGAGGCATTCCTCTAGTGCAGAGATAGTTAGTGAAATCTTGAGACGAATGTCCTTCCCTAAAAGCATGAATGATGCTCCATATGGCTGACGCTTGGTAGCCATATGCGAAGAGGTACTTTTCAGCATCAATACCAAGGACACCAGCGGGAGGTGAGTCTGAGTTGATATTATCAGATTCTCCGACAAAAACTATCCCTGTGATTCCAGAAAGCGACCTATTATAGTGGAAAACGATGGGCAGTGATGAACTGTCAATAGACTGGTAGGAGGTGGGCGATTTCACTTGAAGCTGCTTGAATTGAGTTGCAAGCTGCTGTAAACCTTGTGAAACGATCAGAGGGAGTAAGAAGAGTGAAAAAAGAACATACTTGCAGGTTGAGGCACCCCATGCTGCCTTTGAGAAGTGGATGATCGATGTATCGTCACAAAGGACTTGGTATCGCGAGTCAAACCAGTTGAAGTCAGCTGAGACTCGTCATTAGGAATATTGCCCTTGAATATCATGAAGTGGAGAGCTTCGATTAGCGTCTTGAATTTATGGAACTTCTGGATTTCAAGGCCGTTGACCTGTGCAAGGGCCATTGGCCTGTAACATTTAGAGCATGAGTATGGTGCAGCAGTGCACAAGTATGATAGTTTAGACATTACATACCTATCCAGAAATATACCAACTTTCCATCCGTGAACAATGCTAAAGAACTCTTCGTGATTGGGAAAAAAGCCTGTGATGTCCTCCTTGAAAATAGCCAAGGTTGCGAAGATAGTACTAGGTGAATTCCCCTCAATGAACTTGACGGTATAGTTCTGCAGTCTCATGATTCTATCCGCTTGGTCCTGTGAGAAGCATTGTATAGCTAGTGGGAAGGGATCTGTGTCGTGACCGGATGTAATGGATGGCCTTTGAAAGTTCGAACATGATGAGATTCAGAGAATGATTGTTTAAGAAACTGGAACTCACCAAGCTTCCTTTATGCCAGGGGATGGGCCACCAAGAACAGCTACAATCAGCTTTGATGAAGACATAGTTGAGTGAAAGAGAGTAGTGTAGTAAGTAGTTGCAACTGATTGGTAGCAGTTGGAGATCGACACTGAATGCACACACAACACATAACAATATCATTACTGAATTCGAAGTGCGCTACACACTGAATTATTGAATATACACTACATACATCTACAAAGCATGTTTCCTCGACCTCATGAACTCAAGTTGCGCTGTTTATCAACATCATCATGTGCTGAAGGCACATGATGCAAAAGGAGCGCAAAGCGCTCCTTTTTGCAGATGTTGAAAACAGTGCAACTTGAGTTCGTGAGGTCGAGGAAACATGCTTTGTAGATGTATGTAGTGGCTGTTTATCAACATCATCATGTGCTGAAGGCACATGATGCAAAAGGAGCGCAAAGCGCTCCTTTTTGCAGATGTTGAAAACAGTGCAACTTGAGTTCGTGAGGTCGAGGAAACATGCTTTGTAGATGTATGTAGTGTATATTCAATAATTCAGTGTGTAGCGCACTTCGAATTCAGTAATGATATTGTTATTGTGACTACCATTATGCATTGCACAAAAAAGTACAAAGATCGCTACTGTAATTCTGATATGTAATTGAGTAGACCGCCGACTTCACCAGCAATAGCATCGTCCTCCTCGAGTCCTCCGCAATCATCATTCTCATCAGCTTCAGCACTCTGATGCTCCGAAATCACCAATGCCTGCAAGTCCGCAATGGTTTGGACATTGTCTGGAGTGTTCTTCATGACACCCGGTGTCGTCAAGCCAGCGAAGCCAGGAAGTGAATATAAGTCCTGTAAACAAGCAAGTATGTGAGCATTGATGTGCTGCCGGCGTCGACAGAATTCCTTGAGTGCCTCACATAAAGGATCACTGGCATTGTTGGCCTCCAGAATGACCCGGGTGAAGTGTGCTTCCTCATCAATGATAGCAGTGTGCAGTCGACAACTTTCCACATAACAACGCTGAATTTCTTCATGGGCGCACTCAATGCGAAGGCTCTGCTTCATGACTTCACGCACTGCCGGTTCAGCCCAGCATCTGCTGCGAATGTCTTGGTGTGTCTCACACAAGAGAGCAAACTCTTCAAGAAAATTGTAGTGCGATACTTTAGACCAGTCCAGCATAGGCACTGGTGGCTCAAGGGCAAGGGCAGCTGTATTATAGGACTTGACAGCAGTCTGAATGGCCTTGCACCGAGTTTGCAAGGACTTGGCGATATGGGTGCGCATCCGATAACCTTCAGAACAATGGCAATCAGTACAAAAAGTTGTACATGAAGATAGAAATGCTTACCCATTTGAGAGATGTTGAGTTTGTGAAGTTCAAACAGCCGAAGTACTACGAGCCGCTGAAGATTGTCAAGCGTGCGATGATATTCACGCTGCAACATATATTTCAGGGTCTCTAGGTACTCATGATCAGCTGGTTCCCATCGTCGGGTTATACCCATCTTCAATTCAAGTGCGACGATGTCTTGTAGTATCATGTCATATCGTTGTGAGGCTTGTCAGTGTCGTGCCTCCAGCTTTCGAGTCTGGGAGAGGTTGACAGAATAGGAAGAGGAAGTGCTGGTGGGTATAATGAACTCGTAATTCATTGGTGTGGCATTTAGGAACATCGCAGAAGCAGTTTCTGAGGTTGCTCTGAATGTGTCATAAGATTATGAAAAGATTAACATGATGTGATACGTACCTCGCTTCCCTGAGTTTCTGAAGAAGTTCAACATATGCAACAGCGTGAACATCCCACTCGGCCTCCTGACCTGATGTTGCAAGGTACTGCGATTGTTCCGTAGACCACGTCTTGAGATCATCATCTGAAATGCTGAGTGAAATTTTGGCTTCCCGGATAGCAGATCCCTGTTCTTTGATAATCTGACACGCTTGAACATAGTTTTGATACAACATGTTACCGAGGTTGAGGTACTTGTCTTCGTCCCACTGTTTGAAGAAGGAATCAATAGACACACAACGGTTGTATGCTGAGGCGTAACAAGTGACAGCAGCGAGTTGATTGGACGAGCTAAAAATACACTCCATCATAGCAAGATCTTCAATTCCCATGCCCTTGATGACGTTTGGGTGGTTCTTGTCTTGGCAGAGATAACTGTGGGTATACCCATGGAATGCATCAACACACATACAATATTCTGCATCATTGAACCTCTGCGCTAGTGAGCTAGAGGCAATAGTAATAGCAAGCTTGCAGCCAACATCATATCCAATCAGAAGACGTGATCCGAGAGTCTCAAGAGCTTTGCTAACAATGGTGAGGGGGTACTTGAAACTGAATATATAGACCATCAGTATTTATGTTGAAAACAGGTAGATTAATCAACATACAGCTCCCCACTACGAACCATATCACCAATCCAAAGTATGAGACCATGACGACAAGTGCTTGCAAAGATTCCCGTCTCTTCAAATATTCCCCACGATTTCTTCTTCACATCTGCAGCTGCAGCTTTCCAGTTATCTGTGCATGCGGACGTAGCTAGTGACGTGTTCAAAGGTCCAGGGTCCTCCCCAGTGTGTGTTTGAGAAGTGGGGTCGATGTTCGCATCATTTGATGGTAGCATATTCGATTGTGATGCAAATGTGTCGATGTAGTCAGGCTCGAGGTAGTAGTCGCTCTTGAATAAACGTGTATCACCGATTTGGTGACCTCCCAGTGGTGCCATACGTGACAGCGAGTTGTTCCCATCAAATACTATCATTCATCAGAAGACAAGTTCCGGCTCATCCTTCAGCTAAAAATTTACGTTAGAATATTCATAACAGTGCCTTGCATTACGTACCTCGTATGTGCATGGCGGACATGCATTGAGCACTTGCCAGTTTTCGGAATCACGTCCAAGGGTCTTCGAAACCTGAGCATCGATGTTGCGGTGAATTGCAAGATAGACGTCGAAAGCACTGGCAAGCGCAGTACAATATCTCCGGTGATAAGGCCACTAAGTTCCATGTCAAGTACAATGCTAATGAGAAAGTCAAAAGTACATACATGATAGAGGTCGCAAAGGACCTTAGTGAATGCCTCGACACTGAGTGAAGGTTTGCGCAGACACAGCCGTCTGTAAAGCTCAAGTGTTGACAAGGAGATGGCGATAGTTGGAGAATGAGGAGTAGCACCCAGATAACCATTTAAGATCAGGGCTTCTGCAGGGGTTTCAATGGTGGGTGCACTGCGAATATAAGCGCTAGTAACAAGTGTGCATATGTCAATAACGTCGATCGAGAAATCATAAGGGCCAGGTTCACTTGGAGGGGGAGGCGATGAATACTTCCATGTGAGGTACCCAGAAGTGAGTGCATTGATCAGTGGTGCCCAATTTGTGTGAAGGCTGACCAGGCGTTGCCGCCATCCATGGCTATCTTTGTATATGCGCCACCTGCAGTAGCTCTAAATGAGTGTCACAAAAATGAAAGAAAAAACATATAGTACTTACTGGCTACCGACAATGTCTTGCACAGCGAGCATAAAGGTCTCATTGTCTCTGAGGTCATCTGGGACTGTTTCCCATTGAAAGTCACTGTTCATAGCATCCATAGTATCAATGATGCCTGTGTTTGTGCTGTCTACAGCTTCATGCTGCATGTCTGCAAGCAGTGTTTGAGATTCGGTACTTAGTCCTATAGCCAGCATTCTCAATACAAACCATAGCATAGATAATAGAACTTACCTGCGATATTGTCATTGTACCGTTCTTGCCTGCATCATCGATCCTCAACCTGCTGTGTCTGTGACAGGACCCTGGACTTGAGCTTTGCAGTAGATCTTGTTGAACCGACGACAAGATGCACAGAACGAGAGTTTTTGGAGGCAGGCATCATACGTGGTAGGGAGAAGGAGCAAGGCATGCTCGCTGTTGCCAGTGATGGCAGCAACAGTGAGGGGCGTGGAGTTAATGGTGTCTGCCGAGGATATTCTCACAAGTGTGAGTCACATCAACAAAGTCACGTGCGGGTTGGACTTACCATGCAAGACAAGGACAAGGACATATCAGTGCCAACTATCGTTACTAGTGTGTGCGCATTAATAAATATACCTAGAATAAAAAAAGAAGTAAGAAAAACGGTGAAAATTTGAAGGACTTAGCTTTGCTTGTTGTGGACAACAGCGAGCAACAATGATTATGCAGCGAGCGGCAAATATAGCATAACACGGAGCTTCCTGAAGGAGGGTGCGATAGTCAGGACGGTCTACTCACATAAGCTTCCGTTCTGGGAAAATCCACAAAGGGAATTAAGGCTTTATTCACGGTGGTACTGCTGGGGTGTGAGAATTAGGAGAACAGATGCTAGTTAGCATGTCATAGCCCCCCCCCCCCCCTATGACATCCTTATTAGGTTACATACTAGTGTGGTTGAGGTGTGTAGCAGCTAGGCAGAGCACTAGACTCATATACTGGCTTAGGTTGTAGTTCACTACAGCTCAGGTCAGATTGACTCATATCACTGGCTGACCTTTGAGTATTGCTACATTACTTTATGCACCTACAACTTGCTCCTGCACCACTTTATTCATCTCCTGGGCCAAAACTGCACCACTTGTGTCCAAAAAATCTCATCCCAGGTCCTGCATGCTTAGACCAGTCCATCTGTACCTGAGATATCTATCATGATAAGCCCATCTAGAACACCTCCACAAAGCAAGTGAGGCACAAGAACATTTGCAAGTTAGATAGATATAGATACAATCATCTCCATTGAGGGGCTTTATCAGTGAAGCCCTTCACAAATCATATATAATGTATCATTGTAGGTAAGTATATATGGGGATGAGCATGAAGAAAGGAATGTGGGAAATTTAGAAGGAAGAGTGGTGGTGATGGAAGATGGAGGGTGCAGGGACAGGGTGGAAGAAGAGTAAGTGTAGTACATATTCACCTGAGAGACATCCCCAGACTGGCTCAGAGTAATCATCTACTACTAGTAGACTACTGCTATTATGAAACTCATAAACCATGAAGCAGAGTTAGCATGTTACAAACTGGGATAGCTCTAACAAGCAAGCTCAAAAGAGAGTGTTGGGCTTGAGAGTTCTAGACCGATGCACAAGAGCAAAGGTTTGACATACAAGGCTTAGCTAAGTCAAGTATGAGATTAAGAATAGAGACTAAGGCCACCACATCAACTTGCCCACAATCAAGAGTAGGCACACACCCTCCAATGCAGTCACTGTATTGTGTAATGCATCCTGGACAAGTCACAATAAGATGGGGGATGGTATTGGCATAGGAATGAGTAAGTGAGCGATTTTGCTATTTTTGTAGGACAGCGCTGATCATATAAATTGGATGCGCTGCACTACATTGCACCTATTCTTCATAGACCTCATCCTAATATCATGGGTATCTGTCAAAGTCAACCCTGTGCAAAGGCAATCTCCTCCTATCCAACATGTTCTTACTCTGACACACATCAGCAAAACCCTAAATTTATCACAGCTGCCTCAGCCACTTACAGCATCTTACAGCAGTGCAGGCACCCGTAGCGATGTGTAGTGATATATTTATAGCAACTTATAGCATCTTGTAGTGTAATACAGACAGTACAGTGTTACATGATCGAGGTAGTACTACATAGCATACTACAGCGAGCCGGTCTTCCATCATGTTGTCGAACAATTCTGTCAAAGTAAAGGCTTTCTGGTCAGACGAGAGAAATACGATCATAAATAGTCTGCGAGGCTTGGAGTCTCGGACAACACAGTGGCGATGGCCGTGGGAATCGGGGCCTTGGGATTTTGCTGTATCATACCATATCCATGCCGCACCCTACACAACAAGTGTCTTATATGCGTATATAATATGTCTATGTCATCCACAAAGGTCTTCAATATGATTTATGATTAAGAAATACCATAGTATATGTTTTTGTGTAAGAATTATTGTGGTATCATAGTGAATATAGTACTTTATGGGTGTGGTAGTGACGTGGCAGGGTGTGGCAATTCTGAGATTTGTGGCTGTGGGGTGTGGCAATTCTGAGATTTTGTGGCTGTGGGGTGCAGCAATTCTGAGATTTGTGGCTGTGCACTACCACACCGCACCACATCCTTCTTACCAAGTATACCTGCAGCATTGTCCATGGTGTGCATTGTTCTCAGCAATTCATGCACCCCTGCAGTCTTGCCTGGCACTTGGTCTTCACTGCCAAATGGAATCAACTACACGCCAGTCAACCACAACACTGCGAGCTGCCTGAAATTCAAAGACATGGCTACCAACTTGAAGAACAGCTGCACAACATGTTCATCCTCGCGCATGTCAAGTACTTCTATGTACCTTCCTTGGCCGTGGCCATGGTTTGGGCTTTCTGGTACCTTTCTCTTTCTTAATGACTTCAGGCTCACTTCCTTCACTAAAGTTTGGCCCACACTGTTGGTCGGTGCTGTTTTAATGCAACCTTCCACTGTGAATATGAAAATTACGCACATCCAGTTCTTCTTCAAATTCTGGTGCATACAGATCTCAACCACCATGATTCCAGTGCTCAGGGAGACCCTCATATGGGTTCCATTGGTCTTGGTGCGTGCCAGCGTCTTTTCCCCATTGTTCATTCTCTGCAGCACCTGCGGCCAATGAGAGTTCAAACATTCGCTGTTCAAGTACACCAAGGAGTTTGAATGTCATTGTCTCGTATGATATTACTAGGACTCACTGCTGCTGCGCCCACTACCGCATCTGTGCCGCAACACACCCAACACGTCCTCTAAATTCGGCCTCCCAAAGTCATGTCCAAGAGGTGCATAGTCGATGAGTTCGACAAGTATTACTGCTTAGTCAATTATCTTGTGTATGATTAGAGTAGTTGTTGGAAATGAGCATTAAATGTATGTTTCGGTGTGGTGCAGCAGTGATGCAGGTAGTGGTGCGGCAAGTTGCGGCAGCGAACACGGCAAAATACCTGAGCCCGTGGGAATCGCATGCAATCACATCAGCCAACATATTTCAAAGTGTTATGGGCTCGAGACCCGCTCAACATACAGCAGGTGAAGTACATCCCATGTAAGCTTCAACCCATTTTTCATTTGCTGCAGGGGCTGACTCATTGGCACACTTCTCCTAAAGTTGTTAAGCCTTCATATATGCTCAGTGTCTGCCACCCCGACGGTCTGACACTCATAATCACTCCTAATGCTGACACAACGTCGTATCAAGAACCACCTCAAGTTGGCCCAGAATGCACAGGCCAATCAGACACCCGTGGAACCCAATACAATGTTGGCGATGACTGACACTGCCACAACATCTGAACCAGGCACAGTCCCACCTCGCAAATGTATGTTATAACGTTTGAATAGTCTACAGACACACTGATAAGATTTCTGCAGCCAAGAATGTTAGGAAACGAAATGCCACGTCGAGGGCTGACTTCACATCGACGGTCAATCTCGCATCGATGGCCAATCCCTCTCAGGTGACTATGGACAGCCAGCTTAAGGAGATGCTGGCCTTGATGCAGAAGGAGATTGCGGAGATTCGAGGAAAGAATGAGAGGATTCTTGGCGAGAATGAGAGCATGCGTGGTGAGATCAAGAGCATTCGCAGCGAGAACAAGAGGATTCTCACTAAGGAGGAGAGCATGTGCGGTGAGATTGAGAGGATCACCAATGAGAACAAGAGCTTGCGCAAGGACAACGAGTGCATCGATGATGATCTTGCCATCATTCGCAAGGACCTTGATGCAGCGAGAGTCCAACACACTCAGGACATTGAAGCACTCAGAGAAGTAAGTCATCCTTTTTTCCGATCACCAACCCTGACAATGATCTCCCAAGGTCACCATGTCACTAGTTCCCTTGCATCTTCGTGACCTACTTGACCGTGCACGCAGAAAGGGTCTGGAACACCTCGGTTACGAGACCTGGGAAGGACTTCGCGATTCCCGCAGCGTCTATCAACTTTCAAATACCATCTTCGATGCTCTCAAATGGCAGGGTGTATGATACACCCCATCCCACCAGTCCATCCTTTTCTTGTGTTCATATAACAACATCGGGCATGCGGGAAATACAGTTGCTCACAGCGCAAAGGAGAACGATGTCAGGCATGCAGTCTTGACCCAGCAACTGGAATCCCGTGATCATGAATGCTTGGAGAATTTGTTTACATATGTGTACGACGGGAAGGAACTCTAGCATGGCATTTACTATACCACCCATGTTTGTACTCGTTCTCCATCTCTTGCTGCTGTCTGTTTCTTGTAGTGTTGCATCTGCCTCTTACTGCCGCCCATTTTGCTACACTTGTATAACCAAATTGAATTGAATTCAAGCTGTTTCAAACACAAATTGTGCACACAAAGAGGGCAGAGTTAAAGTAAAATTAATTGATTCAAAGGTAGTGCATGACAGGCTGCGCCAATGAGAACGAACTCCACACGAATACTATCAGTCTTGCCTTGTTGTTCAAGTGATTATGTATAGCATCAAGCTGAAGACAAAAACAAGATACCATCAGTTGCGTCTCACCTCGAATTGCAATGAAGCATTCACAAATTTGCTTGCTGTTCCAAGTTTCTCGCCTTACACATAGCCTGTAGCGCAAGACAAGACTTGGCTACGGTTGCCACTGCCAGCATCGATGTACAGAACAACGTCTTCTCTGTGCTCCCCCCAGCTCTCCTCACAGTAGTCCAAGCAAACCGCTTCGAAGCCGACCACAATTTTTATTATCTCAGTCTCATCTTCGCTCTCGCAAAGCGTCCCAATTGGCTACCTCGCTTACTTGAAGATAATCATATCGCTCGGTGCATCAGGACCAGCCTCCTTGCCTCTTTTACCTCTTCGATTTTTTCATCCATAGCAGGCTGATGCTGAGCTTGATGCAATCATGAATAAGCAATGGTGGGACCTGATGAGGATGGCATGGCATGTTGCTGGTTGCCCCTATGATCAGTACCGCAACCGTTACGCTTCTGATGTTCTGGACTATGGTACAGATATTCTTGAAGATCTTGCCAAGGGCACGACCATGTACATGCGCGTGCTGCCAGATGTCTCGAGGAGTGAGCTCAAATTCCTCCGCAAGGGGTTGAGCAACACTATCAATAGGTTGGAATTGCAACAGGCGGACGAGAATATTCAATCTGCAGTGAGAGCTCTGAAGGATATGTTGTTGTTGAGGGCAACGTAGGAGGTGATACATTGAACTCGAGTGAGATGCAAGTTCACGAGATCGTGTTACACTGTATACCTTGGAAATTATCATACAAAGACTTGTCGTGGTTTGTTATTGTAAACTGCATGGAATATGGTAATCATATGGGTCCTGTCGCTCAAAGCAGTCAGAGCTAGAACACTCTCCGCAATAGCCTCCTCTGTTGAAGTGTGCACTACAATATCTCCGTCAGTCCTAATATGGCTATGATGAAAGAGAAACCGAAGAGTTTAACGATCCTGTCCAACTGCTGTCCAATATTTTGATGCATCAGTGGAATTCTGAAGCATCACCTCCGCTTCAGTCATCATCGCAGTTTGGACAGCATGATCATCTCCTTGAGTTGATGTGGCCTTCTCATCCTTCCACCCCTTCCAATCAGTGTGGCCACATATCATAGCCAGCTGATTGCGACCCATGTCAAGGAGTACCCGATGACAGATTCTATCGATTGCAACTTTATCCTGTAAGGCTCAAACATGGGTGTGAAAAACCAAAAACCAAAAAATATAGGACGAACACCCAAAACAGCTCTGTTAGTTTCATCCAATTGACCTCTCAGCTCTTTGATGTCGTACTTCAGCTGAGCATTGTCCTGCTTCAGCTTAGCATTGTCTTGCTTCAGCTGAGCATTGTTGTCCTGCAGGCCAGAAATCACCCGCCTCTGCTCTTCCATGTCATGCTTCAGCTGAGCATTGTCATCCTGCAGGCCAGAAATCACCCGCCTCTGCTCTTCCATGTCGTGCTTCAGCTGAGCATTGTCGTCCTGCAGGCCAGAAATCACCCACGTTAACTCAGTATTCACTTGCTTCAGCTCAGCCATGTCATGCCCATATCTTTCCTCCATTGCCTGGAATTTACGGAGAAGTATGTCATTAATGTTGTCAGCTGAAAATACAACTATTGGTCTGATCATTATAAACCAAAGGGCACAAAAAACATACCCGGTTTGACATAATGCTCAGTGCTCTCCTCTCTAGCCAATGGTGCAACATTTTGTTGAGCCTTGACATCGCGCACTTCATGAATCACAGATCGAAGAGCATCAACAAAGGGTGAGGGTGTCAAGTGCTGTCCTTCAAGGGGTTGCGGGTACACAACCATTGTAATATCACCCTTCAGAGTGCATATGATGGTATTATCATCCCTTGGAACTGACCAAGTGTTAGAATATGTATCCACCGTGAATACGTGGGTAATAAGTGTATTGGTGACATACCTGGGTAAAAATCGGTGCAATCGGGGTCTAGGGTGACAAGTGGCACACCGGGAAGTATCTTCAAGTGTTCCTTGATCGCCTCCATCCCCGCCTGCTTAGCTTTTGAAATAGTAAAATTGGCTGATAAGCTGATAGATTTCTGTAACTTCGCCTCTGCATAAAGGACAACCACTAGCTTGCAATCGGATGCCATCGTCTAGGTAGTAAAGATCACAGTGATGGCCGGAATTTGCCGAGAAGCTGATACGTCTTTTTAAATTCGCAATGGCCCTCCGGACATAACCTGTACCCGGCTGCAGCGCACAGCGCTTCCGTCTCATTTTTTCATGCACTTCCTACCACAATTTGTACAACCAAATCTATCTCATCTTGTAGCCCTCGAAATTCTGCACTCCCCGGACGAAAGCCCGCATCAAAATAATCGAGTTTGTGTTGTGTAGCACCTTGTGCCAAAAGTTCCCCTTTCCCACACCTTCTCGACTTCTTTCTGGCCTGCCCTCCAGTCACCACGACCTCTGGGCACCTCGACACCCTCTGTACTTGTCAAGTCGCACATAACAATGACCCTGCTTTAAAATCATGCTACCCGCATGTCTCCTTTCCAAGTTATGGCCCGAACTTTGTTTTTGGTTGCCTTACTAGGAGGAGGAGGCACAGGTAAGCTCATAACTTTTTTTCAACACACTCCCTGACCTCAACTATCTATCATCCTAATCTACAGTACCCTGCGATGTCCCTGCGCCAAAAGCTCGCCGCCCGTGGCTTTTGTTATCAACTTATGGCCCGGCCTTTGTTCTTGTTGGCAAACCAGGAGGAGGATGGCAGGTGAGCTCGTATATTTTTTCACATTTGTTTCTCGTACTAATATGTTCAGATATCACACTAGGTACTCTAATACACTCCCCACACCACTCATCTCTCCAACCGCACGTCTCATCCGTCTGTTATGGCCTGATCTTCATCCTGGGTCAGCTACAGGGAGGTGACTTAGGTGACTTCATATATTTTTCCATGGCATCCAGCTGCTGCAAACTGATCCTTTCTATACCTAGGGACTACCGACACGAAGAATTTCGGTCCCCTTCGATGGTCTACAGCCCCACGTCACTTGCTTTGCCCCCTCCGCCTCTTGACTCTCGCACACTCATGTGGACTCGCTCCCAATTGTTTTCAGACCTCGTTCACGCCAATATATCAACCTCTCGCATTTGCAACTGCTTCTGCATGGGTCCGAATGTGTTTTGCCAAGTAGGATCTTTTCTTGTCATTTCGTCCAATACAATCAAGTACATCTCTACTTCACATACATAATGTTCTTAACACCATATTCATTGCCTCATAGACTCTGAGACATCGACTAATTCTGGCTTTGCTTCCTCCGTCAATCACAAGGGTACCTCACGTCACTCAATAGTGTCGTTCTCAAGACTGAAGCCGAAATTGGCGATATCAAGCGCGCCTGCAATCTTTTTGACTCACTTGTCCAGTCACATCTTCAACACGCCCCTGGTTAGATTGCAGCTGCTTGTCTGAAAGAACGCGCTGGCCACATGCTGCAAGGAAACTCATACAAGTGGGCTGCAAGCAGTGTCCAGGATGTATGGCTGCAGGCTGCAAGATTATATGTTGACATGCCCTTCATGATACCCTCTGCATTGTTGCTGATGTTCTTTCCAGCATCCCCAACTTCGTTTGGCTATGAAACAGCTCAAAACACCTGAGCATGCCAGAGCCGTCCTTCACAAGGCCCCAATGGCGCTTAGTGATGCAATTTCAAACCTCGATGAGATATCTGCTCGAGTATGATCCAAGGTAACGACTTATTTTCACTTTCTGCTCAGCTGTATGTTCAACACTGAAACAAAGAATTAGACATGGTAGATCTAGCTCGGTGTGCAAGAACTTACTCAGTAGGTCTGTGTGGGTTTCCTTTGTGTGGTTTGCACTTATTTTTTCCGTGCTAGGACCTCGCCAAGTGCTGCTCAGCACGTTTGGATTCTTTCCATAAGTGGGTTGGTGTAGCGACATTGCGAGGCCTTAGAATAACATCAGTGCCCGAGGAACTGCAGGCTGAACAATTTAGCTGTGAGTTTTATCTGTCATCTGAAAAACCAGTCGCATGTTGACGATTCTCCAGCTCTTGTGCTACGTGTTCTCTATCGTCTGCGATCGCTGTCAGAACAAATTCTATTTGATGCTGCAACCTTTTCCTATGCATTTCCACTCCTTGGACAGGTGTTGCTGAGGGGTGGGGTAGACGCTGGGCAAGATGATGGTGATGAAGCACTCGAGCAAGTAACTCTCGTGCTCGATGTAAAGAGTTGATTCTATGTGGGCACTACAAAAGTGTTACCTTAAGACTCAGAGTGTGAGTGAGATGTTTGTCCCAAAGAGACTGCCTATAGAAATGCTCCTTGATATAAAGCAAGGGATATCTTGTTAAGATCAAAGGTGAGAGAAGGAAAAGCTACCAAGAGTGCACTTGGTGTTCCGAGGATGTGTCCGAAGTACCGAAGTACTCGTCCGAAGTGGTCCGAAGGTGGTCCGACATCTAGAAACGAAGGTCCGAGGTTGCGCGAAGCATCCGAAGAGCTTCCGATGAACAGTGATGGTCCCGAGGTAGAAGTACAGCGTGTATGTCGAAGTGTAAGACTTGCAAAGTAAAACTAAGCAAAGTCTGTCGGGAAAACTAAGAGATAGATGCGAAATGGCAGCGGTCAGGCCAAACAATCGTTCCGAATGGACAAGAAAGATCGATTGCACAAAGTATGACTATCCGAAAGTGACTCTACTGACTATGACTCGTAGCAGGGAAAGTGAAGTGAAGTGCGAGTAGCTAGCGAGGCAGATTATATCCTACAGCGTGAAGGTCCGGAAACTGCATAGGCGAAACCAGTAGCAAGATAAGACATCCGAAATGTAATAAGACTCAAGGCTGAGCCGCTACAGAGATATACATGTAATAAGGCGCAAGGTGTGTTTGTTGTGTGTATAACCGACAGGCTGACAATGTATGTGCCCCTAGACATAATCAATAACAGATAACCAAGTGGAAAACGCACCAGCGAAGTCAAACGGACATGGACAGGACATGGTACGGAGGATCAGGAACTGTATACAGGCCTCGGAAATGGACGGACGACCTTTGGACGACTCGGACGAACGCACAAAACTCTCAGAAGGTAAATGGAGTGTCGAGGAATGTGTATGTGGAATACCTATGTGTTTGGCAGGATACGAGCCCAATGCCAATCCGAGTGCTACATTGATATCATCAGATTTCACTGCAGCGAATGTTCATCTTCAGTGTAAGAGTTAATGCATTTCTAATATTCTTGCAGTTTCAAATGCAGCATTTCCCAGAAAAGCAACTATGGAGTACGTCCTCCAAGTCATAAGGCATCAGCCATGACTTAGCAAGGAAGCGTCATCTGTTCTCATTGACCTTGGAGAGGCTGTGCAGCCAAACGCGACCCGCAATGAGGTTGGTGTGCTCATTGATGGCACACTATTGCAAGAGGTCTATGTCAGGAACACTTGTCTGCAAGCCATCCAGGTCAGTATCATTCGCTTACCATATGGTTATTGTATCTTCCAGGACTTCATGATCATGTATCTCTAAATCTACCACACATACATAATATGTGTCCCCCTTTCCTTGGTTTTGCGGCAGATAGTAGGCATACCATGTTATGTAGTATGTTCTTTCTGAGTGAAAAGTAAGTAATATTCAGAAAATTCCTAAATGCATAGGGTAGTCTGTACTTATGTACCATGGTACACGGGCATAGATGTTAATGAGAAGAATGAGTGGTCATCTGTGTAGTACAAATTAATCCAAGGAATAGATGAAGCTCATAAGCATAACTCTATAACCCGACATTTAGAAACTCCAATGGCACTCACGTCGTTCAAGCGAGCAGGCACTGCACTCGCTTCTGGCTTTGATCCAGCATAGCCAGAAATACTTTCAGCATCTCGCAACTCGCATGCAAAAGCTCTTGTTCCGCCTCCGCCTGCTCTCTGACAGAGCCTCATTCTACTTTAACCTCACGAGCGAGAGAACATACTTCCCCTATTTTTGCTGCTTCTGATTGAGCAGCTCTGCCCACGACACAGCAGCCTCTTCCTGACCATGTGCAAAAGCAGTGTTGGATGCCTGCTTGCTAGAAGCTTCTGCGCAGCGCAGCTGGTCCTGCAAGGATGCAGTGAAGGCAGAGTGCTCCTCATCCAGCCTTTCCCTCGCCTCAACGCTAATGTGAAGTTGTTGCTCCAGGAAGGAGACTTGCTTTGTGAGTTCTTCAGTCTCCTGAACATGAGAGTGTTTCGGAGCGTGCAGCTGCTCCTCCAACTCCTGCGAGCGAACGAAGCATTCCTTTACCGTGTTCTCGGTAGATGCCACTTGTAAGCAAAGTATATTGACCCATAACTACCAGGCGATGGTAGAGCAGTGAGGCAGGGACTTTCAGGAACTTCAAGTGCAAGAACACTGACGTTCAGTGAAGGGTCAACTGGCATGAAGGTTGCCTGAATCTCTGAAAACATTTTTTCTACCTCTTCCTGTATAATCATCTGTGATCCATCATTTGCCAATTGTTCCCAAGACATTATCGAGCTGCAATTTGCACTATGGGCTTTGGGAGGGCGGAGGCCAGGTGTGCTCTGTGAGGTCAGAGGTACAGGTGACAGGTAGGAAAGATTTGCTCGTGTAGGAAGGAATTGAGAGGGACGCAAGGGCATTTCAGGTTCTGACTCATTGTGCTGCAGTTGAACAGCCCAAATCCTGGGTATCGCAGGTGTGGGTGCTTCAAGAGGAGCAACAGGGGAGAGGAGAAGTCCCACACCATCAGCTTCTATGGAATCTTCACTGTCTTCTTCCGCAAGATGTGAGAGTGGTGTGGGCATTGTACTTCTGCCAAGGACCATAGTGGAGTTTTGACGAGTATGATGAGCAAGGGGCGACTCAGGTGCAGGACGACCAGTAGAACGCAGAGGGCTTGACATTTGATTGTTTTTTGAGTGTCCGAACCCAAAGCCACTCTTAGAGGGTGTCTGAGGTAAACTCTGCGAGCAGACAGAGCTATGAGAGGATGAAGACGACAGAGGACGTGCAATGTTTGACTTAGATGCAGAAGAAATAGTTTTTATCTTAATGATTTCACCAGGTCGTGCGGACTCTACCTTGGCAGGCGAAGTCTTCTTTGGCATCAATAACTTGCAGATCTTAGAAGGCGTCGAAAGAGGGGTAAGGTTAGGCAAGTAAACCTTTACTGTAAGTGCTTTGTGAGGGAGAGGACTGATCAAACTCTTAGGCCTCTTCTCTTCCATGCTGCCTTTGTAACGGAGGCTATGAACCTTGTCCTCTTCCTCTGATGAGCTTGGCTGCCTGCGAGTGCTGGAACGAGGAGGAGAAACAGGTTTCTTGGGTAGAACAGACTCTATAAGGGTGGACCTGGGCCGATATTTCGGCAATGCAGATGATGTGGGTGCAGGAGCAGTCCTTGGACGCAGTGAAGACGAACACTTCATGGAAGGACTAACGCCAACGGCGTCTAGCCCCGTTATCCCCATGTCGTCACAAGCAGGAGAAGATCTGAGGAGACCATACTGTCTCCTGGTACCGCGTGTGATGGTTTTGGATGGAGAAGCGTCTTCCTTGGTGTGCCCAGTAAACTTTGACTTCCAGGTTCACAACGACTCGGAGGGATGCACACAAGCAATTTTCAAGAATGAACTCGAGAATCTTTCCCAGTTCCTCTCCATGGTAACCCTGATGAGAAATTTCTTTCGCTCCTTTCTCCACTATGGTAGCCGTCGGAGATTTCAGGTAGTAGTCCACTGCAGACTCGACGAGCTCTGAGCCATTTGACTTGTACAGGAGAAACGCAAAGTACTCGAGGATGAATCTTACAGGGGCGCACCCGCCATACCAACAAATGATAGGGGATGACATTGAACGTTGAACATTCAAAAGCATTTTGAGTGGAAGGCATTATGTAATGTGCTGTGAGAACTAAGTTAAATACTCAGAGTGCTACTTACCTTATGGTGGAAGATATTCCGGACACAGGAATGTCCAACCATAATGCAATGACTATACAATGATTTACTTGAAAAACTCGGACTTTGGCATTATTCTATAATGGTGCCTGTATGTAATACTTGGTTGATATGCTATATGATGGCAGTGTAAACTTTATGTGATCGAGTATGTTGCAAGTATCAATAACTCTAAGTGCTTCTAGCAAGGTTAGTTCAGTCAGCTGGAAACTGCAGCGTCCAAGATAAGTCACCCTCCATCACCCTCAAACGAACGAAAGGTGCAGGCACCTGCATCTCAACATCCTGATCTGGATCCAGACTCTGCATTTTGACGTCTCCCCCATTGGTAGGCACCATTTCACTATGGTCAGATTCCATTGCAGAAGGCCACCTCGCACTCCCCATCATCCCTTCTACCGCACCCCGATACATGGCATTATACACCTCCTGCTTTGCCACTTGATGTGGCTTATTTGTGTGCTTAAATATCTCTGTGCTGGTCTGTGCTGGTCTGTCAGCACTGAACTACATAAAAGAAAGGAAACATACCAAGAAATCTTTCACCGACCCAGAGGCGAAGCGGGGTGTTGCCTAATGAGCCATCACTACCTTCTGTCTTTGTCTCTTTCTCCTTTCCTTTACCTCCACCTTTCACACCATCCACATCCTTTTGCTTCACGCCCATCACAGCGCCAAGCATCTCGCATACTGCCAACATCTCCATAGCATGCACAGGCGCTGTATGCAAATACTGTGCGCCCACTTGCATGAGGAGCAACGCGCGGAGATGGTTTTCGCCTGCTAAGCTCGATAAAGACAGTGCAGATTTTAGGTGTGATCTGTGCCAAGAATCAATTTGTAAGTACAAGTCAGTTATTGAGATTTTTGGTGTGAAATAAAGAAGTGGTGCACTTGGCACCAACAATCTCCCCTCTCGCACCCATCTAGCTGCCTGTACCACCTTCCCGACTGTTTCAAGTGTCCCTCCCATTCCATGATACCGCTGAATCACAGACCTAGCCAGTGCATGCATCTCAGCATCCAACCAGTCGCTTTTGTCAGTACTAGTGTCTTCATTCACACCAGGGTTCGAGTTCTCGCCTGTGAGCCTGAGCACGTAGTCTGATGTGCAACAGTGCTTCCCCAGCGCATGCAGCAGCGCCTACATACCCAGCATCTGCATTGCTGTTCGCCATCTATGGATTTGGTGACACAATAGAATACGCCTGTACATTTGGTATCTTCGAGCGCATGCGCGAGGTGTGTGGCATGGAGGGTGATGCGGGCACTATATGAGTGGAAGAGGTCGTATGTATGGGTTAGGGTAAGTAGTGCGTGTAGGCGCATTTCTGCGACGTCGAATTCGGAGCGTTGGATTGATATCTATGTTTCAGGATTAAACAATGGATACGAGTTTGTGATATGTAATTAAATGTACTGCGACGAGCTCGCATAAAAGATCCGCTGCGAGGCTTACTGTGCGCTGTATAATTTCATCTCTGTCTGCTAGGGAAGCCCAGAGGGGCACTGAAGATGAGCGCTAAATTTCTGGGTCGTCCACCTTCTGAAGAATGGTCGTTTTGCCTGCGTTTGCTCTCTCTATGATTAGAACTCGAAAGCGACTAATCATCCTTCAGAAGTCCTGAGCATCGATGGTTGCCATTAATATTGGGAGATCTTGGTGTGCGTCTTGAAGTAGAGGTTATTTGGTTTATCGTGAAACCTTTCCTATGAGAAAGAGGTTGTGGCAAGATATGGCAGCAAATGAACATGAAGCAAGAGTTCCTATGGCTTATGACACAACAGCTACACACAGCGTCTATCTCTGATCTATCTCCCTGCATCAGACCACATGTCTGGAGTTCCCTTGGGAAGATGGTGGTTCTGCATATGAACTGAGGAGCAATGGAGCAGTATGTGCTGTGCATGTTGGCTGAACTCAAACATTGACCACGCTCATTGGTACTGAGGGAAAGGGCGATGTAGCGAGCTGCGGGAGCTTGTGTATTCATAGATAGCTCGGGGCAGGTTTGGTACGCATCCGTGGATGAGTCCGACTGTCCATCATACTTTATAAATTGGTGCATATATTGTCAAGCATCAAAGAAGACGTACTGACCAACATACACGTAGATTCGGAGGGCTAGCATGTGTCTTACTGGATTACGACAGAATCTGCCCCAAGAACCCTTGAATACTCACTCATGAGCACAATAAACAAACTTCTTGTAGCCTCAAGAGTCACAATGGCATCCGGTTCTGCACCACCATTTAAGTGGGCCTCCTTCGACTCTTCCCGCCCTGGTGCCTACTGCAATGAGTGATGTTGTTCAGGCTGGCTCCTTCTCAGTTCATAGCAAGATCCCTGATGTCTTTCGGCAGTATTGAGATTACATTAAGATCATATAGCATCAATGGTGGTGATGTAAGTGATGAAGTACATGACCCTGCACCTGGAACATACACTATAGCATGCTTTGGCAAGAACAGTGAGTATGAGGACTCGTGGTACGAGCCAAGACTCACTAATTTGAAAGATCTGCGTGACTGTATGCCTTGGATCTAGCTATTTCGAAAAAAATGTCGACAGGATTGTGGCCATATTGGGGATCGATCGATCATGTCTGCTGCTCTCTGCTGATGTCGTGTGTTCTATATCATATCCAACAGCATGGTCAATAAACCGGGTGAAGGAATTCCCCGACTCTACGAAGTAGGGAGGGCTCAGATTAACATCCAGGCACCTGTATTTTCATGTGCGCATGAAAATATTGCCATTTTCATAATAAATGTCTCTTTTTTTTATGTACTCGCATTGCCTATTGTCCTGCCGAGCTTCTGCCACGTACCGGTTCAAATAATATTCTGCTCTTCAAAAACTGCCCATCCTGCATATTTCTTGACTTTGCTTTGCAGTTGAAGCCCCGTGTTGGTAAGCTCGTCCTCTGTCATCCTGGCTTTTTCAGTTTCATTCACTATCCTCGTTGTTCCTCAGGTGCTGTTCATCCGTTGTTGTGATGTCGCAGTTTATGCACAAGATTTCGTGCACACGCGCTTGTGTTCTTGATGTTGCAGATTGTCCACCTCACGATGTTGATCACCTTACCCAATCATACCCTCTGTTTTATGACCCATTGTATTACCCCCAATATCATTCTGCTGTGTTTGGGAATGCTACTGGTTTTTGTTACAGGGATCTGTAACACCTACTAGAGCCCCAGCTCTCCCTACGCCTGCCCCTGCTCTGCTAGACTCCCCGCGCGGCGGTGCGCCGCCTGCGCCTAGAAAGACAGCGGTCTGGACCGCTATGACCCCGCCTGGCGCTATGACCCCGCCCCTGGCCTAGACGGCCTTGTACCTGATCCATGAGGGATGTACGCCTCATGGTCACCCTAGATCAAGCACATGCATAACGCATGTCGCTTCATGAAGACCCGGAGCGCTTCTAAGCGCCTCCTGTTGATTGCGCAGTCGCACTTGGCGCTGCATGTATGATCAGAGGTTAAGCCTCATGTACTTTATCTAACCTCATGTCTAGCTATCTTAGATTAGCGATATACTATAGATTATAGACTGAGCTTGAACACTTGCATACACTATGTATAAGTAGACACATTGTTGTAGATTATACTTTACTTTAATCTACTAGGTTCATCCCCAGAACTTGCTCATCTAAGCTTAACTGCTTCCTTGTGTGAGACCGCACTTCTAAGTCGCCCCCATACGACTTAGCACGTATCCGCTAGCCCTGCATCTCAATGAGCGCCGTCTTACCGAGATCGCCGGAGGAATCCTTGACGTTCCGTCAAAGCTAGACCACGCTCAGCTTCAGTAGACTCACTCGAGTCGTCGCTGAGAAGACCTATCCTAGTTCGCACACGCCGACCTACAGTCGACGTAACAGTTTTTGTACTTGGTTGCAATCATCACTCGTCTCGCACGGCCGTACTTGTTACCATTGCCATCAGAACCCGGAGCGGATCTCTGTAACCACTTCTGCTACTGATGTTCTGGTTCAAGTGGACAACCGTGTGATGTCTTTTCCTCAAGCACATTTCAAGTTTTCAGCATACACGCACTGCACAGTGTTTGCATGTCTTAGTACCCACCATTCTGGCCGCCGGGACAATCTGGAATGTTCTCTTGTGGTCACACTGAGTGCTGATCCGCCTTGCATCTGGAATGTGCACTTGGTTAAAAAAATAATTTCAGTCAGTGAGTTGTCCCATATGGAAAGCTGGAGCACCGTGCTCGTTTGATCAGCGTTTTTGGTCACGTGCAGTGCGCAGACCCCAAACACCGTATTTTGCTGTGCAAATAATACTTTGATATTCACAGACCAAATATTGACATGGTGATTCAAGAAAACAAGCGACAGCAATGAGCGACTGATACACAAGCCATAAGCCCAAGTGAAAAGTCCTTCAAGGCAGAACGAAGGTAATCATGAGAGATCGAGTTCAGTGACCACGTTAGACCTGTCACCTCATTCAACTCACCATACTGCTATCAACATTGCGTGCAATGTAAATTGAGCAATTTATGCGTTCATCGGAGGAGGTTGGTAGACACAACTATTTCATTCGACCATAGAATAGTATAGGATCAAATTCGATCGAGGCAAGTCAACAAAAACATTATTTTGCAAAATATACAGTAGCACGGTACAAAACCACGATAGCAGGCAAAAAATGCGATGCAGGGCACAAAATACAATAGTAACAGAGTGGTGGCAAACATAGAGGATAGACTTGGACATGGAGCTCCATGAGTAGGAGCGAGAGCACTGGTTGAGACCATGGTGAAAGGGAGAGTGTGAGTCGCAACCAAGACTCACTAACTAGAACCGGACCCAAAAAACTTTATCGAGTGATGGTTGGGTGGTACAAGAGATGGTTGACGAGGAAGGGGAACTTGTTGCAAGTAGGGCCCCCGATAGTGACCTTGACCTATGCAAGAGTGAGCCGAGGTGAGCTGATATTCCCACATTAGCAGGAGTGAATGTGACGCACCGAAGTGAACCTTGGATCCCTAAATTGTAGGAGCCGCAAGGGGACCCATTGAGGTGAGGCTACATAAGGAGACGGTTAGTAGAAAAAGTAGTAAAAAGGCATTCGTGTGAGCATAGTTGCAGGTATCTGTGTCATCTGCATCAATGCGGACATCCGTGTCAGTGTGGACATCTGCATTAATGCGGAGATCCATGTCAATTCGAACATTTGCATCAATGCAAAAGTTCGCGTTGGTGCAAGTGTCTGTGTCAGGCATCCGCATCCACGATAGTGCGGGACCGCCTCAACAAGGTTGTTGAGTCCGATCTGCACGAGTTGCTTCAAAAGGGAATTTGTGATGTCGCTGGGGTCAGGACTGATATTAGGCTCCATCACAACAATGAAAGCCATGTGCGACGAGACGTCGAGTAATGTGAATGTTTAAATTTATCTGAAAATGATTGACTGTGCTTAGTTTTGCTCATGGCCCACTAAGCTTGAGTGGAAGCTCAATCGTCAGACAGACATGATTGAGGACAGTGCTGAGTGCCTGACAAAGAACATATCAGTCCCCCATCCAGAGTCGAGTCTAAATGTGCAGCATACCTAAATAGTGTCAAGACTGATTCAGACCAGTGCAAACTGCAGTAGACAAGCGTGATGGATGGCTGTCCCTGCCTGCTTGCTCTCGCTCGAGCTGCAGAATCCGGGAGCGCAGTATCTCGAGCTCCGAGTTTTGGTTCGGCAAGGGCTGAGTAGGTGTCACATCAGGACCTTGTACTGGCCCAGCATTGGCTGATGGTCATTGCTTTGATGCAGGCTGCTTGGTTGCTGGTTTGGCTGCCTGTTTAGCTGCTTGTTTAGCTGCTGGGGCGCCTGGGAGGGGAGTGAGCTGGGAATGCTGGAGGTGCACAATAACGAATGGAGGGTAGGTTTGAGCGGCATGGGTGGCACGCGAGCCACACGCGCCAGGAGGCGCTGGATGTAATGTATGAGGCACATTATTAATAGAATGGTGGAAGGCAAAGGTCTATATTGATACCGAGAAGTAAGGCCTGAGGTCAAAAGTCTGATCTATGCTCTTAGTTTGAAGATAACAAGGAAGGACAAAGATTGCATGACATTGGTCAGAGCATTAGGAAGGTAGAGTACGATACAGTATGATGGATAGGAATTCTGAATATAACAAGTCTATTTGGGCAAAGCCCGACAGGGCTTTAGACCGAGACACGCCTTTGGGAGAAAGCTGAGCTGAGATACCCTAAGACAAGGAGCGAGCGACACATCCAGCATGAGCTGAATCCCCAAACAAAAGGAGCTTGAAACGGACTCACAATTACTTAAAGCGGAGGAGGGAGAGCATAGCACATAAATGGTTCCAGGACTGGTTTGTCCTGGAGAAACGGCGCCATCACTAAAGCATGCTTCCGCAAATATAACACGAACACGTCACTACTCCACCACCCCATAGTTTTCATGTTTTCGAAGGCACCCCCCGCAGAAGATACTCCAGAGTTCCCCCAATGCGAAGACCGTGCGCCTTCAACGAACCAAGTCCCAATTTCTCGCTGGAAGATTGAAGACACTTGATAAATTCACCTCTCATGAGAGGGCGCATTCCAGCGTGGTGTTTCCAGCTGAAGAGAGCAGCAGTAGGTGGTGGCTGATTCATGGAAAGATGATTGGACAAGGCAGCGTCTGGATCAGACGGTCCTGACTGCGCCGCCCAATACACATCTTTGCCAAGGAGCGAAGTTTTTGTCCAGGGTAAGTGGAATATGGCCACGCAGAAGCCGTGACGATCGGTGTCGTAGCGCCAATCACTCACTTTGATGTGGCGTTGCGGGTCGAATCCGTGAAGGGAGGGAACGGTAAACTCTCCAACACGAGCGATGGTAAAGAATGAAGTAGTGAGACACGCGAACACTGCAGCATGCAGCAGAGAGGACAAGTCCAAGGTCGAGCAGATGGCAACTAGTATGTCGATCGTGAAAGGCGCACACTTTGGTCGTTTGGAAGTGATGGGCGCGAGGTGTTTTCCTCCTGCCATGGTGAGAGTGCACTGATCATTATCTGCGTGCCAAGGTTGACCATGCAGTAAGTGCCACGCACGGATAGCATAGAAATAGTTCTCCAAGCTTTTCCCGGAGTATAAACCTGAGCAAGCCGCTATGAACGCCAAGATGAGCACAGATGAAGCTGGACAGCGCTGTTCTTCTGGGATAGCATGTGTGTCACAGAACACGTGAAACACGAGAAGACCTGAACCGTAGGTCTCCCGCATGCTTTGTGTGTGAGAGTGAGAGAGAACCATAATGATGTGATTGATGTCGCTGTCGGAGATGTTAATGAGAGAACCTGTGTGATCTCGTCGAGAGCGAGTGACATGGGGCCGCCACAAGCGCAAACGATCGCAGGCTAGACAGTGAGGGCGTAGCAAAGAAGGATTCAGTGTCAGAGAGATGTTGTATGGGCGAGCGCGTGCTGTTGTCTCGGCGATGGTGATGGGAGTCATTGCTGCAAAGCGAGAAACGTTAGTCGCACCAGGTGTTGCGGAACTGCAGCAACAGCTTTCCCCACTCTTCGTCATCATGTTCTTCCTCGTGCTCAATCTCATTGTGAGCTGCGCATTCATGGCGTCCCACGAATTGCCGTTCAGTTGAGGGGGTGTCCGCGTCACGAAGGAGGAGATGCAGGTCCCCTGGCAAGAGGATGGGAGGGAGGAGGAGTGAACGTGGGGGGAATGACCCTCAGGATGGGCCATCTGCGGGGTTCTCGGCACTGGGAACATAGCAGAGGTGGAAGGAGACACTATTGCCATGGAGCTCAAGCAAGGCGTTGATTCGTCTAAAGACCAGGTTGGTCTCTCTATTGCGGCTACATCTGTTCCACCAACCGTTGACGACGCCTTGATTGTCGCAGAACACGCGATAATAAGCTGGGGAGGATGAACGCCTGGAGTTGAGGATGGAATGGACGAGCAGTTCAAATCCGACCGACTTGGCCCAGCCAATGTTGCATTGACCATTGAGTGTCTGCCAATCGTTGCGGAGAGTCCACGCCCTCCAATGCCCATTGACAATAATTGCAATTCCAAAGGAGGAGCTCACATCTGAAAAGGCGTGGAGGTCAAGGAGAGGGGGGTGTCTTGTGATGGGTCGCCCAACAAAGGGTGAATGTAGTCGCGCAGTCCACCAGTCAAGGTCTTCATTGATATGTCGAACGGGGTGATGTGGGACGAAAGGACAATGACCGCAGACGCCAAGCATGGCCTCCATAGAGGTGAGGTAAGCACGGCCTGCTGGGACGACCAGGCAGGTGTGTAAAAGCTTGCCGTATAGTTGTTGGATGTCCAGGAGTGCATGTCTCTCCCGCTAATTCCATTCGACAATGCAGACCAAGTATTTCGCTTTTTTTGGTGTCGATAGTTCGACCGTTCGAGCAGGTATATTCCACCAAAGCCCCAAGTACAGGGTGGTGGAGGTGAAGGCGGTATCCTTCAACAATTCCCAAGGGATACCGAGGGGAAAGGAAATGCTGTCAATATCTGCGAACGTGAAGGTGAACTCTGAGTCGAATGTTGAGCAAGGAGAGCGGGAGGAAAGGTCTTGCAATGGGAAATGGCAATTTTCAGGCATAGACATCAAAAGAGCCATCGTCGAACGACTCACCCTTATACCATAGTCTTCCTCCAGATATTTGCTGGCCCGAACGGGCCAGCAAACGATGTGCAAAGGCCCGCTGTAAGTTGTAACTCTCCAGATGCTCCCTTCGAATGCGAAAAAATAGATGGTCATCGACCCATTTCACAAGTGGGCCAACACCTGCAGCGCGAAGAAGGTCAGCACCTGTGTCGGCCACATGGCCATCAACTCCAGCAGAAGGTCCCATACCAAAGGATATGCAAGTGTCCATGCAAAAGGACCCGCCAGGAAGGTGAACGACAGCTGCTGGCCACTGAGAGTGGTGCAGGGGAACTGTGTGGTAAGCTTCAGCCACGTCACGAGTGGCTGCCTGAGACCCCAGCGGGAGAGAACAGATGATGGCGCAAATGGACTCGAAAGTTCCCCAGGAGCAAGGAAAACTGTCTGAGTCAACTCTGGCATTGATGGATCTATTGGGGAAAGCTGGTGAAGGCACCAGCGGGAAGGAGAAGTTCTGGATGATGCGGAATTTTCCTGGTTTCCCAGACTTGGGTATGATGGAGATGGGCGAAGACTGAAAAGGACCGAGTAAATGTAAGAGTTCAATACGCGAGAAAGGGCCAAGATAGCGCCCAGTGAGCAGCTCTCGAGCAAGTAACTTGTCGAAGGCGTCGTGAAAAGCAAGGAGGGAAGGGCAGTTGGGAGGGGTTTGCATCGAGGTGATGGGAGGGAAGGTGAGGTTGAAACCAAGTTGTAAGCTATCAGGTAGAGTCAGATAGTCTTCGAGCAGACCATGGGTGACCAACTGATGTTCCCACATTTGAGCATTATAAGGAGACATCGGGTGCAATTTTCTGTACTCGAGGACAGCTTTGAGCTCCATGGGTGGTTGCGAGGCAACCCGAGCAAATGTGGCGATCATCGTGTGATTGACTGGTGCATCTGGACCGTTGCCAGTCGATGCAGAGAGGTTTGTTGGAGGCGCGCAGTAAGAGCTGTTTGTTGGTTCTGGTAGCGACTGTGGGTTGCACACCGTCCCACAATCGATCTGTGGAGCAGTCGATGAAATTGTGATTGTTCCTTCCAAGGCAGACGGCGCACACGGCTGAGGAGCGAGAGCTGTGTGCGCCATCTCGAAAAACCTGCTTGGAGGATGACTGATGCGCAGCATGGTTTTCAGATCCCTTCTTGGCAGCCTTTGAAGGGGGAGATAAGGTGCGTTTCCGAAGAGGAGGGGTCTTGGACCGATGTGAGTGTCGTGAACGATGGTTAGTGGAAGACTCAGAATGTCCGCCTCGTGACCGACTGTTATGGGAAGAATCATGATTCCTGCTCTGTGAAGGTGGGATGTTGTTCATCTGTGGCCGCAGAGTGACATGAACGCGAAGTGGTACACAACAATGGTTGACACAACAAAGAGTGAGAAACACAAACACAAATGCAAACGCAACGCAGTGGTGAACACAAAAGGCATCAATTGAGATTGTAGTTTGTAGAGTACATCAACGACATGAACGCGAACACAAAATGCAAGTAAGTGTCAAAGGCATGGTTTGAAGGCGTGATGTTGAGAACGAGATAAATAATTAGTGCTGTTCATCTGCGAGAGTCGATAAGTACTGACCTGAGATTTGTGATCTCGATGACGAGATTCACGGAGGACACGGTCAAAAAGACGACCCAGCACAGTGTCACTGATGATGGAGAGGTCCCAGGCTCCATTGCCTAGCGCGACAGCAATGTGCCAAGCCCTCCGCTGTTCCTCTTGATAAATCATTAAAGCCCGTTGAGCTATCTGATCATTGGAATTCCAGTAACGATGTGTCATGATGGCTGCCCAGAACCTTGCGAGCATTAAGACACGTTGATTGGGCCAATCACGTTCCTCGAGAGCGGCCACGATACGAGGAATGGCTTGAGTGAAGTCAATGGGGGAGAGGAAACGGTCAGGGACCACGTGCTTGGAAGGTTTGGATGCCGCTGCGCTGATCCAAACTGTAGTCCCGTCCTGCTCTGAAGGAATGAGTCCCTCGTCGTCTTTGGTGCTGTAGGAAAAGAGGGCTTCCTCCAAGCTGGTGTTGGTCCAATAGTAGAGCTCTACAAAGTGTCCCTTGTCAATTTTCCTTAAGGCGAATTCAGAAACGAAAGCTTCTTCCTCGTTGGTGTCTGGCCGAGGACGCATCAGAATATTGGTATGTTTGAATCTATTCTTCTTTTGCTTGTCAGCGCGAGCTGTCTCTTCCTCTAACTGGCAGACTTGACGGAGGCGAGTCACTTCCGCTTCGGCTGCGAGTTCTTGTTCGGCACGAAGACGAGCGTCTTCCGTCAGCTGTTGTTGCCACTGGGTGCAAAGGTCATTGTTGGTGGCAACCCAAACTAAGCATAGAGACTCGGCAGCCTGTTCTTCTGTGATGGTGGCTGAAACGAAGGGTGCGCGAGAGGCGTGGTAGCGTTCGCTCGTAAAAATGGGGCATACCAGCAAACTCGGATCAGAGTGTAAACGATCCATTTCAAAATTTTGGTGTAGAAAGAGTTTTGATCTTATTTTTCAATATAGGCAGGTCAGAGATTTGAAGGAAGAATAGGAGAGAGGAAAGAGCAAGTATTGAGTGACGAAGGGAAAGGAAGGAAGAAGCGTGAGCTATCTTTCTCAAACAGGCATAGACCTTATTCTTACCACGCACTCGTGCCTCGTACTTAGTCAGAATCCAAATTATTTGTGCAAATACCTGTTCGGAGGTGTGTCAGGAGTCCTGTCGAAGCTCTTTACCTTATTAGGAAATGCACGTGACCAAAAAACACTGATCAAACAAGCACGGTGCTCCGGCTTTCCATAGTCCCGTGAGTGTGGAAAATGTTTCCTCAATGTTAATGAGTAGCAAAGGTTGTACTATTTATAAAATGCTACTTCTTTGCAGTCGTACATTGTGTGGTTGAAATGCCATGCCACTCAATCCAGTCCCTGCCCACCACCTCGAAATGTTCCTGTAACGATACAGGAACTGCCAAATCTTCCGTCTCTCGGCCGTAATGCATCTCTCCCGTCTGCCGGGTGTGTCCCATAGCAAGGTTCGCAGCTTCAGCCAACAAATTCTGGCCCTTGTATGACAGAAACTTGCGCTGCAAGGCTTGCGCGAATTGGCGGTGCAACCGCATGCTGAATGGTACCTTCAAATGTCTCATGAACCAGGTTCGAAGGACCAGAGACATTCTCTCAGAGTCCCACGCTTGCCCCAGCGTCACAAAGATACGAGTCTGGTACAGTTCCGTAACCTCCTGCTTGTGAGCTGGTGTACTACATTGGAGCTGTAGGATCGCTGCTATTTCGACAGGACGAACGATCCGAAGTAGAATAGTAATGACCTTGGCAACCTCGTAGGGAATGACGCGTATTATTGTCTTGTAGATCCCTGTGAGCGCGGAGGATTTATTGTAGTTGCTTTTTGTGACCAGAGTCCCAAGCTTGCTGGAGAAAAAAAGGTGTCTTCTGGATTCTCGCCCATTGGCATGTTGCCACATTTCTTCCTCAGTGCCGCGTGCCGGAAGAGCCAACAAATGCATCAGCAGATAGACGTACTCCCAAGCTAGAGACACGTCAACCAACCACCGGCTGAGCGCGGCGGTGTCCCAGCTGATTCTATTGGTTGCGTCATCCCATCGACACAGGGTGCCAAGATCGGACAGAGAGTCCAGTAGGACTGAAGAATCCCCTAGGTCATTGGCGTCAAGGGAGAATGCAAACAGGCCGTAGCCCCTGGCGTCTTCATTTTGATCATCGTGTGATGGCACCTCTAAGCTGGAGTGCGGGAGTGTGATATTGAAAAGTACTTTGGCGCGAACGTGGGCGATGCAGTCTTGAAGAGTTGACTGGACTGCAGCATGATACTGCTTGATATTGACCGTGTGCGTCAGAAGGCGGACAGAAAGTTTATCGTCCTTATCTAGCCACGTAACAATGGCTTTGGTAGGCGTCTTGCGAACGATCCAGCTTAATGATTTGATCCACTCGCGCACAAATCCACAAGGGGTGTTTTTCATTTCTGCTGTCCATTCCTCAATGATATCCTCACAGTATCTGATACCACCGTTGCGTCATGTCAGACAAGTTCTGCCAGTGAGAACAAAAACTCACTGATCCCAGTCCTTTCCAGGGTTTCTCAGCCCACGCTTCAGAACATCTAAGTCACCCTGATCAGCCTCAACTGTACTTTTGACGGTCTTCCGGTAGACGCTGAACTGCCGGTCTAAGAAGTCCATTACGAAGAGCCGAATGTCAAACTGTGTCCGGACTGTGGTAGGGGTTATGAGCTCTGGTGTAATAAATCCACCATCTGGATGGACAGCGCGAAGACAAACAAATGCGGCGACTGGACTGATGTACCGGTTTTGGAACATATCCAGGGTATTGGAAGGCATGTAAAGTTGTTCTAAAATATTGTGTATGGCGTCGGTGAGATCCTCACAGCCCTCCTGCGATGATGTCAGCAGCTTTTGAAGTATGGCTGAGGCTTCTAGCTGGCTGTTGGTGAGGAAAAGATGGTAGGAGCCATTGGTTGTTACGGTAGACTCAGGGCCCATAGGAAGCAGGGTGTACGTTTTCTGGGCTATACACCTGAGAACAAAGCATAACAATCTCACTTCTTCCGAAGCGTATGCGACGCGGGAGTGCCGGCAAGTGGGTGCATTGAAGCGCTCGGCCAAAGATTTTGCTCCACTACAGTTGAAATATTTGTATTAGCGCTAATAAAGAAACAGAATGCATGAACTCACTTTCGTGGCTTAACTAGAAGCTTGCGGATTACTAAATTGGCTTGGGGAACATCCTCACAAAGTCCCTCAATGCGAGAAACCACAGCCTTCTGGAGCCATTTCAGTAGCCTTTCCCCTTTGCCAGGAAGGGATACCAGGTGGCATAATGCAGCTGCCTCATATGGTGCGATATGCTCTGATGCGCCGACCTGTTCAAAAAGGGTAGTACGGCCTTCTTCGTGAGTTTCCGTCCCCCTTGGTCGGCAGCTGCAGGCATCAACCGTCGCAGTTCAGTTGCTAGGATAGATAAGTCGCCTGTCTTCTGCGAATTACTACCGACTTTACTATCGCCACCCCTGACTGCAAAATAAAGAGCTCTTTTCAAACCCCGGTCGAAGGCTTGGACTTCAACGGCTTGGGAGTCACGGCTCACATTGACTTGGGTCTTGCCATGGTGAGAACACTTGACATTGTGGTTGTGCCAATGCTCTCTAAACCCCTTGTTAGCGATGTGATCCGGCCATGCGTAGTCACATCGGGAGCATTTGCGGCCTGGTACAGGCTTCCCGATGTGCTTTATAGGTCCACGTTGATTAGCCAGCGGTCGCAGCGCCCGAAGTTCAGCATTCGTCAGGACAACATTGGGAAAGACTTGTATAATATCGGCGTAGATTGCATCGATTTGTGCATTACTTTTATTGCTGGCCGAATGTTTCAAAAGAGCCACAGCATGGGGGTGACGGGTGGTGTTGTTGACAGACAAGCTTCCGAGCAGGGTGAAGCAGTGGCTTGCGAGCTCAACTAGTGGTACACCGTATCCACAGTATTCACCGTTATGGAGGTGTCGGCAAACAATTAGGTCGTAGTCCTCCAGATAGGCACACTGAATTTTCTGGAGAACATCATGGTTGTTAAGGTTGTTGAGAGCAGGAGATGCACTGGGGTCAAAGCGCGGGCTAAATTCCTCAACTATGTCCTTCCGTCTAATAACGGAAAGTTGGAACAGATGTAAGTTACGCACAAATCCACAATGTTAAGACATCACTTACAACCCATGAGGGAACAGCCTGCGATTCACTGTTCTTGCAGATATTTTGGAGACGTCAATGCCAAACTTCTGGAGTCGTCCTAGTTCATCACCAGGGATGCTCACTTCAGAAGAATAGGGAGGCGTGGCATCGGCAGATGAAGCAATCGAACGCAGAGGTCTCTGAGTGATATAGGGAGCTGGCAGGAACCATGACAAATGGTCGAACCTTGGGTAAGCTGATAATTTTAACCAAAGCCTCTGTGGCAGGGCCGATGGACCCTAAGGCATGTTCAGGTTGGGCTGATGGGGCTTCAGTAGAATCTTTGGCTCGAGGGGGCACAGTGCCACTACCAGCGTCGTCGTCTGAATCTTCACCAGATGACACATTAGCCAGCGCTGCTGTAAAATCTTCTCCAGCGTTGTCATCCCCGATGGCCAGATATTCTATCCCCTGGACAATAGCTTTGACGTTAGCCTGTTCAGTGCTGATGGCTAGATCTTGAACCGCAGCCTCAATGTCAAGGCCTTCTGAGTGCAAATCTGGTAAAACATGAGCATGGAGGCCGATACCATAGAGAGTAATTGATACCTTGCATTATCTGACCTACATCAACACCGATTGTGACATCAACCCCGTCATCAACCTCGTCATCACTGCTATCTTCATCTTCCATATTATCTTTATCTTCCTTAGAAATACCACTAAAGTGAGTAACCGATGGTGCTGTTGAAGCCACTGAAAAAGAGAAATGTCATGTTAAACCGACTGGCAGACTTGGAGACAGTCCTAGATTCACCTGCACTAGGCTCAGTAGTCATTGATGCGGTTAGGACTGAGGTGAGTCTATCGATTATTGATTTCTCGAATGCGCTCTTCTCATTTTCAACCCTGGTTGGACATAATTTAGTTAGTACATGGTGGTCATAGACCAAGTAGCCAGAATTTGAAGGAAGTCTTCCGTACGTGTATACAATTGGACTTCCCTGGTGGAATCCGGCTATTATGGAACACATTTTGAAACCTGATTCTGCTATAACCTGCTTCTGATATTCTTTGAGCATTGATATGCCAAAATGAAAGACGCTGCACATTTCGGTTGTCGGACTGCTTAAGCTTCCATTCTACTAGAGGGAATGATTTACTTACGGGCCCATGGCTTGTTCCATTGCACTGCTTGTTTGATCGCATGCCATTTTGCAATGCGGCTTCAGAAGTACTACTAGGTATAGAGGAGGATCAAATTGTCACTATGGGCAGGCGAACTCGACTGAACCGAAATGAAGCGAAGCCATCACCAAAATTGCCTAACTCAGACACGGCTAGACTTGGCGGTATCCGACAATGACTAGGCCGTCACCCATGTCAGCGATGTCAGCTAAATCCCGTAAGCGATCCAGAGCCCCTGATTCGGAACGTTTCAAGAAATCGAACCACGACGTTTGCCGAGAGTCACGCCCGCTAGCGGTCGTGAGAGAAGGAAAGCCTAACACTGACAGTCAGATCATTCCGATACCAAATCTCAGCCACCCGCAGCTCTTATCTCACCAACGTTTGGGCAACTTCACGACAATGCAAGAAAACAGTTACTCGAAGGAATCATGGCAGACAGTAAGTAATGAGATCATCTTAGTGTTATTGACTTGGTCTGTGGTGTATGCAGAAATGTCGTCGTATTAGAAGTGAGTAATATTGGTGCTCTAACGCCTCACTCTGCATTGCTCGAATCGATGGAGAAATATAATGAGGAAGAGCTCAGGAAGCTAGACGAGAGACTAGCAGAGGAGGAGAAGCAAGAGGGAGAATCTGAGATATCAGACGCTTTGAAGGCCAGAGCCAATCATCTAACTCAAATTGGTGACAAGGTATGTCTTTCCTATGCCAAGTCATACAGGTACTGAATATTGTCTATATGTAAAGGAAAGCGCAGTCACAGCGCAAAAACTTGCCCTTGTGAAAACACCTGGCCTAGGCTCGAGGATAGATGTGGTGTTCACTCTCATCCGACTAGGATTTTTCTTCGGTGATAATGGCCTAATCACTGAGAACCTCCCCAAAGCAAAAAGGTGTGCTATCGCAAAACTTTGCCGCGAATTGAATTGACATATCATACAGATTCATCGAGGGTGGTGACTGGGATAGGCGTAATCGTCGAAAAGTCTACCGCGGGCTCCGTATGATATCCATCCGCCAGCTTAAGGCTGGTAGCGCACTTCTCAATGCACTATCGACATTCACTGCCACTGAACTCAATGTACAACGACTTTGTCACTCTCACCATCATCATAAACGCTCTCACTCTCAAATGAGTAGATCTCAAGAAACGGGTATGCTTGTTCTCCTAGTATTTCCCACTGCTGATCATATTTTTTGTAGCTCATTACCGCACCAGAGGTTATCTCCGTTTTGCGCGAAATTCCGATCCTCGGAGACCTCTAAAACAACCTTGACTGACTGTCATTACGCAAATTCTTCATCACACTCCGTACATTTTTCATACTTACAATCCACTTCCGAGGCCCTTGTCTATCCTCACATTATACTTGTTTGACGTCAACTGACATGCCATACAGCGACCCTTGGGCAGACATATCTTCTGCCCTCGCGACTCCTTTTGCCTCATACCTGCTACTATGTACGAGAGATGCGCATCTTGGCATACAGCCAACTTCTGGAGTCCTACTGCAGTCTTACTCTTGAAAGTCTTAGTGGTGCATTCGGCGTCGGCGTCGGCATCGAGTTTGTTCACAGGCATGTATTATCTGCATGTACGTATTCCTTGTCTCTGACCATCTCTTCTAGTGAGCTCTCACGGTTTATTCCCAACGGGTATCTGCATTGCACCATCGACAGGGTGCACGGTATTGTGGAGACGACGCGGACATCGCTCAAGAACGCACAATACGACAAAGTCATAAAGCAAGGCAATGTCTTGTTGAATTCAGTACGAAGATTCAGTAAAGTGCTGCACTAGTACTTTGTCTCGTCTCAGTGTTTCGTGTAACCGTCCTCAATGATGTCTGTGCTGTTTATAGGCGCTTCGTTGATTACTTGGTGTCTTGCAATTACATGAAGTTCGGTGCATCAATTGTATTAGTGTTAGTAGGACGGAAAAAGCAAGACAAAGACTGGCATTAAGTGAGCTAAGAGTACAGTAACACGAACAGAGAACAGGGAAATCCAACAGCCGATAATGCTCTTCCTCATGCAAAGCAGGAGTGCCGCCCAAATTGATCCCAACAAGTCGTTTTATTTACGTTTTGCGGTGATATTATTCATGGTAAGCCGCACCAGAGATGTGCATGACCTAAATATTGATAACCCTGATGTGTATGCTGCACTGGCCAAGACTTTGTTGGAACCGAGTAGGCTGACTAAGGTCCATCCTATATAACACACGAAACTCCGGGTATTACTCTTCTTCATTGAAATCTCCCTGGGCCTCACCTCTTTCAAAATAGAATCACAATGCAATCCACCACGACGGTGAGTTATTCAATAAGATAATAAGACATTTCAGTACTTACTCACGTTCAGAAAATGATCAAATTGGAACTCTCCATAACCATGGAACATCTTTCCGAGCTCTTGCACCACAATGTGGCGACAACAACCAGTCAAGACTTTTTAGCGAAGCTGGATAAGCACGTCTCCACACAAAATCGCTATGAGGAAGCCCTAATCCAGCTCGAGTTTGAGAAGCTCAGACGGGAAGAATTAGAGGAGATTTTAAGAAGGCAGGCGGCTGAATATGAAGAGATAGCCAGGTCTGCCCTCGCAAATGCCCAGAAACTTCATGCTTCCCGAGTAAGTTACTTGATAGTCATTTGCATATTGATGCTAACATTTTCTGGCTAACTTTGATAGAAGTTTGTGTAGGGAAGGTTTCACGGGTCCAAGTCACTGGTCATACTTACTTACTCTCCTTTTTGATTTATGTAATGAGCAACCTAATCGTCACATTCCTTTTGAAATAACATTAATTTGGACAGTTGTGAGCGCTCTGGAGGGAAAATTGGTCATGGCAAGGGGGACCAGTTTTACCCCTTGCCATGGCGAAGCTGCCCGATATTCGTCTACAAATTCACGTGCCGCATCGCTCGTGTGCTTGACGAACGTTGTTGTCTCAGACCGCATGCGGTTGCCCATACCACCTCGGATTGCCCCAATTACTATGCTGCACTTTATTGCCTGAATTTCATCTGTCGTGCTTCGAATTCCCTGGAGACTTATGTTCTGGACTTTCGTGAGCGCTGAGGCCGTTGTTTGTTCGTGCAATTACTGTTTACAGACTGTCACTAGTTTGACGGCGAGTCGATTGTGGTGACTCACAACAAGGTGTTCGTGTCATCATCTCTTCTTGTCTTTCAATCGGTTGGCTTCTGACCAATGTTATGATGTATTGACGTCTGTTATTTCATTTCCTTGCTCATTTCCGACACAGCTCCACCATGATCGCAAAACATTTGAGCCCCCCTTCCGGCTCTCTGCGCTGGCTTTCTCACCTGTACTACTGCCTAGCACAAGGTCATCCCATTGTCTGTCCTCATTCTCGCGCTAAGATTGATCATGGATCTGTATTTCGCATTCAGGAACGCCTTTTGTTTCCGCAGTCAGCCGGCTCTCAAATCATCCGCGGTCCTTTCCAAAATGAAGACAAGATAACGGTGGAAGAAAAGGGGCTTGCTGTTCATATACAGTTTTGAAACCACATGACGGTCAGTTTCTCATGAATTTGTAGAGCTGCAGATAGAACCCTCCTAAGCGAATCTAGAACCTGGGCTTAAAGAGGTCCAGGAACTCACAAAGACTTAGGAGGGTAGCCTACCTATCAGGTCTAGGCTGTAGTGACGGAGTTGCAGAGTATAATGGTGTCATTTTGCGACACTGATATGCACATGTGCTGGGCAACGAAACAAAGTATGTACAAAGTTCGTGCTTAGTCTTGAGTCATGTGTAGATGAAGGTAAGTCGTCACTCTTGTCATCACTTTCTTACAGTTTTGGTCTCAGCAAAGTCTTTAGCACTACAGTAAGGTCCCTAAGCTAGGAGAGAGGGAGCCGCCTATCTGTCTAGACCTAGGGTTGTACTAAGATCAAGGGGACACGTACATTCCCCCAATCTGACGGCACGCGGGTACCACTGGAAAAAAGGTCAGGAGCAACGCAAAGGCACTCAGAGCGGAGGGTAGGTACTAGGGCGCATAAAATGCAGATCCATTGTCCCAGATCTACTGTCAGTTAGGCTCCATGACGGCATTTCCGACAGCGTGATAAACACACAGGACAAGCATTAGTACTGTAAGTTTGGTGAGAAGTGAATAGAGCACTCTATATTGCATTGTTCTGCGCTCTTATTTTCAGGAGTAAATGAGGAGAAAGATATAGTTTGCTTTTGAAGTGGGATGAGTCCCAATGGTGAAGCAACGACGTTACGATCGGACTCGGACCGAAGTGTATTATTACATAATATGAAGGTAAGTCGTAACCCTTGTCAATCACTTCCTTACAGCTTTAATCATCTCGCACACGCTTGGACAATATCATGTTGCCTGTTCCTTTTGCAGAAAGATAGACATGCCACCACCGACGAGTCACGATGGTGAACTAAGGACAGCTGGTCAGGGGGGATCAAGGCTACATCGAATACCGGTTGTTATGTTTCCACACCCATCGGACGAGGTTGCTGACTTTGTGCATCTTCAGGTGCCGGTAAATGCAGCCTGCCAGAATGTCCAGCTTGGCGCGACGTGTCAAATCATCATATCTTTTGGTCCTCGCTCGGATCGGCAGTGTTTCTTTATCCGCCCCCTTTTGATTTTCAAATCCCAGTTGGTCGAGACGTTACGCGTTATGGTCAACCCGACCAAACAACTTACTCTCTCTCTATAATGTACAGTGTTCGAACGACTCATTTCAATCCAGCCACAGCCAACAAATCATCTCTCCTGTTGAATATACAATCATGGTTTTCTACGCATATGTCAAATATGTACCAAAATCCATTCTTCGTTGTCTGCGATGTCGTGCTAAATCTCTGTTCAGGTCACGGATAACTCGGGCTATCGATACGTGATTACCTTTGCCAGTCGCGAAGTTGCGGATGAGTGGTGGCGTGCCGTGTCCACTTCCACCGTCACTAGTTTCGTGACTAGCGTTCAGCGTGTCAACGCCCAGTTCTACACCCATAACGTGGGTGTGGCAAACGCCGCAGACTCCCTCACCACGACTGGGGTTGCGACCCAATTTCTCGGCAAGGTGTTTTTCACCTTGGAGAATGACTTGGGTGTCGCGGCTTGAGCATTATCCCACGGCCCGAACATTTCGCGGACCACATCAGCGGAAACTCGTAAGTCAGTTCCTTGCAGGACGTTCTGCATTTTTCTGATAATGGCCCTACCAAAGTTTCTTCATTCGCTCCAAAGTCGCTCCTTACGACTATTGGTACTATCCCACATCGTCTAACACGACGAACGCAGGTGTATGTTTCGCGCACCGAACGCACTCGCTTCACCGTTAGTCTCACCAGCAGGCACTGCAGGGACCGTCATGATTGGCTCTGACGATGTCGTTATCACGTTGACCACCTCTGATCTGTCGGTCAACGTCGATGCCACCACCGCTCAAGTGATTCTTTCACTTGCTCCTCTGACGGGGTTGACTCTTAGTACCCTTTTGACCAACTTCACCGTTGGGTCTTCCTTGTCCGTCAACGACGAGACCATGAAGGAACTCCTCTACACGGTTAATGGGGAAGAGTGGGAACTCGCTTGAATTGCTATCATTTGACACAAAGCTGTCATGCACCCGGTACTGTTATAGTCTCTTCCCTAGATAGCCGAAAGTGTACTGTTAGTAACGCTATGAATTTTCTGTTGAACGCCTGCAATCACATGTACCACTGCTTTTGAGATAGACTGGTGATTACTAGTCCGTCAATGAGACGCCCTGGCTATGCCACTCATGCGTGGTTATACAAGCCAGGCTGGTCCCGAGCCTAGCTTGCGGCCTTTGAGATGCGTGAATCCTTTTGGCATCGACCTCTCTACTAACCTGGCATCCAAATGACTCAGACAAATTTGTACACATTCATTTTTTGTTAGTGATAATCAAAATCCAGGTGCGTGCCGTGCTGAATGGTATCTCCACCGGTAGGTCGTGGACTCTAGTGTTCTCTACCCCCATGGCCATCACATCTGAGTCAAATATAGCATAAATACACATCTCTTTTCAACTTGATTCGTTCATATTCATACACCAATGATAAATTACTGCTACATTGTTCTTAGTTCAAGTTGCTACAGCGGGCCTCACCATGCTCTTCTCGTACCATTCCCTCTCGAACTCAATCGCCTTCTTCAACGTCCCTGATGTGCGCCACCCATGTTGTTCGCCATCGAAGAAATGCGCCTCAACATGCCCCTTAGATTTAATGATCTCATCAATAATAGTCCAGGATTGTGAAGGCGGAGCAACTGCATCATCGTTGCCTTGAAGAACCTGTTAGAAGATGATCTACCAAACACAACGCATTTCATCGAGATGTGAACATACGAGTAATGGGGTTTTGATGTTTGCAGAGAAATACACCGGGCTCCGGTCGTGCCAAACTTTCGGAATCTCTTCTCTTGTACCGCCGAGAAGCTTTATGATATACATGAGCTCGAACTTGTGCGTATCTTCTGCAAAAAGCTCCATGTTTGAGACTCCGTAGCTGTTCGTGGCACTTGCGAAAAATTTAACTTTGCTCGCTGCGGAGGAGTCCAAGGAGATGGCAGCAAGGGTAGTAAACCCACCCGCACTCCCGCCCCGGATCGCAGTGCGTTTGGTGTCAATGAGGGAACTAATTTGAGGCGATTGGATTGCGCCAACGCAGTCGCTCACGTCGGTGATACCCCAGTTTCCTTGGAGGCGCTCCCTTTGTCACCTCTTCAGCGTTGTTCCACGGGAAACACGACAGCGAATGGTAACATACACATATGCGCGCCCATAGCACGAAGAGCCACTGTAATTTACATCCAACCTGCAATTTATGAGCGTGATGATACTTCGGTAGTCGACAGGACCTACCAAGCATATCCTCTGCTTGTGAAATACTGCTTCAGCCAGTTCAAATGCTGGGTCTCTAACCCTGTGGGACCACCATGTACGCTAAGCACGCAGGGCGGCTTCTCGTTGGGAATGCTCGAACCCCCATACGCTGGGTTATTCGGGGCGTAGTACACAGCATATACGGTCTTGTCACCTGCCACTTTAAACTCAAGCGGGGTTGGAAGCGAAATGATGCCTTCAGGGAATGGAGCGGCAGACGCCGATGCGGTAGATCTGAGTACCTGGAAATTTGGCACGAACGATGGTCCTGTAAGAGTGCAGAGCATAGCTGCGCCAGGAGCGTTGCTTTGCAATCCCGTGAAGACAAAAGTGTAGTCCGACAGACGACAGACATTGTTTACCACTACGAAGTCGAACGATTCGTCTTTGATCTCTACGTAGGAACCTGTGGTGATATCAACCACATAAAGGACACTGTGCCATATGTATTGCCGGTCTACAGGCCTACAAACGCACAAACAGAAAGATAGAATTGTCCCGCGATGGTGCAGCGCTACGTGCGAACTGACGAGGCCTGGCTTTCGTCGGGTCAAGTGCTACATGACTTTGATCAGTACGCAACTGAGAGTGTCGCGTCTTAAATGAAACGTACACGCCAATAAGTCGCCGCTTTTTGGGGATACAAGCATCCACTCCTCCCGCTGAAGCTTTTTCGGTTTGCTTGCCTCTTCCTGAAGTTTCCTTCTCCTTTCCTCCCTCTCTAAGAACTCTTCCACGCCCAACTTTTCTTCTATTCGTGAAGCGTAAATTGCAGGAAGCGGTTGAGGCCCAACATCTGAATCCGAGTCGTCATCGTAAGGAGCTTGCGAGCCAGGTAATGATGGTCCTACGTATTGGTGTTTTGGAGGCGCTACATTCGATTCGCTCTTTGACGGCAACGAAGGCCCAGCTGCGCAGGAGGCAGTAAGGTCAGGTGGAAGAGCTGGCGTGTAATCATTGTCTTCTTCAGAATCCTCGGCTGATGCGACGGTTGGAAGGAAGTGTGCTGGGATTTGTGGGCCTATGGAAGACATTTGGGAGCAGCGCATCGGGTAATTTCATTTGCAGCTCCCAGCTTATGTAATCGTAAGGTGTCGGTCACAGACGTTGAATGAATCCTTAGCCAGCGATCGTTGCTTTTTATTCGCACAGTTATGTCATTCCACTACAAAAGCAAACTTTCGTCATCTCTCGTTGTAGGCTGTTGCAACGAAAGTCTATTGGAAGTTGAATAGCTTTCATCAGTCCAAGCTTTGGAAACAACACTCACAGGCTCAGGTTCAGACACAGGGTCTGTACCTTCGTCTCCTTCACCTCCTCACTACAAGATCAGGGCCCCACTCCCCCGCGCGCCTTCGCATTCATAATCCCACGCTCCCTGCTCCCGTCCAGAAACCATCTTCTATTCTAGTTGTATGAAACATCACTTCTAGGCGCTCTACATATACCTGGATTTTTTTTTGGTCAGGTGAGCATGCCGTTGGTTGTTATGAACTTTCTGCTTATTAGTAACATATTACGTGGAATGATAGGAAATCGACCCACAGGATTTGAGATTTACGGTGTCATTCGCGAGTTGCTGAGGCCCTGAGTACTTATAAGGTCCGTGACACGTTTGATACTCTGCGTTCTATCGTGCTGAGGTGCCTTGAAGCAGTCAAATATGTTTGACTGGTCGGCCCTTGATTGGCATGTTACTGTATCATGGTGCTGTTGCTAAAGGCAGGCCTGATGAGTCAACTAGTCACGCTTGACCCTGATTGGAATTGTTATATATTCTGCCTACCAGGCACGGCACCGTGCTCGATACTGATGCCTTCGTTCGACTCTCTCTTAAACATGGAATCACATACCTTCATTCATCTCTCAACCATCCTCCAGTCCCAGGATGTAAGTGACTGATATTTATTGACATCTTCGTTTCACTCATCTATAATCTTGGCACTGGCAGTATTTTTTCGGTGCTGTCATTTCGACCATAATAATATCTCATAGCTAACAGGGTTCGCGCTAGCATCACTAGTGGCCTCTTGGGTGGGTGCTCTTGCCGTTCGTTCAGTCGTCATTCATAAACATTTCGTCACAGGTCTACGATTGTTTCCTAACCTTGGACCAGGAGGTGATTTCATCTTTGCGAGATATGATAGCATGTCTATCGACAGGCTGATTGTTGTGTATAGGTATCTTTGATTCATCGGCCACCGTGGAGCAAAGGAAGTATTCTTTATATCATGGCGAGATACATGCCAGCCTTGATGCTCTCTGTATACTTATGCAGTGAGTCCAGATCGCATGCTCCATCATCAACATGTAGCTAATTAGGATACTGAAGCGAACTATTTCCCGAATGAAAAATTTGTGGTGAGTATTAGTCGGAAACAATGTCACCTGCGATCCTGAAGATTCGCCGATGTAGACTTGTAAAATTCTACAGTCAGCGTGGTATTGTAAGTATTGTAACAATGGAATTTTCCAGTCCCGCTTCAAGTTCGTCCCCCAGGTACTGTTGCATTGTGCATGGCTGGTGCAGAAGGTATTACAATGTTTATAGTGTACTCACGCAGAATACTGACAGGATCTCCAGGTATCTTCATCCTTCGTACCTATGCATTATGGGGGACAAAAGAAATCCATTCTGGGCCTTATGTTAACAACGGTACTGGTGCGCATACAGTTGCGTTCCCACATTATGTACTCTGACATACTTCACTTCAGTGCCTGGGGATCTTGAACGTGGTAATAACACTGAAGTTTTGGAACCAGTCGAAATGTGAGTGTCTTGAAGAAGAGCCGCATGTAAATCGCTCAGTGTAGGTCGATGACAGTCCAACTATCAGACATAGGTGGCGGTTGCTACTCATTATACCACGACACGAAGGCTGCATATAATTGGTCACTTATGGCAGCATTCGAGCTTGGTGAGATCACGAAGCCATAAATGTAGTCGAGTGCTCACTCTGTTGCCACAGAGGTCATGGTATTCACCATTATTCGTGTATATTGGGCATACCGCGAACGAAGGTATCTGCTGCTCGATATCCTTGTACAACACAACATTTTTTACTTCAGAATTGGGCTAAGCTAGTAGTACCCTATTATTTTACCATCTCGCGGTATCGCCAATGCCCGCACCTCCCCGCTATGGCCTTCCATCTTCTTCAACACAACACCTGTCTCCAAGTCCTAAAGACGAAGTGTCTTGTCGTCCGAGCCAGTAATCATTCGTCGTTTGTCGGGGAACACTGCGACGGCGGTTATGCCCCTCTCATGATCTTCAAAAGTTTGAATGGGTGTGGTGCTTGGAATGAGCTGTGACATTTTACTGGAGGTTGATGGTGTTGAGTACGGCCGAGGGATTGTGGGTGTCTTTCTCTAAGCCGCAGAGGTGTGCGTATTGTACGTTTTTATGTTACTTCACCGCGCTAATCTTCCTTGTTTCCATAGACGCCCGAGACACGAGGCAGTTCGCCATTACCGGTTCAACAAAAATGCTCCCAACCTGTCATAACTGACTGCACTGCCTACATGCGTCCGACATTTGTCTTCACAGTTTCAAGCCCTACCGAGACATCAAGCGAGCATCACACCTCCAACAAACTTTCAAGCTCGAGTCTTACGTCTCATGACCGCTTACGGCTCGCTGTAGACTAGTAAGTATTTGCGTGTCTATGGTGCATCTTGATTGTTTATCCTCGTCAGGAAGGGGACGTTTCCAGTACTGTGTACCAAGAACATTGAGCTTGCTTTCGCCTGCAATGAATTCGAGCCTGAGAACGACCATCATGCGCATCATAAATAAATAAAATACAAGAACATTGTAGCGAATGATTTGTGAAGCGCACAGTAGTCTCGATCCTAGCATTCCGATCAGCATCTACCCGTGTATAGGAAGTCAGTCAGAGTCGGATGACGAGCGCTGAGCTTGAAGATGCAAAGAACTTGGAGGGTGCTGCTTACAAGTTCAACACAGATTGGAATCGGACGAAGAAACTGTCAACACAGATTTGTTTGATGAAGACGAGGAATCGGACAAAGAAACTGACGTACATCTATCTAGTACTTTCGCTGAGCGCTGCTAGCGTAGCTCGCAATTCAGTAATTTCTGTTTGCATTCGAATATGTTCAGCCTCGGCTCGGACCCGTTCAGCCTCTCGTTCTGCCTGAACTCGGACTCGTTCTGCCTCTCGTTCTGCCTGAACTCGGACTCGTTCTGCCTCAAATCGGACTCGTTCTGCCTCAAATCGGACTCGCTCTGCCTCCAATTCTGCCTTGATTTGGTCTTGCCCTGCGAGACCTTGTGCGAGACCTTCAGCTCACAGCTGAAAAAAAAACAACGACATATCATCATCAGGAGAGGTCATGACAGAATAGTTACTACTACCTGTTGCTTATTAGCTTCATCAGCTTTTCTCTTCAGTTCCTCTTCATTCTCTATATCTCTCCATCTCGCATCATAATCTCTGCACACAACCTCCACACTATCAGCTTTCCGGATAGCGAACCCACGGTAGTGCGAGCGCTGGTCAACGAGAGCGCTATGTGTTTCGATGCAATTAGGGAAGAGCTGTTTCAAAGTCTCCCATACAGTGAATGAGAACCAGTAGCACTGGTTCTCGTATAGGTCGTAGTATGGAGCGTGTTGGTTCACAACAGACAAGAGGATCGAGACTTGTGCCGCTGACGGACATGCAAGAGGGGAGAAGTCAAGCGTACAAAGTTTGGTGAATGGTGCATAGGTGTCCGCGAGGTACTGCGGAAATGAGGAGCCCTGGCGTGAAGTATGCACAATATCTTCAGCAGCAGTTTCAGAAGCTGAAGGAGAAATAAGGTTTGAGGTGTGAATAAGTCTTGATGAGGAGTTGTTGCGGGGGTCCTGCTTAGGAATGCGTTCGATGACCACGGCAGCGACTGCAGACTCAGAATAATCCCAATGATGAAAATGCAGGAGTAAAAACTCGTGTTGTTTGTTATGGTTGCACTTGCAATACACGACACGTTTGAGTCCACATTGTAGGGAAAGACGGTTTGACATGATGAGTGTCTGCCATGCTGCCACATCAATACGACTCTCCCCCGAACTGAAGAGCCCAGGAACGTCAGTAGGAGACTTTGACATGAATGGACGAAGAAGTGAGGCGAAGAAAGCTCGAAGGCTGAAGCGAGTTTTTAAGTCTTGCTTCATGATTGACAAGGGTTGTCCGCTAAACAGGTATCTGGATGCACGGCAGAATCAATCTATGTATAGTGTCGATTGCAATAGGGTACTAATAGTGGGTTTGTGATACCACATGGAAGCGGCATCGCTGCTTCTCGGCGCTTTCCGAACAAGTATGACCTCTTCCCAATTTCCACTTCAGTTCCAAAACTGACGCATAAATACAACTCCAACTCACTCCTCCCCTTGCAGATTGGTAGACTCGCTGATGGCGCACGCACTATGGAGAATGACGTCGAGCCTGATCTCGTCCTTGTACGATAGCCAGGTGCCCGGCCAGCGTGTGGATGTCTGTGTGAATCGTCATTTGTTCAATGAGATTCTTTTAAAATGTCCTTTCTTGCAAAGATTTTGGTATTGTTGACTATATTCGCAAATTTTCCGTACTCAAAAATACGACCTCGCATCTTCCAAGCATTCCATTCCTAATCTCGTCTCCGCAGATATTCATCTACCCTCTCTTCATGCACTTCACTCATACACCTGCACGCAGTTAGCACTTGCCTATGAGGAGGTGAATGACTATGCAAGGTCTGTTTATTGCTCTCACTTTTGGATGTGATTGACTGCCCTAATTCTCCAGTTGTTGTTGCACCGCAACGGTCCACAGTGACCATTTTAGGATCCTTTCTTCGACGCCCAAGAGGAACTTCTACTTCGCAGCAACAACCATCACCAGCAGATTCCCTACCCTCTCCAATAATCCCGTCAACAATAAGACGACGAAGTTTTGTACCTCAAATAAACTCATCTTCGAATAACACCACAAGCCTTGGTCCAATTTCAAACATTCTACATCGCGGACGGTCAGCCGGCACCGTCCGAACACGCAGACATCATTCGTGTAGGCAACCGAGCAGAACTCGTTTTCTCCACAGCCGCTGTCGTCCTTGCCTCACTTCCATAATCGGATGGGCTGGCATCCTCTTCAATAACCGCTCTTTCCTAGCAGTTTACACTTTCACTCTCTGGCTTTGCTTTGCCCTCCTTGTCACCCGCAGCTACATGACCTACAAACAACGTACATTCAACCTCGAAGGCAAGCTAAATTCCCAGTGGTCTCGCGATCTCGGTGCAACCGGCCGTCTCAGGATCCAAAACAAGCTCCATTGCTGTGGGTATTACTCCCCCTTCGTCGAAGCTACTGTCTCCCAAAGCTGTTACGCCCGCTCCGTCCTCCCAGGGTGCAAAGAAGCATACGTCAACTTTGAGAAATGCGCCTTGGACTTCTGGTACACTATCGCTTTCCCCCTGGTGCCGCTCCAGCTCGTAATCATGCTTGCGGGTCTCTTGTGCTCAAACCACGTAACCTACCGCTTCGGTAAAGGCATGATGCCCAAGGCCTATAGGCTCAGCATGGCAAGTATGGCTGTCATCATGGATAATTATGCCAAGTGGGTTATTTCCTATCTATCCCCGCATGTATGTATTAATATTTTCACTAAAGCCAACTGGCGGAACAATACGGCAGCGAAATCGCGTCTGATATCTTAGCGCGGTCTTGGCACCTTGATTCTGTGACATATGCCTCCGGCGTTGCGAACGGGACAGGCACAACATATGCACTTTCTCAAGGCAGGTACGATTCACTGGCGGTGAAGTCGCCCTACACGGAGAGAATATGAATGAGTGAGCGATGATAGATGGACTAGTTTTCTTCCAAAATTTCTTGCGCTGATACACGTGCTCTGATATACTGTGTCAAGTTCTTGCTTTCCTATTTACCCTGACGACTTTAATTATGCAGCTGCCGAATGCTGGCTGCACGTTCTTGACTCACCAGTTTCGCTCATTTCTGCTATGCCTCGTACGCGATTGTTTCGGTGTACTGGCGTACATACAGCTATTCAATTTCAATAGCTACCTCCATTCTTTACATATGATTAACAAATATACCGCGTGTTTCTCGTGTTTGAGGATGTGTAGCACGAGTTGACCAACCAGTCGTTTCAACAAGTGGTCATTTAAATTCGCGATGTCCCTACTTGAAGTACACGGTTAAGGCCTCATGTCAAGGTGTTCCTCAGAGTGAAGTGACCGCCATCCTCAAGCGGGAGGATAAAGCGATACTGTTCGAGGGAAATCCTAGACTACCTATCATTCCAATCTGCATCAAAGGCTGCACAGGGCATCTCGAAGAGATTCTTCGGTCTGATTCATTTGTCCCTCAACAAAGAGTAGCCGAGAGGCATTCGTGGATCTTCTTGCTGATTGCGACACAGATAAACACCATGTAGAAGGCAATCGAGATGATGGGAATGATCTACATGGTTGATCAAAGCTCTGATGAGCGATTTCAATGAGATTATAACAGCGAAATAACACACCAGGTCTCCTAAAACATAAAACCCGTTGTTCGATAGGGCGAAACATACCAGCGAGGCGCAAAGAGCTGCAGAGTATTAAGGCGCGGCGTCTACGAGTACCTGCAATATAGGCATGTCATTATTCGTAGCGTAAGTCCCAGAGACATTGCGTTCGATCGTCCAGATGTGATATGCCAACAGTCCTGTATATATTCAGGTCATTAATATCATAGACCTCAGTATAGTGCTTACGCAAAAGTGAACTTACCTGAACTGAGCAAATTAGTTGCAAGCGTCAAGGAAAGGAACACCGTGATCCAATGTCCAGTCTGGTTGCCGAAGACGTTTTTGGCATTGGTAGTCGGTGCTTGCACATAGACCATACAAATACCAAACGCTTCGAAACAACACACGTCAGGGCATCCAAATTTTTGCGTACGATTGCAAATAACCTGCGACACCGCACCACATCATGCATGGTAGGATGATGTTCCAGACAGATCGCCAAATGGCGTAACATCAATAGATCTCTTTTATGTAAGTCACCAGGGTTTCAAGCTTGCTGGCAGAAAAAACTTGAACGCACCACCACTCCGTCACCCAGCAAAGTTTGCAAAGTGATTATCGTATTCTTTGTCACAAATGTTTGTTGGGTCACGTCTGCAAAGAATCTTGCTGGCCCATCATGGAAGGTATTGCCATACTTCACCAGTCCATATTCGAGACGAATAATACCTACGATCAAGTGCTAGGGAGACTTTAGCGAATGAAGTTGGATGAGAGTGGTAAGAAGCTGACCACAGTCCCAGCGCATGCAGCAGCACCAACGTACCCGGTTCCTGCATTGGTTTCGTCGTCTACGGATTTGGCGACACGGTAGCATACGCCTGCGCGTTCGGTGTCTCCGAGTGCATGTGCGAGGTGTGCGGCGTGGAGGGTAATGCGGGCGCTATATGAGTTAAATAGGTCGTGTGCGTGGGTTAGGGAGAGTAGTGCGTTGAGGTGTGTTTCTGCGGCATCGAATTCAGAGCGCTAAAATTGATATCTGTGTTGTAGGCTCGTGACCAGCCTGGCTTATTACCACGGACAAGTTGAGTGGTGAAGCCAAAACACTTAACAACATCTCACACGTAATAGTAAAGACTGGTTACGAGTCTAGCGAAGTTCGGCATTTACGAGCTGGAACAAATTGCAATGCCCCGTTTCAAACTTTGACTTGCTCTCCTTCAAGTTTTACACGTAAGTCTCGCGTGGCAAAGCACCAAAAAGTCATGCGATGTGTTACCATTTTCCTTCTAAACTCTCATCCCCTTCTTTCAGTACTGATGGCCATCAGCACAAACAGTGATATCCATTCACAGTTCAGTGAGGATGGCTCCGGCCTATACTCACCCATCTTCGGGACTCAATTTTCTCAGCTGCTTGGAGACAGTAAGTCCTATCAAACTTGTACTTTCAAACAATATTGATCGTCAATTTTGTCCACAATGAAGTTCATTATTATCAAGAACAGCTAGATATACAACATGCAGCGGGTATCCTAGCCTCTCAATTCGATTACACTAATATCCACCCACACCTTCACCTTCTCGAAACCCCTTTGGATCTTCAGTTTCCTCTTCCACAAAGAAACCACATTCAAGTTGTCCTTGACATACCGCCCCATGCCTACCCTAGCACCTGTCTTCCACCCTCTCCAGCTCATGGTGGCGCCATCAATTTGTCTTACCAACTTGAAGGCCCCGACAACCGAAGATATTCTGCTAAGGACTTTCGCGCACAATCTTACTCTTCAGGTGGCTCAGCGCAACCTTCTGCAATACAAACGCCAGAGAGTACTAGATCCTCTGTTCTAATGTCAGAGCCAACCCCTCAACCACAGCCAATGGCATCCACACCACAGGATCCGCTTCACAGGGAAATTTCGAATCAAGTGATAGCTTGTCGGCAATGGTGCGTTCATTCTTATTCTTATTTCAGGCTGCTCATTCACGTGGTTGCTAAGTCGTGCAAGGAAAATTCGGTGCGACTCCACAAGACCAATGTGTCATAATTGTGTGTGCCGCTCGAATGAATGCCAATATGACGCAACACCTAAACGGCGAGGGCCTGATAAAAGGCCAGGCACTCGCCAGCGCTCACATAAGAAACGTCTGATTGATGGCTCACCGCCTCCTTCCCTTCCATCCAAGCGGAAACGCACTCAGAAATGACGACTCCGAGCTTCTGAGGGAAGCTTGTGGACTTCCCAATGTTCCCGCTTTGTGGCCTGGAGGGGATATAATTCAATTCCAGCCCTGGTTTTCACCCACGGGCTCTGACCTTTCTTTTTTCCAATCCTAGTGCCCATGAATACCACCATCTCTCTACACCCTCCCATCACCCTTCACACCAGCTCTGCGCTTGCTTCTTCAACCTGCAGCCTAGCTATGCCGCCACCGCCACCAATTTTTTTCGGAACAGCACATCACGCATCACGACCGAGCGGCACGTCCGCGTCAAGATCCAGCGCCACCTCCGCGCTCGTCGTTGATATTTCCTTCGTTATCTCTTCCCATCAATCCTCGTTGTCTCTGTCCACCAATTACCACTACCTGATACCCTCATTTTTTGCTCGATGATCTCCACTGCATCCTGGATTTTCTCTCCTCCTTGCAGTTCCACCTCATTATATACTACCCTACTGTTTACATAGATGTTCCTGTCAAATACTTTGATAATTTGTATATCATACCCTCGAGCTCACTCAGTAAACCAAAGACACGAATTTTTGAGTTCATAATTAAAATATTATCGGGAAGAGGCGAAACTACACATTCAAGTTCTATATGGGAGGCAGTACTAGTAGGACACCAGGATGCCAAATTGGTGTATGAGGAAGTGCTGCCCAAAGGAATGCGCTCGATCATAAGCATCGGTGCGGTAACCCAGCCGAAGTCCATCGAAAGCGTGCAAAAGGATTGGGGGTAGCATCGTAGGAGGTATGTTGATATCGAGTATTGGTCGGGTACCACGGTGGTGAGTGTTTAAGGGAGTGGCGCGAACAGCACGGAATAGGCATGCGCGAGGGCAGTGAACTACTTAGAGGACAACATGTTGTGTCAGCAGTTGCGGCCAACTTTGAAGATAGCCTGTTGCTAAACATCTTACTCCTTGCGTTTCTCGAGTGCGCCATACAAAGAGACTCTGGGTCAGAATCAATACTGACCCGCTCCTTCCTCACTTGAAAAGTAGTCATGAACGGTGCCTTCGGTGAAATTGTATTGAGTAAAGAATAAGCAAAAGAATGATCTGCACACCTTAACGTGACTTTGAAGCAGTCGACTGGACTTCTTATCAATGTCAATGACACTACGTCTGGGTGGCTGGGAAAGTAGGATTCAATATCAATAACTATCTTGACCATCTCTTTGTCAAGTTTTGCCTGCAAAGACACGTCAAATCATACCCTAAGCAAATACGCCGCTGCAGTGCCATTAATCACTGTTGAATTTGGATCATGAGGGCAAATAGCAAGAAACCAGCGAGCGCAGACGGCCCGAGTTAGTATTTAAGTGCCGTTAGAACAAAACGAACTCCTCGTAGCGTAGAACAGACCTCAGTTAAAAGAATGACTAAACCGACTGTGACCTGGATAGGCGCATTCCAGACTAGTAAATAGTAAGTCATCTCGAAATTTGAACGCCAGAGGTCCTATATACTGACCTGCATGCTAGTAGCGAGGAACAGGCTGCAGTCAGTCGACAACATCAGTATTATGCTCGAGTTTGCAACTCACAAACCACTGCGAGCACGCATCAATCCTGGTCACGTCCGTAGATATATGGTTAACAAGAGCGGTGTTCGTCGGTTACCCTTTTGAAAGACACTCGTCTGATCAGGCCGCAGATGGCCAAGATGCGTTGATTGCAGTAGTGTATGATCTTCCACAATTCCACGAGCGCAAAAAGGAGGAGCATGCGGTGGGTTGCTTCATTTATCACATCCTCCAGCCACACATGACCGTGGTGCTGAACAAATATCCATCGCTCTGAGGCGAACCAGGCAGAGACAGCAGCGAGGCCAAAAGAAGGGACAGTCTGGGATATTGGGGTAAGAATACATTTTAAATTCGCTGAGTGATTAATAGACTTACTGTGAAAACAGTCGTGATGGTGGATGTGACAGATCCCTGATCATAGCCATTACATCTTAGATACACGACTTGCAGCAGAATAAGAATCCGTATCTGGGTTGTAGTATATGTGAATAGCATCAAGCCCGCGGAAAAGCATGCCACAGTCATGACGAGAAAGACTAAAGGTGACCGTTTAGTTTATATCAATACCCACCAAGGTACCCTATGGCCTGGAGAGCGACTGGCAACTGTTATTTGAGACGAGTATAAGCAGGTCACATGAAAAACTTACTACATGGCTTGCTTCCACGTGAGACCAAGGAGACTGTTCACTGCGGCTGCGATACTGAAAACCAACGAGGAGAACTAGAAACACGTTAACAGACTTCTCAGGCACCCTGCCTGTCAGTGATACGAGAACTGCAAGGTCGTTGCCGTCGCAGCTGAGAAGAACGTTGCGACTGTCGACAAGTTTAGCAGGTTTGCTGCTGCATGCTGCTGGACATGTCCAGAGATAAACTCATGGACGAATCATGCTAGAATGAGCTGGCTGAAAATAAGACCGCAGAAACACTCGAACGTGAGACCACATTGCTCGAGCCAGTGAACAAATCCCTCCGGCGTTATACAGTAGCCTTGGGCAGTCCGCGGGCTAAAAAAATGTTGCGAGCAAATGAAACGGACGGGCAACAAGGTAAAACTTACTAGACAACGGTCACGACCCAACCGACTCCTCGAGTAAAGACAACAAGTTCGTTGGTAGCGCGCTGTACAGCGATGCAGGGGTGAAACGTGGGGTTGATGCAAGTAACCATGGTACTGTGGACGAAAGATGGGTGGCTGTGAAGATAGCAGTTCAAGTTGAGATAGAAAAACAGGATAGAGGAAATGCTTGCAACTTACTAGCTTGTATAGCGATGGCGGCTTCAATTCACAGGCGGCGGCTGCAGCTAAGTAACCATGCTCAAATTAGGGTGAAGTAGAAGACCAAGAAAAACTTACAGATTAATGGCTTGGAAAGACACTGGTATTTGAATAGCGGATATCATTTGGGAGACACAGTAGTAACATGTTAGACTTGGCGTCAATGAGAAGCAAGAGAAGTGCGAGAGCTTAAAGCAAATTCGCATGTAAAAATTGTGATCGGTCTGAGCTGAAAAGAAAATGAGGGAAGGCGTTGGCGTGCCGCACGAGTTGTAGAATAATGATCGCATTGCTTGTCCATCCGCGATATAGGTTACTTATGTAAGCACCCATGTATGCACAACTTACCAGTCAAGCTTCTGGAAATTTGGTCATGGCAAGGGGGACCGTTTTACCCTTTGCCATGACGAAGCTGCTGCTCATGAACCGAAGATGGATCATGGCAGATCTCTCAGACTCGGAATCTTCCGCAGCTCGCGTGGTTTGCGCCCGCTTCCCAAAACTGGTGCTCTTCTGGACACCACATCTGAAGAAAAGCACAAGTCCAGGCGCTCTATGCTGTCCTTCCTTGGAAGGAAGAAGACCGACCGAGCATTCAATTCAACTTCAACTTTGCCTAGAAAGTTCACCAATGCTCCTTCACCATCTGTCGGCAAAGAGTGAGTTTTTCGTCTGAACTGTGCATTCATTTTTTGCTAAAACCACCATTACTTGATTGCATATCGCTGTAGGCTCTTCGCCATTGCTTCAACTGCAGATGGATCTCCGTTTGACGAACGGCTCCCTTCTTCCCTTCCGAGTTCTCCATTGAATGCGTCGCTGCCATCACTGGGCTCCAAATTCGCCGCCCATTTCTCATCTCCTATCAAAACTCTGAAGGCACGATTTTCTTCATCGTACAAGTCAACAAACACCCCTACCACTCGTTCATCCACCACTCTTTCTTTCCCTGTAGCCCATTGCAATGTTACTTCCCTGGAGTCCCGCAGCTCCAGCACTGTAAATAGCCGACCCGCCACATCAACACCACTTCTTCAACCCTCTGCAGAGAACGCTCCTTACTATGAAATAATCGACGATTTTTCTGATTTGTTTACACTTCCTGAGCATCTTCCAGAACCGACCCAGTCTGCTCAAACAGCTTCCGCCCTGTCACCCGTTGTTGTTAGCATGGAACCAACTACTCCCTCAAGCAAGTGTTCAAGTAGCTGCCTTAAGCTGCCAGCTGCGAGCCCTCCACATCATTTCTCGATCTCTCGTAAATGTTGGAGCGACCTTGCTCATGGATCCAGTCTTTCGGGAAGCAATACAGATGTGTCTTGCGCTACAGACAGTAGCATGTGTAGCAGGAGAGGTTTCGGCAATGAGCTATGAAGTGTCCGGCCCCTTTGCAGCGTACACCCTCTTCATCGGGGAATTTGACCTGCGGCCCTCCTTCTTCTGCCTCCCTACCTTTACCACTACCCTCAGCTCGGTTGACACTGAGGTTACTGATAAGCTTGTCGTCAGACAGTCCTGTTGGATAATCCGACATAACATCCAAGTCTAGCTATTACTTTTCATTTGTTTATATTTACATTCACTTACTGCGCACACGTACAATTCTTTACGTCATCGCTAACATGGACAGGTATATAATTCTCGCACCTGTGTCATTTTATTTCAGTCCTTCCACTCAAACTGAAGTGAGATCTCTGCGCTCGATATTGTACTCAACAGTCGCTAGCATCTACCGACGGCGATGACGACGTCAATAACCATACCCCCTTGTCGCATGGTCATTATAATGATGATAGGCTATTCTCATCAAATGTGGTCTTCGTTCATTGATGGTAATGGTCTTGGCAGAGTCGACAAGAAGGGTTCGCAGAAGCAGAGGTAGGCTATTCTTAGAATAGGGGAGCTCCATCACAAAAATTGCTCATACTAGACATAACAATACATAGATATATATACGGTGTTAACACTGTCAACAATATCAGGGTTAGGGTCTAGTATGTCTGAGCAGACTTGGAACCTGAAATGTCCAATGGACAGAGCGTGTACGACGTGTTCCAGGCAAATATATTATTATCTCAATTAGATTATTCAGACATTGTAAATCACACAGAGACATCCAGTTAAAGTCAGATATTGATTATCATCATGAGAGTACAATGTATTGTAAGGCGCTACAATGTAAGGAACCTGCTGCACTAGCAGGATATCACTGAATGAGAGAATACTGAGATAGCATTAAAAGCAAAATGAGAGCACAATACCACGAGTCCCAGTGCGAGAATATGAGTGCAACAAGGCAAAGTTCAATTTGGAAATGGAGTGATTTGAGAGGCGGTCGCCGAGCCTCTCCAAAGTGGTTGCCGAGTGCCACCCTCTTCTGTGTCAAGGTTGAGTGCAGCAAACTTTGCATGCGTACTGCAGCATACGTCAGGCCTGTTTGAGAGGTTATGGTGGTCAGAAAGATAAAAGAACTAGGATGCTAAGATGAAAACACGTGTCTATGTGCTGGGACGATGTTGAGCGCCGTCGGTATGAGGACTGTGGTTGGTACCAGGGGATATGGCCCAAAAGCCACGGCTTTGGCCTGGAACAATCCAGGCTGTGCCAAAGCCACCAATGACAGCTGGCTTTGGCCTGAGCTGCGGCTCAAATAGTGAAAATGTAGTTAGTGATCTGTAGGTCATGAGGTCACTGTACAACTAGCATTCAACCACATAACTCACCTGCATGCAGCGCGCTTGTCAAAATGAGTGATCATTGCTGTTGATGATTGATATCGGGAGGCCATATGAAGATGGATGCATGATGGAGCCAATGAGACGAGGTAACATCTGAAGTCGTCAGATTGTTTCAAGAATGCTGGAATCAACTAGATAGGACGCACAAAATTGATCATATGTGTGAACACTATGCGCTGGTCTCAACTAAGCACTGCACAGTACTATCGTTGACCTTCCATAATGTCCCAACGACACTCCTAACCGCAGCAAATTGCAGGCCAGCCTCTAGATGTAACACTAGAAATGCAAATTGATGCAGAGACAGGTCCATTTGCATGATGTTGAGGAGTGAAAGCAGCTGGTCGCGCATAAGAAAGGCTGACTTTGACTCGGAGGGTTCATAAGTGCCTGAGTCGATTGAGCAACTAGAGGATAGACAAAGGTAAGTTGCCCCAACCAGAGTCAAGTCTATATGTGCCAACATACCTTGTCAAGTTGTCCATACTCTAATGTTGTCATGAAGGATGAAGCTAAAGATAAAGAACATATCAGTTGCCCATCCAGAGTCGAGTCTACATGTGCGCACAGACAAGTGCAAAACATCCATTAGCCTGGTCCTTCGCGAGCGCATGAATGAAAGAGCATAGTCTAATTACGAGAGTCAGCGTGTGTAACTATGAGCTGTAATGAATACATACCTCAGTGAGAGTGAAACAACCTGAAACAATGTGCCATAGTCTGTCTTGAATCGATGAGGAGGTTGTGAAGCAGGCCAACTCGAATAACAATAAAGGTACTGTAGTCACGATCACTGGATGGTATGAGACAAGGCATGCTGAGATGGGATATGTGGACGCACCATTGTAGTAGTCAGGAACATTGGATTTTGCAGCCGGTTTAAACTTTAAGGAATGCCTCCGCGTTGTGATTAGGTGGGGTGTTTCCCCCCTAGTGATTCAACACGTCAGTGAGATAACAATGCATATAGTCGACTAAATTGAACACTCACATGCTCAAGTGAATAACCCTGAAACAGGCCCTCATCCTCATCGTAGTTGCTGGCAGGTGGCTAGTAGAACAAGACAAGCAAGCACCGCCAAAATCGAAATTCTATCTGAGAGCAGAACATTGCCATGGCGCCTTCAGCATCAGGTATGCAGCTCAAAAGACAAGAGGATGCACAACCGAGAGCAGGATGTGGCCATGATACCATCAGTGGTGGTGAAGTAACACAAGAGACGAATCACGCACTGCTCGAGAATAGGTCATGCCTGTTACGTCGACTGTAGGTCGGCGTGTGCGAACTAGGATAGGTCTTCTCAGCGACGACTCGAGTGAGTCTACTGAAGCTGAGCGTGGTCTGGCCTTGACGGAACGTCAAGGATTCCTCCGGCGATCTCGGTAAGACGGCGCTCGTCGAGATGCAGGGCTAGCGGATACGTGCAAAGTCGTATGGGAGCGACTTTGAAGTGCGGTCTCACACAAGGAAGCTGGTAGGCTTAGATGAGCAAGTTCTGTGGTAGAACCTAGTAGATTAAAGTGAAGTATAATCTACAACAATGTATGTACTTATATATAGTGTATGTAAGCGTTCAAGCTCAGTCTGTAATCTATAGTATATCTCCTAATCTAAGATAACCAGACATGAGGTTAGATAAAGTACATGAGGCTTAACCTCTGATCATACATGCAGCGCCAAGTGCAGCTGCGCATAGGTACAGGAAGCGCCAAGCGCTCCGGGTCTTCATACATGAGGCGCCTTGAGGCGCTCCGGATCTTCATGAAGCGACATGCTGTATACATGCGCTGATCTAGGGTGTCCATGAGGCGTACAGCCTCCATGGAACAGGTACAAGGCCGTCTAGGCCAGGGGCGGGGTCATAGCGCCTGGGGGCGGGGTCATAGCGGTCCAGACCACTGTCTTTCTAGGCGCAGGCAGCGCACCGCCGCGCGGGGAGTCTAGCAGAGCGGGGGCAGGTGTAGGGAGAGCTGGGGCTCTAGTAGGTGTTACAGATCCCTGTAACAATGCCCAGCATACTATCAAGACCCAGCCCATAAGCCAATATCACGCACTATCTAGGAGCAGGATATTCAGTGGCACTGTCAGTATCAGGTAAACACATGCACCTACCAAAGACTCCCTGCCATCACTGTAGTTGTATAATAAGTAGGACTAGGTAGAAACTCAACACGAAGAGTGGAAAAGAGTGGAAGCAATGCGCATATACTCACCTTCAGGCAAATTTATAAATGTAGCTGCACTCCATGCAGAGATATGTATGAGAAGGGACAGACCAAGTGAGCTATTCACTTGGACGGATGTTTATGTCAAGAACTACAAATGGGAGCTACAAGGGGGATGGTAGTAGTGGGAAGAGAAGAAGTGGGTGGAGAAGATCAGAGGCATGATTGGAGACGGCTCAAAAGTTAACGTTGAACCAGCCCAACACAACCCCAGCAGTTTGCACTTTGGCAAAGTGCCAAAGGGTACCAAACAAAGGACTTGAAAGAAAACTGAGTGTGTGTAGATCGAGGAAGGATATGGCGCACTTTGATGTATTTAGCACGCTTCTGGATCGATCGAAGGGCTGGCGCATCAAATTTTCGTTTTCATTTTCTGTTGCGCAAAGACTTTGATTACAGTATCTATACGACATTATGTATATATTGTAGTGTCTTAGATATGTCATGTAGATACAAGAAGTACCTACTTAATGTCGTTATGATAGTATCGTGAGGTGGGAGGTATCATTCTGAGTTAATTGCTGCATTCAAATGTTGCATTGGGGTGTTGATGACATCACATGGACTTGTTTGGTCATATGTTCAGCCACCCTACCATCCATATCGGGTAATCTCTCAGTTGCGCAATTTTTGTGATGCCAGAGTAGACCGCTGTCCGCTGTCGCTTTCACGGCAGCTTCTCCATGGCAGCTCGAGGCATGTATACGTGCTGGACCATGTAAATGGAGTTGCCTTTGGCGTACTTCTATTCATATGCGACATCTACTCCTGCCTACATCGTAACATCTAGTGAGGAATCGTAATACTCACTTGGCTGAAGGCATGTAACAAGAGAACTGTAAGAAAGGTAACGAGAACTGCAGAACAATTTTTTGATGTTCGAGAACACGTCCACTGTTGGCTCAAATTTTTTCAAGATGTCAAAACACTGAGGGAAAAAAAACAATGTACACAAGGTGTGAGCGCAATGATTAGATAGAAATGGATCGCCTGTTCCTTTGGGAGATGGATACAGATACACGGCAAGGATAATTGATGGAGGGCTGCTCTTGGGGAAATGTCTGGCAGTGGACGAGGAGGGCAGGATGCAACAAATGAGCAGAGCATGGCCATGGTACTTTCATAGTCCTGGCTAAACATGCCAGCCTGAGCAGGCTATACTGTGAGAATGATACATTATAAAACTAGTAATGTCAGTGTGAGGGTAATACATGAATCATTGAACTACTGAGAATTACTAGGAGGTATAGCAGTGATGTATCAGTGGAGGATCTTACCAAGCAGCTGCCAGTCCAGCTTCTTGGCTTCCAAATCAAGCTTAGTCAGCATGTACCTTGCTTCCTTTTATTTTTATCCTGTCTTCTATGCATCTTTTAATTTGTCAGCACCTATTTTCAGTTATACTGGTGCTGGGTCATGCAGCCCGCCAGATAATCTATTTTTATCCTATCTCCTATGCATCTTTTATTCGTCAGCACCTATTTTCAGTCATACTGGTGCCGGGTCATGTAGCCTGCCTCGTTCGTTCAAATTCTTCAAATCCCACCTAGTCACCACTCCCTTTATCTTAGACGTCTGTTAGTTGAGTGTTTCACACACCATAATTACTTTAGATATTTCTTTACAAAAAATATTGTCATATTAGCGCTTATCAATTCCTCAGGTGACTCGAACATGTTCAAATTTCGTGAGTAGGTACTATCCCGCCCTCCCAATGGCTCCACCATGCTTGTGTACCACCCCCGAGCTAGTAACGCTGGGCCCAGCCCAACCTTTTAGAACATGTGACCTAAGATCTATGTATAGAGATCCGAGTCAGTAATGTATCAGTTGAACTCAAACGCTGCAGAAATTCGACTAAGTCCGACCTTGAGAAATTTGGCCAAGTCCACCAAGTCAAAGTCAATACTTCTCGGCTGTGAGCTTGGGCGGTTCAGTCCTTATTATGGGTTTTCCATTCATACAGAATTAGATGACGGACTCAGAATGAGGCATTGATGCATTAACACGACGGACTCAAGCAATACATACAATGTAGTACACGAGGAAGCTGATTATGGTACACTAACGACCAAAAGAGATGAAAGAATGAGCTACTGTGAGAGGTGAATGCGGAAACAAATGTTGGAGTTTACCGACAGGCAAAGACTTGTTACTAAGAGGGCTGTGGCTGGGCATATTGTAGTACTGGGAAAAGAGCAGCTATGAATGAACACGAAAGAATTTACCTAAGTTGTACCTATTGCATTGGCAGCAGCCGCCTGGGATGACTGGAAGCATTGTCGTTTACCTTGGCCTCCCTCGATGGGCTGCGAGTTCTCAGTGGGTAGGACCACTGCACCCTGCCTCTTCTGACGCTTTGCAGAGACTGTCTCATTGCTCTTTGTGGACTTGCGTTTAGCAGCCTTCGTTGTCGCTGGTAACACCCCACCAACTGTGGCGGGTGGAGAAGGAGTGGCCATAATAGGTTCCATGGTGGGAGGTTCAGGCACAACTGAAGATGGTTGCACAGAAGGGATTTCTACTGAAGTTGGAGTATGCGTGAGAGTAGGAGTTGCCATGGGAGCAAAGGGATTGTTGTATGGGGCAGAAGCGTAAGAATTGGCATGTGCAGTCTTTGTGAGAACGGATGATATATGGCGAAGACGAGGAGGACATGCTTGGCTCTGCAAAGTTGTGAGGGCGTTGTCAGAGTCGTGTTCCAAGGGACCAGCAGAATTAAGGTCTGCCAATCTCGAGGTGGAAGTTAGAGGAGATAATCTTGAAGAAGCAAACCAATCCATTCGAGAGGAAGTGGGCGAAAACTGTATTGGAGAAGAGGGAGGTAATGGAGATGGTGGCTTGTAGTTGGGCGGCATCGGTAGGATTGTACTGTTGAAGTCTAGATCAACGTCGTCATCTTGAAGATCGGGGGGAGCAAATTGGAAGAAGTTGTAAGCGGATTGCAACCAGGATGGTACTGACACCATGAATGATGTATCGAGTGTGGAAGTGAATGTGGAAGAGACAGTAGTGAGCGATGTATCAGGTGAGACAGTAGCAAGTGATGTATCGAGTGAGACATCGAGTGTGGAAGTAAATGCGGAAGAAACAGTAGTGAGCGATGTATCAGGTGAGACAGTAGCAAGTGATGTATCGAGTGAGACAGTGGCAAGTGATGTATCAGGTGTGGAAGAGGATGCGGAAGGGATGGTAGCGAGTGATGTATCAGCTGTGACGGAGTTATGGGAGTTATGGGCTGGCAGCACCTGTGTGTCTGGCAGTGATGTATCATTCTGGTCAGGCATGGTGGTTCCCTTTGATAATAATAATGCAGCATTGGCTACATCTTGATCAGCTTCAAACAGAGACGCCAACCATTAGACGACTCACGAAATGCTCGAGATGCAAACTCAAAGTAAGGCACCATGATACTCTCCTCGAATTTCGGATATGCTTGATTGAACCGATTGCCAGCAAGGGTCGTTCCAATATGCAGGTTATTGACATCGAGTTTGCCGGCATTCGCAGGGTCAGGACCAGCAAGTAAGATGCTGAATGTCCATCCTGTCGAATCGTGCAACTCAGTGAAAAATGTGGACAGAATTTCTGTAAGTCTGCATATAACCCTGCCTACCATCAGTGATAATGAAGTGAGATAGTCAGCGTCACTCACAACTCCTTCGGCACCTCCTTCTTGTCAGGAATGGCTTCTTTCTCTTTCTCCCTCTTTTCCTTCATCTCTTGGGCCAATTTCATGACTTCTTCCTTCACCTGCGCACTTTCGTTCTCCCAGTAGGATGCTAGTTGTTTGCGGACAACCTGAATCGCCCGCTTTTTGGGTTCTGGTGCATCAACTGCGTTCTTCATGGCATCGAGTTCCTCCTTGACTGCAGGCTGGACATGCGATGTGTAATACTTCTTGGCATAAACCTCCGTTGCATTGAGGGGGCACGATTTCTTCTTGCCTGACTTGATGGTGATATCGCCAATCAGCTTGCTGATGATGGTATTCCCAGTGGGGTTTGCCTGGCGGCCTATCTTCGAATTACCAAAGTCATTGCGTAGTTTGACCATCAAACACTAGTTACATACGTGATTAGCCAATATTTCAATATATTAATTAGGATACAAATCTTACTGTCTGAAGGGCATCCCTTGCCTTAGCTATCTGCTTGAGTCTTGCGTTCTCATCAAGGGGCTCTAATGAGTCTTCCAGAGTGATTGGCCAACATTCTTCCCACTTCTCGAAAAAGGGGGGCCAGAAATTGTTGTAGTTCCCTTTTTTTTTGCACTCGGGAAAGCTTTCATGGTAGGCGAGCACAAATGTTTGCTGCTCCTCCGAGAGCCAACTACGTGGTGCCATCTTAAATGACTACTCATCAGTGTACTAACATCAAGGTAATCTACACGTACTTTTACTGATTTGTCGCATCGTGTGAGATGCTCTAGATAAAAGTTAGACACAAAATGAAAAGGATCAGTCAGACACGTACTGATTGCTTCAGCCACAGGCATGATGAGTACTCCCAGAAATGGTTGTCCCATTGCGCCATGACCAGACCAATAGACTCAGAGACAGTACATGATATCTTTGCAGAAAGATTTGCGCATAGCGTGTTTCACACTGTTTGTTGTCACCAATCAATAGTCCCACAGACATAGATAGAAGTGCATGGTATATAGTCCCCATGACGGACATAGATAGAAGTGCATGGTACTAGTACTAGGTAGTAGGTACACTAGATGGGGAACTTGTATTCCTGGTACCACAATTCACCCACCATGAAGGCAACCACTAGTTCACTATCTCCGCCTTCCGCCAGACGCAACAAGATGTCTTCCACCATCCCTACCATTTCCCTCATGAATTTGCAGACGGCATCTGCAGCACACCACTCATCACAAATACCGCACATCTGAAGGATACCATCCAGTCCGCCATTTGCTCTGTCAATAAAATTTTCGAAATTCTCAATAGTGTGTTCGAAGATAGATTTGTCTCCGCGCCCGGTAGGATCTAACTCAGGGTCAGGCATAGTCTTGGAGTACTCGTCCATGAGAAGGTCAAAGAATCGTCGTGGAGATTTGATGTGCGCCATGAAGTCGTCCTTGGCATACTTGACCACAGCAATGCAGTCTTGTAAGGTTTCACTGTTGCCAATGTCAGTTACATTGAGACATGTAAGTCAAACCCACATGACATTGGTTCATCTTCGTCATCCAAAGGATTGTTGACCGGACAATTTTTTTTTCTTTGCGTACCTGATGCCACTTTGCTAGTATAGCCTCTCGACACCTGGAATTCTCAATTAAAGCGACTCAAAGACACCGTTGGTGTATTGCTTACTTTAGATAGTGTCGTCTACACTTGTCTCTTGCAGCTTGTACTCTATCTTGATGAGTTTTATGAATAGTCGGGCGTACCATAATGAAGAGCAGTGAAAGTCAGAGGGAAGAACACAGCATTTAATACGAAGTACTCACATTTGTTTGGACCAAAACAATGAGTCTTCAATTTCTCAATGAAGCACATGCGCCGATGATGGTCGGACCATAACACATGGTGCGTCGAGGGACCCGCTGCCTCAATGAAATGTTGATATAAAGATACCTATGTGTATGAATCAGTATGATATGTATTGCAGCAAGTACTTACATTTGTTTGAACCAAACCTTTTTAATTGGTGAATGAAGCACCTGCGAGGATGTGCAAAGATGGTCGGACCATAACACAATCTTAAGACATTGTGACTGAGAGAGACCTGCTAGCTAGGTAGAATGCTAGTGGAAAGATAACTGTGAGTGTGATATGTGTTACGGTAGTGCTGCCTCGCGAGAAATATCATTCTGGACTTGCCTAGTGTTCAAATGCCCAAGTCCCCCTAAGTTCTAGTAAAGTCAGTAACAAGATCATCCGTGACAAAGGTTGAACCGATAATCAATCAACAGCAACTAGTTGTGCAGATATTGTAATAAGACAGCTAAGCAGGATGACTTGTAGAGTGACATGGTCCTTCACCGAGAACCATTCAGCTAAGATACAGGCTTGCAATGGCAAGAATGGTATGTTGTAGGATGTGGTAGGACCAAAACATAGAATTAAGTGTTATTAATAGCTAGCCTATGGCACATGGGCTATTTTTGAGCGGACTGTGCTTCCAAAGGTGTTCTGTTCAAATTTTCACTGTGCTCCTCTGCTCGCTCGAACAAATATAATAGCTTGGTATTGACAATTGCGCAGTGTGACTACTAAGACTAGACTACCTGTGCCACCTCACCACGTTCTATGGCGCACTTCATAATCCCAATACCAAGCTCAAGAGATTCTGCCTTGTGATATATGGCGCGTGAAACCCCAAGCACCTTGGGGCCAGTAGCATCCCTGTCCAAAATGAATTAGTGAATGAAATGAATGGAGCACGTCTAGACTTACCATCCTGAGAAGACCCCAATATAATGACCCCTCGTTATGTAGTACAGTGGGGCCTTGACTTCAATGGGCACATTGAAGTATGTGCCATTGTGATACTGAAGGGTGGAGTTATTAGCAAGGGACATAACTGCATTAGCAGCATCCTCATCGTCAGATGAGTCTTCCCCATCATTAAGTGTGAGGATGATGACGGGCTCATGCACATGTCCTATGGCTGGGGCAGGGGCAGGAGCAGGAGCCACGGTAGTAGAAGTCGGGGAATGAGCTGCAATGATGGCAGGGAAATCATCTGGAGCAGATATAGAATCTTCACTGCCCAAAGGACCTGTAAGATTGGCAACAGGCCCTGCGACATTGTTAAAACAAAATTAGTAATAATGAATCAAAGAAACAGGTGGATCCACCTTCAGTAACATTTGGACTGGTGTCAGCCTGCAACGCAGCTGATATTGCTGTCCTGTCGTCGAGACAAAGGCCCTGTAGGATGCTGATGAGGCCGTCCAGTCGAATGGACACCATAGTGTCCGTCTGACTGGAGGGAGATGGGCTTTGAGTCATCTTGATGAGGCTGTATATTGAGTGGAGGAGGATGCGAAAAGTGAATGATACATTACTCACCAGGACAGGTATTTATGCAGCAAGTGCTATCATAATTTTTGATCCTCAAGAACACATTGCAGCTACTAAGTCCAGAGGAGGAGTGGTATTGACTTATGGACGACTCGGACATAGCGGTGTGAAGAAAAGATCGGCTGACTAAGCTCATGCGGATCAACAGTGACTCCGTCATTAACGCCATGATCGAGATCATGCAGATCATTCACCTTGCCATCATTCACGCCATGATCATGATTGAAGCTTTGATTTCTGTTTCGGATGCAGCTTATATGGTGTCTGCTGCAACAGGCGACCAGCTTGTTTCTACTCCGAGGACGGTGAGTTTTGTGCCCATTAGAATCATTACGTGGAGCATTTACCTCTTGAATAACATGTACAACTCTATGTTCTATTCTGAGGCCAGTGAATCTTTATTCTCCTTGCCATTACATGGAGTATTTACTTACTGCTTGAAGTATCATGATTCTCCATGCTTCTTTTTGGCTTTGGAGTCTTGAACGCTGGCCCTGGTCGACGACTGTTGGACAGGTGTAATGTCACAGGGATGCTCAGCCAAGAGTTCCCGGATTGAACGTACTCGTTTCATACCCTCTGTCGCTAATACTCCACTGTTACAGTTACGCACAGGAGGAATCACTACTCAGGGTCGCACCCAACTACACACACACTATGTTCCCGCTCCCTCTCTCTCCATTTTTGACTCCTCAGATGCTGGTTCTGATGCAGGCCCATGGGATGGTTGGGATGAATTGTCCGTGGAACAAGAGGAACCACAAGAAATTGATTGTCGGCCATCGTTTGACAAATGCAAATGCACTGCTGCAGTGAGTACTGCCACTTATTGTTGTTATCCTTACTTGACAATCATGCCTCAGGATACACCACTGTTAATGTGGATCCCCGAGCGTCAAGCTTTTCTGGATGAAATGCTTCGCTTAGAGGGTCACGGAACTCCCAAAACTCTATGTCGCTGTGGTCTTGCTGCTCCCCGTTTCCGATGTCACGACTGCTTTGGCACGCAGATGTTTTGCCACGAGTGCATCCTCCACAGCCACACAAGGGATCCTTTGCACAGGATTGATGTATGTAAATATTTTTATTGCTATATCAAAAACTGACAGTTGCCTATAAGATGTGGAACGACTCATTTTTCCAGCCCACCACTCTGAGAAAATTGGGTCTACGTGTACAGCTAGGTCACGCCCCAGGTGACAGGTGTTATAATCCTCATCCCTCCTCCAGTGACAACTTTGTCGTCATTGATGTCCATGGCATCCATGAGATTGCCCTCGACTTTTGTGGGTGTGCGAGTGCTCAAATTCACTACAAACAGCTACTCCGCACACGCTGGTATCCAGCAACCACATCAGACCCTCGCACTGCTGCAACATTTGCTCTAATGGAACACTTCCACCTTCTATCATTCGAGAGCAAAGTGTCGGCCTATGAATTTTACCACTCACTGGCAAGACGGAACAACAATGCTGGCCTGTCGGTTATAAAGGTATGTATTTAGAAGATATGATGACTACGGGATACTGACATGAGACATTAGGATCGCTACTCTGCATTCATGCGCATGGTCTGTGAGTGGCGCCATCTCAGGCAACTTTGGCGTGCAGGGAGAGGAAATGATCCCAATGGCATTCATGCCACCACCGCGGGTGAATTGGCTGTGCAGTGCCCAGCATGTCCCCACCCTGGCAAAAATATACTGCAAGGCTGGGAGGACGAGCCACCATGGGTTAGGTCAGTCTCAATTTCCAATTACAACAGTGTCTTTAGGCTGATGATTTATTTTTAATCCAGGTGGAAATATGCACTGTTTATTGCAATTGACGCCAACTTCAGGTTGAAACGCAAGGCAGTGTCGTCAGACAATGTAGACCCTAGCCTCAACTCTGGGTGGGCATATTTCATTGAGGAGGCTGCCTACAAGGCATACTTGGCCCATCAAGTTGGCGTCAAGCAAGATGTAAATATACGCCCTAATATTTTGTGCTGTGACTCATCTGACTAGTACTATACAGCGCAGTACATGTGTCAATCACAACACTGTCAATCTGGCAGATACAAAGTCTTCATATGGTCTGGCTGTCACAGGTGTTGGTACAGTAGACTGTGCCAGGCATGACATGAAGCTCGCCAATGGTGTCGGAGATTTACAGAAGGGTGAAAAGTGCGTTGTACTTTCATCTTATATCATGCACATACTAAATGATTGATTTGCTGTACATAGATATATAAACATGGACTACCTTGTTTTCTCAGCGCTGTTGGCCTTCACGGTCACCATGATCAACATCTCGTACGACATTGCCTGTCAATGGCATAAGAAGCTCTGGGCACGTATGGAAGGCATGCCATCAAGATTTCACATCCCTCGCGACTCAATGACCATCCGATTTTTTGTGCTGAAGTTTCATCTGAAGGCGCACATCGATGAATGTCAAAGAAACTTTTCATTCAATTGGTCAAAACACGTGGGACGAACAGACGGCGAGGCTCCCGAGCATGGTTGGTCGAATCGAGTACAAAAGAGATGGGTCCAGGATCGCGTCGAGATACCCTTGACGATCATTTCGGGGATTGGAACTGGAAGAAAATTACGGCGCTGGGTCTGTGTTTTTTCTCTGGTGGAATATCTTGTACTTATCTGGGAATAGGTTGTACACTCTTGCACAAGATCCGCAACACCATTAAGTGGAAAAAGGAGCATGAGGAAGGACTAGCAGAGCTAGAGAGGACCATTCAGCCAACGCTCGTCCTTCAGTGGAGGAAAGAAGTTGAAGCTTGGGAGGAGGACAACTCTCAACCTAATCCGTTTGAGAGCCGCTATGCTCGTGAGTAATGCTGTTACAAGTAACATCGGTCACGTGGCCCCCCTATCATTTTCCCCTCGTCCTCGCCCTCACCACCTACCGGCTCGTCCTCCTTTACCGACTTTCCGTTGACCGGATCCTCGGGACCGTTCCCGTCCCTCGCATCATCCGCCTCTATGCACGTGCACTGCACGTTCCTCTTCTGATTCGACCACCAATGTGGTCCCGCACCTCTGACTCGGTCTGACTCGTGCCACCAATGTGGCTTTCCTCTTTCTGTTTCCCCTGACTGCGGATTCCCGCATGTTGTATTCTTACCGTTGGTCCGTTCCAACGTTTCTCGGTCTCATTCCACATTCGACCACCCATCACTAATCCGGCTATGTTGCCAACGCACCTATACCACATTCGCATCCCCTTTACCCTTACCTACTGTGCGGTAACCTTGCCCTTAACCCTCTCCACTTAGTATAAGTAGTCGGTCACCCTGTACTAGATTCTCTAACTTGAATCTACTCAATCTTCCCTGGAACATACTTCCCTCTGAAGCCCCCTCAGCTTCAGTCTCTAGTATCTTTTTCTTAGTCGCTCCTCGCGACTAAGTCTACCTCGATCGACCTCATCGTTCGGACAAGACTGTCCTTACCTTGAGTGACTTCTCAAGACATCCGTCTACGAAGCCACGTGACACGCGCGTACTGTGATAGCTGCCGACTCGTCGTCGCCAGTCTCACTTGCTATACCGGATCCTTCCGGTTACGTCACGAACGTTAGTGGACGACGCCCCTCTTAGGGCTCCGCCTAACAGATCTATTTGAGTGCGTAACAAATGCTATCTTTTAGAATTCATGAATTAATGTCTGGCAGCTATTACACAAGCCGCAGTTCGTCTACAGCTCGCTGAGCTTGAAGCCCATGAACTTCAGGCAGGGATCAACGTCTCCCTGCATACCGACATTTCCCCAAGCAGATTGATCACCGCTGGCATCGATCTTCAAGACCAACAGTGAGTTTTTTTGTTCAACAAATCAAGTTCACTGCAATAACAACATCCCAACAAGACAGCGCCTGAAGATGGACATTGCCAATGCATCTCTTCACCCCACGGACAAGCAGAAGACTACCATGTGTTACGCTGACCATCGGTCGGCGTGTGCGAACTAGGATAGGTCTTCTCAGCGATGGCTCGAGTGAGCCTACTGAAGCTGAGGGTGGTTCTCGGCTTGACGGAACGTCAAGGGTTCCTCCGGCGATCTCGGTAAGACGGCGCTCATTGAGATGCAGGGCTAGCGGATACGTGCTAAGTCGTATGGGGGCGACTTAGAAGTGCGGTCTCACACAAGGAAGCTGGTAAGGCTTAGTTGAGCAAGTTCTGGGGATGAACCTAGTAGATTAAAGTCAAGTCTAAGTACAATAATCTGTCTACTTTATATGTGCTACATATATGTATTCTAGCTCAGTCTGTAATCAATAGTATATCTAGGATCTATGATAACAAGACATGAGGTTCAGATAGGGTACATGAGGCTTAACCTCTGATCAAGCATGCTGCGCCAAGGGCAGCTGCGCATAGGTACAGGAAGCGCCAAGAGTGCTCCGGATCTTCATGAAGCGACATGCAGTATGCATGCACTGATCTAGGGTGACCATGAGGCGTACAGCCTCCATGGATCAGGCACAAGGCCATCTAGGCCAGGGGCGGGTCATAGCGCCAGGGGCGGCGTCACAGCGGTCCAGACCACTGTCTTTCTAGGCGCGGGCGGCGCACCGCCGTGCGGGGAGTCTAGTAGAGTGGGGGCAGGCGTAGGCAGAGCTGGGGCTCCTGTAGGTGTTACGGATGCCTGTAACACCATGCAGACCTGCATCACCACCCTTCACCATTGACTGGATGCCTGGGCTCGTGTCCAAGAACTATATATGCCCATTGTGTCCCAGCTTCGTCATCGATCTTCAGAAGCTGGCACGACAAACACGGCGCAGCTAAAGCCTGAGGTGTTCAAGCTTTGGCTCCCATCTGAACTCCAACCAACAGTAGGATGCGACGACAGGCTGGCTGCACACGAATGGGATCTACGGCATGCACAAGCACTGGATGCCCTTAACAAAGTCTGTTCACATCTCTGCCTTCGGTCTCACATGTATATCTACAAAGATAGAAATGTGCGTGGACAGGCCGCTTCTACCCATGCACAGGCTCTCATCGAAGGCATGGAGGTGAGGAAATGCGCTAGTGTTGACAAGTATCGGTGTGCACGTAATGCGCTGTTAGCTCTCAGCCATCAACTCAATAGGTCTGGCTGGGACATATCCCTTCCACCACTCCTGGACTCACAAGTGAGGCCTATGGGCGACATGGAGAGACAAGGCACTGGTACTATTTCTTGGATCTGGCTGGACTCACATGTGGACAATAGTAGCTCAGAAAATGAGCGAGTTCAGGATTGTAAGTCTGCTAGCTCTAGTTTGATGTGGTATACTGACTACATCTGATAGCTGTTTGAGTGGAGTGGTGCAAAGCGCACGCACGTGCAAACCGCTGGTCGGAGGAAGTTGAACTCCTCCTCAAGGAGATGCGAAGAGTTATCGCGTTCTTGAGGTGGCAGGCGGAGTGGTGGAGTGAAAGGCATAGTTCTCAAGTCCCGGAGTCGCCAGCAGAACAGGAAGGACTGGCTGCATATGCATGTTGACAGGCTGCGCTGTGTCTGTCTCTCGTGGCCTCCTTTCAGGACCTATGGAAAGATGTGCCGATGTTCATAAGTGCTGCCATGGACATTCCACTGGACAGCGACAGTGAAGATGAACCTACCATCGACACATGGCCTCAGTTGCACAGTTGATACATCACACATGTACAGACATTAATACATCAATATATTCATCTTGCACTCAACCGTCCAAACATAGCTTGATCGCGAGGAACGAGATCAGGATCGCAAGGTACTGACTACATAGAGATCTCCAAGATCGAGAATGTCAGGTACAAACAACATATGAGATCTGTAGGATCAAGAATGCCGAGAATGGCCTTGATTCATGTTCTATGCTCAGCCTCTTAAGGGATTATACAGTCCAGTACATTGATGTATCAGTGGTCCTACAGCTCAGAGCGATTCGTGTATCACCCTTTATTACAGGTACGAGTACTTGATACATTACTCCCACAGCTACTTGTGGCCTGAGAGCGTTCACAAAGCATCGGGATCCTACCTAAATTGGCTACAATATATTCTGTAAAAGAAGAGAAGGCGGTCCAAGAGCTTGCTTTCGAACCATACCTGATGTCATCCTGCACCTACATGCTAGTAGCACTTGCAGCTCGCCACTGTAGCACCCAAACTGAACACCTTCAAAAACCAGTATGCGAGATACTTGTCATGAAGTGCATTGATTCCTGTGCTGACCTTGCCACGTTAGGATTGACAGTGTTTATGTCCTCTTGCTGCAGCAGTATAGACTTGGAAGGTGGTCATGACCTGGCAGTGAAGTCTGCTGGGTGACTGGGTCATGGTGGGATTTGATTGCAATCAAGTAGCTTACTGGTATTTGCCATGCAACTGAGTGCATGGGAGAATAGAATCAGTTTTGCAGGGTGGAGGTGAGTTCTACTTTACAATTGTCCATGTCGTCTTCCGACGGACAGTAAATGGATGGCAGTGGAACCCAAGTTTACCATGGTCTGAGAGCCTTGAAGCACAGGTTCTTGTTTTGCTGCCAAGGTCCAGCCTGTGTTTTCACCGAATGCATGTATGTTCCCTACCGTAATATTTAGTGTGTCGGGCCCAAGTCGGGCCCACCCCAGCCCCTGCACTGGCAAGTGTCATTGATTAGGTAATAATGCATAGTTGCGCTGGCTGCGCTGCCGCTGTCCTCGTTATCAAGCCTCAAGACACACTGAGTACTTCTTGACATCGACTAGTGAAATCTTATCCAAAATTGAAGCCATTTGATCAAATGCCATGCCCGGCCTATCTTGGGAGTTGCTTCTTGAGCTATATTGCGGCATGATCAGCCTGAATACTGCAACAAGCTGAGTCATTCGTTTACAGAGGAGTTTTATATCATTATATTCATCATCACTCAATGGCTACAGTTCAGTACCACTTCCTTGGAAAGTCTGGTCTCAAAGTCTCTGTCCCAATTGTGAGTTTGATGCTAGCGTATAGCATTCACCTTCTACTATTAATATTAATACTCATTCTTCATAGCTTGGTGCGATGAGCTTCGGTTCCCCGAATGGGCTGTATGTCATTGTTTCCTATCCCCAACTTGTCAACCACATCCTCAATATTTTACAGCCCTGGGTCCTTGACGAGGAACCCTCTATTGAAATAATGAAGGCTGCTAGGGATCTCAGTGTCAACACCATCGACACCGCTAACATTACTCAAATGGTGAGTCGGAGCGCCTTGTTGCCAAGTTCATTAAAAAGGTGTGCCTTACTGATATCCTAAATTTACATTCATTAATGTATGAACTCCACAGTACAACATCCCTCGCTCCCAGATCATTATTGCCACCAAATGCTATGGCCTTGTCGCAAATGATCCTTCCGTCCCAACGTTCCTCATACCCGATCTCAATAACCTGCCCGATGCAGATACACCGCTTCGACCCTTCAGTCACCCCTCAGGAAACCATGAAAGCACTTCACGACCTCGTGCAGAGCGGTAAAGTCCATTATATCGGCGCCAGTTTCATGTGTTGCTGGCAGTTTGCCATGTTGAATGACGTGGCAGCTCGCAATGGTTGGACGACGTTTATCAGCATGCAGGATGAGTACTTGCTGCTCTACCGCGAGGAGGTGTGTCCCTAAAAACCACAATGTTTGTTCTCCAGTTTAGCATCACGTCTAGGAATGCGAGATGCTTGCTTATTGCAAATAACACGGTATCGGTGTCATCCCCTAGTTAGATGGGGTGACGCTTGCAGGGGTGCACCCGCCCCACCAAATAAATAGTTGCTGAACGATTCATCACTGTCGTCTAATCCAGACCAGGACTCTGACCAATCCCCTACGCTCTCCCCTTCGTCTGCAAAGGTAAGCTGCTCTGAAAAATCAGGCAGCCCTAGGAGACGACGGTCCCATGGATGGACAAGAAACGTGCTGACAGCGGAGAAAAGACCAGACTGGTCGAACATAAGTCTCAAAACGGAATGCAGATAAGCACCCTGAACTTACGAAGATCAAGACAATGTCCATGTCGGTAGTGTATCGCTCAAGGAACTCACCGTCGTGTTCCTCTGCAACCATTTTGTACACCCCCCAGAAACGAGACCGTTTGTCCTTTCCCCTCTTCAACACAATCGTCGAGTCCTGGAGAACATCCAATACCTGCTTCATGACATTTGCTCTGCGTGTAGGGTGTGGTCAGCTGCGATCGCTTAGCTTCAAGTTTGCAGCTCACAATTCGCTTAGAGTCGGCTCATCCTTCCCTGCTTCAAGCTTTGCCACCTCGCTGAGACAAATGTATATGTTTTGCGTCATTATTGGCAAGGACTCACATAGTCAAATCGTCGACTGGTGGAACATTGGGTGCACTTTGCTGTTCCAGAGGTCCCGATGGCCGCAAAGGTCCAGCATTCGAGCTGCAGTTACAGTAAGGAGTGGCGCAGACGCCCATCAGGGAAGAAACACATACATCCCTGATGGCAGCTCTGCCAAAGGTTCAACATTTATCTTCTCCCTGTCTTGCTGTTAGACGAGTGATAGATTTTAGGAAGCTGCAACTCACTCCTCGATGAGTCCTACGACATCGTTTTGTGAGAGAAGGTGCTCATCGTTGTGGGTGCATTGATCCTCAGCGTCGTCGGTGGCCGATGCTTGTGACATGAGGAATTGATAGGTACTATTGGATTCCAAGAAAAGCTAGTGAAATTTGGAAGAGTCTGAGATGAGCAGACAGAGTAGACTCGGAGTGGTACACAGCAAGTCATTTAGGCGGCTACGACTCGAACACGTGCTTGCGAGCGTTGATGCCGAAAGTTTTCGTGAGAGCTTCCTGCAGTGAACTGAGACCTTATCATCATGGTGGTGATAGATCAGAAGTGAAGGCCAGCCGTTCTCAACCATAGAACACGTGATGATAAGGTGCTGAGTTGCAGGATCAACCTGCGGGAGTGTGGAGAGGTCAAGAGCAGCAGGTGCATGAATGAGGCTCACCAACTGCTCGAGGACGTTGAACCATGGTGTACGGATATAGTGGGCCAGTGAACGATGCGAAGCCTTCGCGTAGGGAGACAAGATGGTGCTTATCGAAGCCAAACCTTGCGCACAAAGAAGGGCAGAGCTAAAGTGAGACCAATTGGATCCAAAGGAATCTCAAGGTGGTGTGAGATGGGGAGAGCAAGTGGAAACGCAAGGATGGATGATGATAAGATTGCGATGCTGAGCTTCGAGTTGGAACCAAGTGTACGAGGTGAGAAGAACAGGTGAATGAATGACGCGTACTTGAGGGGGTAACCAATGACAATGGGCAGAATGTTGAGCGAGTCTGGTTTCTGCATTGCAGGTGAGTATAACAGGAACATAGGAGGATATTTTTCGGCATACGGACCATGGTAAGCTCCCAGAACCGCATGATCAGAGCTTGGGCAGTGTGAGCCATCCGAATTGAGGCAGCGCATACAAGGAGTCCACGTGAAAGAACTAAACTCGGAGCGATACCTAGCCCACTAGGCATGTGCGCCATGACTCGGAAATGGTATCGGCAAAGTTTCCCCCTCATGTTTACATAATAGACTAGCATGTCATTCTGTGTAAACTGGCCTCCAGAGCGCTCACAACTGTCCAAATTAATGTTATTTCAAAAGGAATGTGACGATTAGGTTGCTCATTAGATCAAAAAGGAGAGTAAGTAAGTATGACCAGTGACTTGGACCCGTATCGGACGAAGAAACTGTCAACACAGATTTGTTTGATGAAGACGAGGAATCGGACAAAGAAACTGACGTACATCTATCTAGTACTTTCGCTGAGCGCTGCTAGCATAGCTCGCAATTCAGTAAATTCTGTTTGCATTCGAATATGTTCAGCCTCGGCTCGGACCCGTTCAGCCTCTTGTTCTGCCTGAACTCGGACTCGTTCTGCCTCAAATCGGACTCGCTCTGCCTCCAATTCTGCCTTGATTTGGTCTTGTCCTGCGAGACCTTGTGCGAGACCTTCAGCTCACAGCTGAAAAAACAACAACGACATATCATCATCAGGAGAGGTCATGACAGAATAGTTACTACTACCTGTTGCTTATTAGCTTCATCAGCTTTTCTCTTCAGTTCCTCTTCATTCTCTATATCTCTCCATCTCGCATCATAATCTCTGCACACAACCTCCACACTATCAGCTATCCGGATAGCGAACCCATGGTAGTGCGAGCGCTGGTCAACGAGAGCGCTACGTGTTTCGATGCAATTAGGGAAGAGCTGTTTCAAAGTCTCCCATACAGTGAATGAGGACCAGTAGCACTGGTTCTCGTATAGGTCGTAGTATGGAGCGTGTTGGTTCACAACAGACAAGAGGATCGAGACTTGTGCCGCTGACGGACATGCAAGAGGGGAGAAGTCAAGCGTACAAAGTTTGGTGAATGGTGCATAGGTGTCCGCGAGGTACTGCGGAAATGAGGAGCCCTGGCGTGAAGTATGCACAATATCTTCAGCAGCAGTTTCAGAAGCTGAAGGAGAAATAAGGTTTGAGGTGTGAATAAGTCTTGATGAGGAGTTGTTGCGGGGGTCCTGCTTAGGAATGCGTTCGATGACCACGGCAGCGACTGCAGACTCAGAATAATCCCAATGATGAAAATGCAGGAGTAAAAACTCGTGTTGTTTGTTATGGTTGCACTTGCAATACACGACACGTTTGAGTCCACATTGTAGGGAAAGACGGTTTGACATGATGAGTGTCTGCCATGCTGCCACATCAATACGACTCTCCCCCGAACTGAAAAGTCCAGGAACGTCAGTAGGAGACTTTGACATGAATGGACGAAGAAGTGTGGCGAAGAAAGCTCGAAGGCTGAAGCGAGTTTTTAAGTCTTGCTTCATGATTGACAAGGGTTGTCCGCTAAACAGGTATCTGGATGCACGGCAGAATCAATCTATGTATAGTGTCGATTGCAATAGGGTACTACATCTGCAAAACCACTGAAATGAACGCTTAACTTATGCACGTTACGGACACTTATGAACGCTTACGAGTTCAGTAGCACACTCAGGCGATTGGTGGAGATGCTGAACACCAATATAACGCACTATATCTGGCTGATAAAACTCAAGCCTGATTATCTTTCGGTGATATGCTCAGAGATACAATAGATGTAATAGATTGAACAGATTGATACAATTGTTATATACTGATTATGCTACTGCCTATACAAACTCGGTACTGAATGTGTGATAACTCTCCTTGTCTGCGAAGTTATTCAGGAAAAAACGCTCATAGCGTTCCAAAGAAGTCGCAGAGGACACGCTATTGGCCACTGCTTCACCATAAACTGGTATCAACTCAACCGCATGCATCACGTCTGTCACTCGTATGACAGCCCCCTTCCTACAGTGATTACCGTTTTCCTCCTGTGTGTATGTGCGCTCCATGGTCCACATTGCGAGTTCGGGACGATCATCAGGGCTGGAAATAAAGTGGAAAAATTGGACGTAGAGAAGTGGGTCTGAGAGACACGATGGTAGTTCCAGGTTGGAACCTCGTCGAACCGTTGGTTGAAAAATGAGTCGAACCTGCGCAATGCAACTCGCTGTATATGATATCAGTAGGCTACAACATAAGCACATGAAAGACATACTGGTTTTGCCATCAATGCCTGTGGTGTCCACGAGAACAGTATCACAATTTCCAAAGGGAAAATCATCGCTCGGTGGGTATGCTTGCACCACGCGACTAGGCATGATGACTCGCGGCTGGAAGGCCGAGTGAAGTTGCAATCGGAATTTGTGCCATACCTGGAAGCGCCCATACTTGGGGTCCCAGCAAGAATTTTCACCACTAGAAAGGGGGGAACTACAAATGAATTCGGCGAGCGCACGCTCAAAGCCAAAGAGTGCATATTTCGTGCGTATGTCAGACGATGATAGCGATTTGTAATCAGGCGTGATATTGAGTTGAAAAGCAGTGAGTGCATCTCCAGAGAGAATACCCTCGAGAAAGTGATTGCGGACTGGTCGGGGACCATGTATTGATTTAACTTCGTCAGGGAGAACTCAGGAGACCCAGGAGAGTGCGGGATTGGCAATTGTTACATCTTCATCTTTGGCGTATATCGCATTAACTAGTGACGCCCCGCGAGAAGTTAAGAGCATGTACAGGCCAAACATTTCCATAGACTCTTGGCAGTTAAGAATCCGTACGCACTGCTCCATAAAGTCTTTGATTTGCCGGGACGTCCGCAGAAAAAGGTCCTTACAGTGTGTGATGAGTAACCGCTCCGTCACATCAGCGGAGAACTGCATCAAAGTGCCTAATTTCTGAATCGTACCATTGAAGCTTTGCAGAAGCTCGAGTTTGGGAATGAAAAAATCTTCTTTGACGCCCTTCTTCCCCTTCCTTGCCTCGGCCTGGATGATAGCATCCTTGAAAGAGTGGAAATCCGAAAGTGCTTGAACCATTGACTGAAGTGATTCAGGGGAGTGAACCAGATTTTGTGCGAGGTAAAAGAAGTCTACAAGGGCACAGATTGTATGAACGAATCTGGGTGGAACGGCCCCTGCAATCGACGCAACGATAGTGCGTTGAATGTCTCTATGCTCGTGGCCTGTCATTTGATTAACGTGTGTGATACCTTTTGCGAAGTGGCGCGTTCCGACTCGTTTGTGCTGGACCATGAAGCAGGTATCGAGCTCATAATCTCCTAGAGCTTCTTTGATCCATTTCAGTGGATGGTCCACGAAAAACTTATGGCAGGTGTGCAACACCTCACCAGCGAGGAAAACGGACGGACACACAAACATCCAATCACGCCAGTATGGCATGTGAACTCCAGATAGATTAACGGCTTTGGCCGCTTTCTGGAACTTGTCGAGATCCCAGGGATCAACCTGTCGAGATATCTCCACAATGAGCTGCAATGTATGCTTCCCAGTACGAGGCGGGTGGAGAATTCCATCCCCAAAATCCGCTTGTGTTGCCATAGTTAGTGGGGATGAGTTTTTACTGACTGTGGCAATCATAGTAGCCTCCGGTAGGTTGCACACATGAGCGACGAGTGGCGTAAACACATGGCGAATATAGCGGGAAGGATCAGGCATGAAGCAGCCATCCTTTGCTGCAACCTTGAGGTTGGTGAAAACAAGGTCCATACATTTGTGCCACAGCCTGGCCTGGAGAATAGACTGGTAATCTGTGTGAACGCGGAACTTGATTACGGGAATGTAGGCTACGCAGCGCCAAGCTCATAGTGTTGCCTTGGAGCGAACCTCAGAATCAATGTTACCGATGGTGACGAAGACCGGGTGCATCTCAATTCCTCCAGCAAGTCATGTCACGGGTGTTTTATCAGATCCCAAGATTATTGGGACTTGAGTCGCACCAAACGGGAGATGGTCCTAGAAATAAAAATCAATCTGTTACTCGGCGAGGAGTATATTAATAGGAGGGCAAACAAACCTGAATTTTCCATGCCATATCGGCACTCATATAGTCTCCGTATTCACGTTGATTTTTGACATTAGCGACGTAGGGATTGAAGGTCATGTGGTTCGCAAAAGTTGGGTCACTGAATAGTTGCTTCACGACCTCTAGCACATCGTGCCAAACGAGCTCCACGGGACGGACAGTCTTATAGCCCTTAAATGCTAGTTTGGAGACTTTCCACGGGGCAAAAGAAGGTAGTGAATCCATCCAGTCCAGGAGGTGGTCTTTCGTGGTGAAAGAGGGTCTTGCGCAATTTGGAGCGTCAAACTGTGAAGGTAGGGTCAGATTGAGGAATACAGCTTAGATCGATATCCGTCATTTACCCATTTCAACTTTAAGAACTTGGTTATTTGGGTTTGAGTGAGGTTTTCCACCAAAAACATCCCTAATTCCCATTCGCCTTCATCATGGAAAGGGTAATAATGATTTATCTTCCGTCGATGTGCATATTGATCGTCTTCCAATTTATCCAGCATATTTCTACTGACACCATAGACGTATCCGGATTGCAGGTGACAGGTACCAGTGACAGCACTTTGATTGAATACTGAAGGGACGGGTAATGTTCGTGGTCATGCGTCGGATGGCCAACAAGTAGATGGAGAATTGAGATGTGAGATAAGCGCCTCGATGGATGGATATTCCCCCAATTTGCAGTTGGGACATAGCCTGCCAAGGTATGTATGGTATCGTAAAGTGAACAATGGAAGTACTCACATTGTAGCGTAGACTTGGCTTAGACTTAAGCCGGTGAGTATGCACAGGAAGTAACAAGTCTTTCAAAGTCCGAAGACCTCACGTTTCACAGCACACAGTCATCACGCCAGGCTAATGGAGCCTGTGTCCTCATCACCAGTCTCATCTCCTGCTCGGCCAAGTAGCCCTGCTTTCACCAGCACTACATCAAGTAGTGCAACTCGCGTAGAACTAACTTCCTCAGAGTTCTTTAAGAAGGTTGACCACCCTGAGTCGCCCCATATCAATACCATGGCTACTGAGCTCTTATCTGGCTCTGACTGTTCACTTTCTCCCAAGCTGTCCCCCTACCCCTCAGGTTCTCCAAGGGTTCACTTCTCCCCAGTGGAAGAAATTCCGTACCTTCCTGATGTAAAGGAGAGTCTGTTGTATAAGCCTGACATTTTACAGTCTCCAAAGTCACCTTCTCGAGTAGCTTACCTGCGTGAGAGGTCGACCAAGAGGCATATCCCATACCCCCTCAGGCCATCTCCACTAGAACTTCGGTTTGCCAACCGCGTGACAGGGCGAGTACGGGAACCAGACTTTACATCTGAACAACTGCAAGAGGTATTTGTCTTTTCTTTCTTTGTTCCAGAGATTCGCAAATTCTCACATGATCTATGTCCAAAAGCATGAGGACGCAATATCCAGCGGTCTCTCACGGATGAGCTTTGACACTTTGTACAAAGCGTTCAAGGCAGTACTCGCTAGTCGCGAGGCTGCTCGCCATGAGGTGGCGACATCGTTATGGCAGGTCGAATACTCAGAGCGCATGACAGTGTTTAATCAGGCGCTCCACGAGGAGAACAAAAACTGCCTCGATTTGAAGGACGAACAGCTGAAGAAGATTAGGAACATTTTTTCTGAGCGTGAACACACAGAAATCGACGATGACACGAATTACATTCAAGCTGTCTACAACAATGAATGCGAGATGCTTCGCGCCATCACCACCCAAGCAGAGATAATCTCAAAACGCCTGGGATCACGTGCCAAACGTGAATTATTAGCGTCTACCGGCGAAGCTCCCTACCTCCCTCGTTTCGTTGGAGCCTCACAAAACAGGGACAACATCACATGTGTGCTGCGTGGTGGTTTCACGGATGCCGGTACCGATACCGATGCCGACTCCGATACCGATTTCGGCGAAGAGGAGGATCATTGCAGCGGGTGGCCGGGCCAGCAGCGTTCGCAGTTGTGACCATCAATGGTATGTGACTGCCAAGTCGTTCACGCCACTCACTGATCAATATCAGTGACACTCAATTCATTTGTGTCACTGTTCATAGATTGTTATCAACTGATACCGCCATACTTCGCCCGTCCGTAACATGCTTCGACCGTTCATAATCATGCTTCTACCATTCATAAACACGCTTCAACCGTTCAATAAAGTGCTTCGCCCACTCCGGCCGTTCATATATCTTTTTCTCCCGTTCATAAGTTGTCTTATTGGACCATGCCCCTCCCCTTCTTTTTACACTTCATTAGTAAATGGCCTTGCTTTTTTTGTAAAATCATCTTATCAGTTCGCCACACGTTCCCGGTTTGTAAAGTTTATGTAAAGTTTGTGTTTCTTTTCCCCCTATGTACCGTTACGTCGTTTCACAACTTAAATGCATGCATGCGCTCTCACATCCCCTCCAACTTTGAATGCCTAGTGAGCGTGGCCCTCAGCGAAAAACCAAAGCTAAAGTTCCAAAACCGCCACGCGGTTCTGGCCTCAATCCATCCGGCGAACCAGCAACTGGCCAGCTTCACATTCCTACTGAGCAACCGAGTATGTCTCAGTTCAACTTCGATGCGCATGCGCCCAGTGGAGGAGTTCCTACCCCCATATCAAGTGGGAGCACATGTGAGTCAATCACACTTTCGTTCACTGATGACTCTCACGATTTCGCAGCATTCTATGGCTGGAATATGCAGGACGCTGACCTCGACAGCCGCTTCCCTCAAGGCCAATTCCCTCATGGCCAATACTACGGCGCTTCGTCCTCGGAGGACCCCTTCCAGGGCTCTTCTTTCGAATCCTTACCTCAAGGCTCCAGCCACAACTTTCCTTCAAGTAGTACCCCCCTCCAGGGTACTGGTACCAGCACGAGCGCATCGGAGATGACGCTGATCCAGCGAGGTGAGATTCCGCCAACCGATGTGATGCACGTGAGTTCTTGTTTTTCTTCGATTCATTTCCTGCTTACCACTCACCTAGACGATGGGCCCGCCAAGGGACACAACGAGGCGAACCCGACGAGCGATGCCACCTACGCCACGTATGATCCCTTACCCTTCCACACGCCTGCAGGGCAATTCAGAATCTCTCCCATCTGCAGTCGAAGATTCAACTCCGCAATCTGTAACGTCGTCAACGCCTCAACCCACGCGCATCAAACTATCGGATGACATCATTGGCCAGTCCATCAAAACGGCAATGCAATTGGTCACGCGCGAATTATTTGGAGAAAAGGCTATGGCGATTGACAAAGCCGCCAAGAAAATCATGCTGAACAAAGTTATCTGGGACTCGGTACCACGTTGCTTTGCACCTAATGGTGAGTATCATATGTCCATTAACATCATACTGACTTGTTTTATTAGCAACATTTGAAAATTTTATCACGATTAAACATCGCAATGATGTTGCGAATGCATTGTCGTCAACTCGCGGCAAATTCGCTGACTACGTGCGCAAGGGCGTCTTACATGCGTATCGGCTTTTCCCTCCACTGCATATCACCGCACCCGCCGTCCTCTATCGCAAATGCTTGATCGACAAGATCACAAAAGATGGCGATGGACTCGCTTTCATGCATGTTTATAGCTTCAATCAAGTAAGTTTTCATTCGTGTGTGTTGTCGGGGGCAGCTCAATCTTTTCAGAACGGACAGGTCGAAATCAAGGCTAAATTCCAGAATACGTTCATCATGACCAACGTTATCTATTTTGTTTGGCACGGGATGCACCAAGAGTTCCTCGGCGAGACTGAGGAACAACAAATCGAAAATTTGAAGTTCATGTGGGCGCTTGCCAGCACAGCGACGTTCTGCAGCCTCGATGGACAGTACGAAGTTCCGGTGAAAGTGGATAATTTTGGAGGAATGGGATCCAATCGCAAGTTCCTATATATTCTCAGTGCGATGAACAACCTTTCCGGCGACGAGCGAGTGCAGTTTCACAACTTTTTGCGGTACGTGTTAGTGATTGGACCGTCGCAGGCACCCTCGTAGATTCTATACTATTACTGCTATATCACAGACAGGTCAACGTATCAGATAGTTTTGATTGTATTAGTAACACTGGATAACGCATTTATTGCACTGATAATCTCACATCGCATCGATAATCTTCAAATCTCGCATCCAAATGTGTGAAACTTGGCTCAGGGTTCAAACATATCCAAAACCAGGTATTTACGAACTAGATTCGCGCTAACCAAAACGGCAACTCTCGCAAGACTCTTACAAGAGTTTTAAACTATATTTGCACCAAGTCGGATTTTTAGATGTAATAGTGGGTTTATGATACCACATGGAGGCGGCATCGCCGCTTCTCGGCGCTTTCCGAACAAGTATGACCTCTTCCCAATTTCCACTTCAGTTCCAAAACTGACGCATAAATACATCTCCAACTCACTCCTCCCCTTGCAGATTGGTAGACTCGCCGATGGCGCACGCACTATGGAGAATGACGTCAAGCCTGATCTCGTCCTTGTACGATAGCCAGGTGCCCGGCCAGCGTGTGGATGTCTGTGTGAGTCGTCATTTGTTCAATGAGATTCTTTTTGTCCTTTCTTGCAAAGATTTTGGTATTGTTATATCATGCATTCAGGACAGTCCCACCTGGAGTTCTGTTTCGCCATCACATTGTGAAGCTCAAACTGAAGAATCTGCTGTTGTGTTTGCCAGATAAATTCATGATTACAGTTCACGGTCATTGTATGTACTAGTAAGAGCGCACAAATGCTGCAGAGTTGTGTTTATGTTCGGAGTTGGCTGATTTGGGCGATCAAACAGAGACAGGCGCGTTGTTCCTATCAGGTTTTTAGGTCATCTTGTCGATGTTCGTTCAACTTGGGGTTTATTCCCTCTCCCTCGCCACTTCTGGCTACGACATGAGGCCTCCCCACCTAAGTCGCTTGCAGACTGCTCATGGATTATCACTACAATCTAATGTAATGCAAATCGACTAGGTATAGGTTTGTGCGTTTCGTATATTTTTCCTCTATCGATCAAAACAGAAAAGTTCATGCCATATCTCGCAGCCTATCGTTTAAACGGCCGCTCCACATGTCCGTAACTTTTAATAAATAGAAGGAATTCTCCCGCTCTCTGCAGACTGCCCAAGTGTGATTTACAATGAACATTTCCCATTACACACTGCTGCTAGTTGGCACGTGCACGCGCTCCTGAAAAGCGATTGAAGTCATGGTGCTTGCCGTGTCAGAGTCGGACACGAGCTTAGCGTTGAATTCTCGGATACCGAGGATCAGCCGCGGTCCCAGCACAAATATCTGGATGAACGTGAAAATTTGAAGAAAGCCAAGATAAATCTGCGTTCCCAAGGAGAATTGATCCTATGGAAATGATGAATCAGTGAAATCGATATCACTGAGGTCTTGCAACTGCAAAGCTTACCGCAAAGTATTGGAAATACCACAACAATTGTCAAATCCTGTACGATGTACAGATTCCGGCCTGAAGAATTCAGTCAGAGATCAACCTCGCATGAATCATACACTCCAGATAGCCTCACATCTGTGGTGGTCATTGAAGCGAACTAATGAGCTGATCACGACTCACACTCACCCCTACAGAGCACTGCAGTTAATTGGGGGGATAGAGGGTATTGGCCCGTGCAGAAGACTCACTGCATCTGTCACCGAAATTGTTGGAACACTAACTTCATGCCGCCGGTCAGGAGAGATGAACGTAGTGGTTGTGAAGAGACATACACAGCACAGCGATGCTGATTGTGAGAGATGAATCATCAGGACAAGGTCAGTTGCTGAGCCTTCTCGACATACACAGCATATAACATTCCAATATAGCGCACCTATGATACTTTCAAGTCGGCATAACTTTCCAACCACACCTGTAACGCAAGCTACGTACACTGAGATACAGAAAGGTCATAAGGGACCACCAGCGTTGCCTCTGTCGTGAATCAATCATTGTTCTTCTGGTGTGGAACTGTGCTCACCCAGACAAGCTCGATCTATAAAACCAACTTCAGCTAGATGGCTGCTCTGTTCATGAAATATACCTACCTCTTGTGCAAGTGTCAGGGCTAGAATTACCATGAGTATGAGCGCATTTGTGAAAGATTATCTTGCTCACCCCAATCATATATCACTCCAGCACAAACATCAACTGCGTAACCATAGACAATTAGATCGAGACACCGCCGTCATCGTTCGACTAGCTCTCCACAAACCTATAAAATAGCTGCCAATGCAAGTCGCATTGATAAGTGGCCACCAACTGGGATCATTCGAGATTTTGGGCATAGCGTTAGAAGGTAGGTGTGAGGAAGTGGCGAACTTGTTGGATAAATGATGAAGACGTTCGTACTAAATATGCCATGCAGTGCTTGGATCACCCAAACAGGTTGATATCATATGCCAAAATGGTAACCGTAGGTCCGAATTGATGCAGTGAAGGCCCATCAGTCCATCACAAATAGAAATATCGTAGTTGATGATGTGTGGTTGATATACTCGCGAAGATATGGCGCAGATCAAACAAAAGGCCAGACGGTCTAGGATCGTCTGAATTTGAAACTACTCACAAGGTCCGATTCAAGGAAGTTGGCATTCACTTGACCTAATTTGGATGCAAAGGTCAAATGCAATGCACGATGACATTTGCGTATTTGATTTGGTGCTACGCACATTGCGTTTTACATCAGAGCCACACTACGTTGACTGTACTTGTGACATCATAGCCCGATGGCCGCAGCAAGAAACAACGAGGAGCAAGAGAATTAGGTATGGAGATGAGAGCAGCCGGCCAGTGAAACAGGTGAGTTATCCTTTCGCTTCATTCGAATCTTCTTTACTTTTGGTTTCCAACATTTCTGTTTTCATCCCAACAGGATGTGACCGTGTCGAGTGACCTTGGACAAGCTGTTTTGCTCCCTTACCCGGGTGAGCAAAGTAGAGACAGAACCGACCGGCGTCCAGGCATTCAAAGCAGGGATATACGCCATTCATCTAGTTCTTGTTTCGGCAGAAAAGCGCTGCATGGTGGCATATTCAACACAGACGAACACCACCCTTCACCAGGTTCGCATTCGTCCTCTAACAGCATGACCCTAATATCAAATGATTCCGTTCGGTGGCCGTTTACGCTTTCGACCAAAATGACCAGCTATCTTGTTGGTTCGTAGAGAACCAGTTGGACAATTCATGACTATGTGATACTCTAGTAGCCCCGCGGTTTTCCAGCTGCCTTCTCTTTTGGGTTGAGGTATGATTGGGGTGAGCAAGATAGTATTCAAGTGTCACTGGTATACTTATGGTGCGTTTTAGTATTGACTTTCGGGCGAGAGGTGGGTCAGTATCATTACTGGAGCAACCATCTGGCTGATCACATATTTACAGGTCGAACTGGTCTGAGGTGAGCAGAGTCTCGCATAAGAAAACACACCGTAATACTATTAATGCGCGACAGAGGTAACATTGGTCATTCATGACTGTTCTGTATCTCAGTGTACGTATTTCGTGTTGCAAGTGTGGTTGAGACGTTGTACTGAATTGACAATATTCTAGATCTACTATGTTGGTATACTGCATGCGATGTATGTTTGGATGGCTAAACAATCGATGTTGTGTTGATTAGCTGACTCGCATACTCAGCATTCACACCCAGTGTATGTCTACTCACACGCACTCCATATATTTCTTCTGATCGACGGCATGTAGTATCTCTTCCGAGAATTTCCGTAACAAATCTAGTGAGTATTCTTCACCGTTCTCTATCATTCATATCCAATAAATTGCACTCCTCTGCAGGCGTGAGTGAGTTAACGAGCATCCTGGTTCGATATAGTGACCGCCATAGCTGTGAGTTTGTTTAAAGTTATCATGCGAGGCTGTGAACCAACATCGCTTGATTTTTCAGGTCGTATAGTGTTTGATGCACTAAGTCGGATGAATGTTACCATGACTTTAGTATTGGGTGGTGAGCTACGCAGCTGCATTACTTTGACTGGACTGACACAACACGCAAGTCATCATGATCGCTCAGTTGCATGCCTTGCATCAATCCAGATATCTCTCAGCGTCATCTTCCTGGTTGTCAACATCGCTGACGAGTGATCGCCGCAATGGTCATGAATCGTGTTTCATCAGGTAAGCTTTAATTTTGGTGAATGGTGGACCAGAATGCACAAAGCTCGTTTGCAAACACAGAGGCTTTCATTCTCTTTGGCATCACTCAATACGCTTCTGACTTTCAGGAAGGCTCGGATAATCTACTTCTGGCTTTGACGACTTGGATTCTCCCCGCTATATGGGAGGTTCTCACACCATGTCTCGCACTCAGAGTTGCTTTCAAACGCCTCCGTGAGCTGCCAGAGACCATTGACTGGATTGCTTAATCCCAGACTGTTTCGCAGTGTTAACACAACCTCACGTGATTTGCTTTGCGAGGTGAGCTTATGTGATTCTGCTTTTGCGCTAAAGTTCTGCACCTTCAGTTTTGTTGCTGCTTCTGGCTTCATCGTTACTAAAGGACACGATCGTCGCGGAAGATCAAATTTCATTCGGTTTGGCTCAAACTCTCATCATGATGGTGATGTGTGTGCTGGGACCATGCCTGATCCTTGGCGTTCGAGAATATCACGCGAAGCTTGTGGTCAACTCCGAAACAGGTCCCTGCATGACTTTAATTGCCTTTGAGGAGCGCGTGCATGTGTCGACCAGCATCAGCATGGACAACTCTTGCTGTGTTTGCCACGTGCCGTATTCTTTCAGAAAGGGAGCAAACTCGTTTTTTGTTCAAAGATTTTGTCGTGATACTCATAAGTATAAATTATCTAATATAGGAACCTATAGGTCTGGGTATATCGTACATGTTCGTTCGCGTAAGCAAGGTTTTTGTCAAGCATCGTGACATTACGGTAAGCTATCCGAATCAGGATTGGACTTTGAGGGTACGAACATGAAAGATTAGAGTAAACGAGTTCTCCCAAGTGTTGTTAGGAACTGTGCGAGTGGCTGTTAGACACGTTAGAGGCTACAGCCGCCGCCAGCGAAGGGTCTTGTTTGAGCACTGAGAATGCGAGAGATGGGAGGAGTGCTGTTAGAGATGATGTATATGGCACAAGCAGATAAATGATATGCCAGTTGAGCGATACAGTAAAAGGAGTGCATGACATCTAGTAGCAGGACTGACCAGGGACAGATCGACTACAAAATATCGGAAGCATCATGTTGTTCGGACAAACAGTACTATCAGTGAGCCAACTATTCAGGCAAGGACCGATGAGATATGATCATAAGAATCTGAACAGTGGGATTCAATCTTAGTTTCTTCGCAGTGAGAAGGGGAGCCCATGAGGATCCATGGGAGGAAAGACTATTAATGTGAATTCTACAAGGCGTGATACAACGAGAAAAACCTTTGACATGCATGTCGTTTCAGTGCACGTGGTAGCCCTGGGCCACGGCTCTGATAATATATTTAAAGTTTGATGAAAGACTTGAGGGTGTTGCGTCATCGAAACTTGAACAATCTTTCTCGGCCCACTCCTGCAATAGCTGCGCTATCGCTGCATCCTACGGACAGACACGCTTATCCGACGAACCAGTCGCAATGCGAGTCTCATCCGACGAGAACCAGTGGAAAGCAGTTAGTGTCAAGTCAGACCAGCAGACTTGAACCGTTATTAAGCAAGAACCATATGGA